CTTTGATTGATTCAATTGATTGGTCCAAACCCAATTACATAGGGCTGGACCTACTTTTCTAACACAAACAAGTTCTCATGAATGGTTGAAATTTGTTATAGTGAGATAGTCAACACCAAGTTGACAATAGATTTTGTTTTAAAACAAATATAAAAAATGAACAAGTTGAGAACAGACTATCTAATAATAATTACTTAAGAATGATCATTGAAACTACCTCAGCGGTTCAATTATATGCACATGAAGGAATCTGCTGCCCAACTAATTTGAAAAACAACTTGAAATTGAGCCAATAATTATATGTTTGAGAAATTAGCCATCAATTGTTCAGCCAATAAGATGTACCTTACAAAGTAAAATTATGCTGAACAAAAATGGAAGAATAAGAATCTTGTAATTCTATGTGAATCAATATTCCTTTCCATGTGGCCATTGGCCAAAAGAACTATATAAAAAAAGTTATAATTTTCGAGTGATTCGCGGCAATAGAGCTGTCCATGATTGGTTTAATTCGAGTTTAAGCATGATATTAACAGTTTACATGTTTTTGTTTACATACTTTCTTATATTTATAAATTGTAAATGATATGCAACCTTGCTTGAGATTGAAGCAACCAGTCTACCCTCAAATTCTTATTTACCTGAATAAATTCCTGGGCAAATTATAGGTTATACGTCTACAGTCCACACCTCATAATGAGCAAATTATGTAGGCACATGTTGTAAGAAATTTTCACACAATGCACGTTACTCAAAGGTGCATCCAGCTGCCATGCATTAATAACCGGTGAAAAAGCAAATAAATTGGCAGCATAAGTAGATACATGTCGAGGGGAACTGTTGTTGTGGTTACCCAACAATCAAAAACAATGTTATCTATTATCAAAAAAGAAAAACAATGTTATCATCTTTGTGGTCCTCATGGAATGGTTGCCAATCATGGCACTAAAAATCATTGTTTTGTTCAAACTTCAAACATTTTTGAACCCTCACTTTTAATTGTTGCAGTAATTTCCTTGGAGATGCTCTTAGGCTATGGAATGGGAAAAGAGTCCCCTTCATAAGCCTACGCCACCTTTCCCATATCCCTTATCCTTTTTTTAGGAATTTCAAATTATATTTTTGAGTTCTAACATCTAGAATGTCCCATTGCAGAAGGTCTTTCTTGATTCTATTCCCTTTTTTCTTATCTGTGATGGGGAAGATAGGGACTGGCCTGGAGAGGTGAAGGGTTAAGGGATCATTCTTGATGTAAAAGCACAGTTCTTTCTCGTGGGTCCAATTGCTTTATGTCACAAGCAATAAATATTATGATTAGAAACTATAAAAGGGAACGCAAAATAAAGTGTGTTATCTATATTGTTTCCATACTTAGACAACATGATTTCAATATATAACTATTTTCGTTCAATTTGCCTTGATGTCAATCATGAATTAGCAAGTGAAGATTCACACATCATTTATGCTGTAACATAGCACTAGCTATATCATGTAAGTAGAAGAGGAAAGTGACAACCGAGATGGAAAATATATTTTGTTTAAAGAGCAGGAACCCTATGGATGCAATATGGATTCATTGGATTAAGGTAAAAAACAAATGAAAATGAAAATCTGATGTTTTTGTTTGTCAAGATCAGTCACTAGCTGGTGCTATTTGCCTAGTGTGTAAAGAATAAAACTCTAAAGCATGAAAGTTGAGAGAGTGGCGATTGGACCCTTTTCTTTTCAATAAAAATGCATGATTATCTTTGAGTGTAAAACACGTCAGCTTTTTGCTGAAAAAGATGCATGCATTCAACAAAGTCGATATTTACGCCTTGAAATCAAAGTGTTGATAAACTTGTTGAATCAAGTTGCAACTCAAAAGATATATATATATATATATATATATACAAATTTTAAAAATTAATAATTAATTCATTATATAGTTAATATTTATTAAGCATCCAATAAGTGAAAAAATTCAACTTAAATATAAAACTATAAGATATTATATATTTATTAGATGTGAGATAATTTATTTTAACAGATCCTATCACGTGTAGATAGTGATAAAAAAAAGTTTATTACGTGATAAATTAAAAAAAGATAATAAAAAAATTTTTAATTTTGATATCGTATTAAATATCTAACTTAAAACATACTAACAATAAGTGGATGGATCTAGTATGAATATAAGACTACAAAAAATTAAATATTTATTAAATATGAGATAACATACTTTAACAGGTTCTTATTATATATAGGAATATAGAAGAAGTTTGCTACGTGACAAATTAAAAAGGAACAATGAAAAGAAATTTGGACTCTAATATCATGTTAAACATCTAACTTAAAACTAATTGATTGTAAGTTGGATGCTTAATATGATATTAGAGTCAAGATTTTTTTTCTTTGCCTTTTCTAAATTTGTTATATAGTAAGTTTCTTCTATCTTTGTATATATATGATGGAGGTCTATTAAAATGAGTTATCTTTCACTTACGACTAATTGATTTTAGGTTGAATGCTTAACAATATTATAAGAAATGTGTTAAAAATCACTTGTATTTGCTAACCGCTTGCTGCAATTTTCAACCTCAAATCAATTCAAAGCTTTAAGCAATATTACTATAACTTTGCACATGACAGTTCTTTCCAGAGGCTAAGACTCAGACGTGTAACAGATTTTCAATTATCGTTGAAATTAAGGTAGATTGATTATATGCATAATCTATTTCCTTTTCAAAGATCCATACAATAGCTTATGAGTTTAGGGCATGGGGCAGCTGTTAGTAAGTAGAATCCTTATTTCGTTGGTCCCTCCGAAACAGGTTTGTTATGCATCCGATGTTAAATTCATACTAGACAATAGTTTAATTAATTATCCTTACACGTAAAGTCCATGCCATATAATAAATTCATTGGTCCTACAAGTGAGAAGGAGTTTTAAAATTGTGATAGAATAAAATTCACATCAATTAAATTATGGTATCCTGAACACATAAATATAACAAGACTCGTTTCACTTATTGTTAATTAGTTTTAAATTAGGTGACTATTCTGAAATTTAACATGCATCGTATGTAACTAGATTATTATATTAATTTTTTCCATATGATATACCCTAAAGCCATGCTAACAAGTCAGGTTAAAATTAAGAAAAATAATCGAATGTATTGTTTACAAACTTGCATTGGATGATACCCCAACGCAAGGCCCAATGGTGATGCATTTAGCCCAATGATTGCCTTCCATGGATTTCATGCAAATAAGATCTCCCGGCAGATGGGCTCTGGAAATGCATAAAAGTCCAAAATCATCTGTCTTCGTGTGGTAGAATCTATCAAATCTAATTTATTAATGATACTATTTCTAAACGAAAACAAAATGATTCCATTCAAAGGAAACTCTGTTAATGATGGAATCGAAGTTCCAGCATTCAACCGCACGCTTCGCCTGTAACAAGGGCAGCAGCCACGTGCATCTCCATTAGCATATGGTTATTATAATCACGACTACATAAACACGTCCCGTGATTCCTGAATTCTTGTTCATATAGTCGAAGGCAAAACCCTATTCCTTTTCATGATAAAAAATATATACATACAAAAGCAGTTTTGTTTGCTTAGATATATACAGATGGATTTTTTAAAAGTCTTTCAGTCAACGCAACATAGCAAGCAAAGAAAAAGGTAGTTGAAGGGTGTGGCCGACATCTCTTGGATGCAGGCAAAACAAAAGTGAAGCAAGGATTGAGACTAAACTCAGCAAAAAAGAAATTAAAGGAAGAAAGGGTTCCCCCACAGAGCTTATAAAGGGGATCATAGAAAAGAAAAAACAAAAAAGTTAAAGGGAATATGATCTTTTGCAGTGTTATGTTTGACTAATGGTTATTGCATTTAAAATCATAGACTTTTAGATAAATCTCTCTATTGTTGTTGTTTTTATTTATTTTATGTCAAATATATATAAACTATAAAAATTTATCATGCTTACATATAAAATATAAAATATATTTAAAAATAAAGTGTAAATAGAAGTCTAAGACGAAGAAACTATAGCTAGCTTTCCTCGACAAGGAACCAATAATTGTAACAGTTATACAAAGAGAAAGCTACATTAGCTAGGTACGTAGAGTTGCGGGCTTAACATTTGATTTGACCATCACGTGCTCTTCATTTTTATTTTGTTCCTATGCTTAGCTCCAATAAAAATACCATATAATACAGCCACCTTACCTTAATTCTCTTGTCTGCTTTCACCCTTATCACCACATTTATCCATTATATTCTGAAAATACAGCTAAAAAGTTACTTGACCAACATTTCAAAATTTTTTAAATGTGTTTTTTTATACGTAAGATTATTAAAATTAAATTAAAATTTTAATATTCTATGAACGTATTATTATAAATAAATATGTTTTTTTAGCAAAACATTTTTGCCAATAATAAGCGCCGAAAGGCACAAGAGAACAGCCATCATCTAAAAGAGACAAGAAAAGACAGTATATTTTGTTTTTTTAATTCAAGTTTTTGGAATTTTGAATTAAAGGGACATCATCCCATCCCAATCCCATAAACCCTGCAAAATGAGTTTTGTTTTTTTTTTTTTTTTTTTGTCTTATTGTTTGATCATTCTCTTGTTAAAGTTTGTATCACTTTTTGTTCCCTCTTACTTTTTGTCTTTGCGTTGGCCCTCCTAATCAAGAGTTTAGGCGACTTTAGACTGCCTGTTTCTCTATGTTAGGCATTGTGCTCAAATTAGCCATCTATTTCAATTAGTTCTAATAAATAGATAACCATGATACTTGTCCACATGTTCTGCACTATTTTTTATTTAATTTTATATTAAAATTCCTTCTGTTATATGGTTATTTGGTTGTTGATTGAATTATTCATCAATTTCTTTGAAAACTTTGGTACCACATGAAATGTATACAATAATATGTACTCAAAATGAGGTGATGAAAGCGCTTATACCATGCAAGTGCTACATAATTAATGCATAAAAGTTGTCTTTTTAGAGAAAAATGGAATTTAGAGGACAAGATAATCGATATTTCCCATTGATGCATTTACTTATTTGGCAAAAAATCCTTTCATGAAGTGGCTTTATTCCTAATATCCTTGGCCGATAGAAAACTGATAATGGATTTTCAGGGATGATTTGATACTAACAAGTAACAAGATGGAAGCAGAGCACTGAACAGTAGAGAAAAGGATCTCCTTTTTCATTTGCACCCCATATATAAGATCATGTCAGTAAAAGAAAAAGGAAGCAAAGGCCCTTAACAAAAGAACTTGAGTTAGTACAGTCAGCTCCCTTGAAATGCTTGTCAGTCCAACCTCACCTATTCAAGCAAAACAAAAAGTTAACCCTCCCTCCACCTGTGCAATGCATCACCCCACCAGTTACTTTGAATTCCCTTTGATCAGCCTTGCCTTTGCACAGATTTTTATCCACATTTTCTTCTGTATGTGAGAGCTCATTCCATGCCGAAAATTGGTGTCTGGAACACTGAGAGGCTTGGTTTTGCAGTTTGATAAGACTGCAAAGATTGTGCAATATTCCAGCTACCATAGCCAGAAGAGCCTTCATAATTATTGTTGACGCTATTATTTAAGACAATTGGTGTAGCGAATGGGAGGGAAGAAGTTGAAGTCTGTTGCTGCTGCTGCTGCTGCTGCTGAACATAACCACCTACATTGAACAACCCATTGTTAATGCTTTCGTTGACTGTAGAATTCCCACCAAAATCCATATTGAAATCGGTGGGACTTTGGAAACCGGATCCATTGTTTGATGGCTGATGAAACAAACTAGGGTTCTTGGCACTGCTTAAGGAAGCGGTACTGTTATTGTATCCGAAAATGCTGGACCAATAATCTGATGGGTCTTGCTTGATGGGAACTGCAAAGCTGAGAGTGGAGCTTGGAGCAGGCTGAGCTGCAAAGGTCACTGCGGATGATGCTGAGGAGTGATCTCGGTCGTCGTCGGTGCTTTTACTATCAGAAGCTGAATCAGAGCAGTTTTTGGTTTTGTTGCCAAGTCCTCCGATGGGAAGATTGCTGTTGACAATGCTTTTGACGTCGTAGCGGCTCATGTCAAAATTCGTCACTGCGTTTAGGCCTCTGAACTTAATTGCCGCAATATCATAGGCCTCAGCTGCTTCTTCTTGGGTGCCTGTAAAACAAATATGTTCACATTTTAATCATTTTTTATAATAAAAAGTGAGAAATAAGACAAAGTAATAGTGGTTAGCAATATTTCCAAACGAATAAAAGAAGAAAAGCTACTCACTAAATGTCCCAAGATAGAGATCTTTGTTGCCTGCAACTCTTCCAATTCTTGCCTGCCACCTACCATGTTGATGATGCCTGAGATATATAAAGTTAAAAGGAATCACAGATTATTTTATGTTCGTTTCAAATACTTTAATCTAACAGACCATATTTAATAATATATATAACGAACCTTGTGACGCCTCTGTAAATGGAGGCACCCCTAGAAAATCCACTACTCTTCCTGAAACATATATAAAATTAACCAAAAGAAAGCTTATGAAAAAATAACCTAAAAGACTATATATAGCGAAGTAGATCAACATCTAAAAGCTAATGCAATATTTGAATAATATGGTATTTACCTTCGAAGAGAAGCAACGAACTCTTGCCTAGTCATGTTCTTCATCTCTTCTAGTTCCTTCTCGTAGGTAGAAATCTAAAGAAAGAGGGAATTTTTTTACTAAGATCGAAGAGAAATGGGATAAATTAAGTGAAAGCCAGATTTTGAGAAACAGTGGTTACCGGAAAGTTTGTAGTGGTGGTCGCACCCCAGTACTTGAGAGCCGCTAGATCATAAGCTCTTGCTGCTTTCTCCTCCTTGTCATAGCCACCTAAAAGAATAAATAATTAAAAAAAAAAGAAAGAAAAACAGAAGTGAGAATCTTCATAATAAGCTGAAGTTGATGACATATCCATGCAAAAGAGAAGAATCTAGTGTTACAGTGACAGAAATCTAACAACAGTACTCCAATCTCAAGTAATTATTAATGATGATCAAGAAAGAATGTTTCAGGTCACAGTTAAAGAAAATGATGATCTTTAATTATAGTACTTAGAAGTGGAAACTCACCCAAATAAACTGAAAAAAACAATGATGAAGAATTTGAGCATCCATGGAAGCAATCATTCGTCATGTACATGCCACATAAAGAGCCAACATAAGCATATTAGAATCTTCAACCATTCATAACACTCATAATAAATGAGCACAAGTAGTTAGGTAAAAAATTTCTAATGCCCGCTCTTGGTATTCAAAGCTGCAGAATAAGATCTTAGCCCTAGAAATGGGCTTTTTCTTTTGTTTATAGGGATGTGCTCCATTAACATTCTTTTTAACTAGCATTTATTCCGGTCACATATTCAATTCAACCACCACCATCCTCAAAGACCACTCATTCAACAGTTGGTCAGTTGTTGATCAGAGACCTAGATCTCAATGGACCCATTTACAACATCAAAAACCCTCAAAATATTTTAAGATAATTAGATGGGAAAATAAAATAAAAACTGTTATTATTACCTTGCCTCCCTTTCCTACTTTGGCCTTCTCTTCTGCAACTATTGTCCCACAAGTGAGCTTCATATCTTCCAGTCCACCTATGCCTAAATGAAACCAAGAGAAAAAAAGAGCATTAATTTCATATTTTAAAGAGAATATATATATTCTTTGGAGGGGAAGGGGGTAAATTACTAGGAGTCTAGGACTATTCTTTGTTCATTTATTTACCTGGTGACACCCCGGTAGATAGAGGTACGTTGGCCAAAAGTATCAAGAGCTCTTCTGGGTGCAGGCTCAGATGCAGGCACCTGCTGCTTCTGCTGCCGTTGTTTGCGAGTGTCCGTTTGTTCAGAGGAAAATCCACGAAGAAAACTAGCAGCTATGGTTTTGAGCTCAGAGTCGTATATCTCCGTGTCAGAGACAGTCACGGGTGTTTCAGTAGCGAAGTGATGATGAGGCAACTGCTGTTGGGGTGCAGCTCCAGCTCCAGTCGTGGTTGAAGAACCACCAAGAAAATCCTCGAGTTTTGGGCCACCATTAAACATGGACAAGTCTGTTGCACCAACGGTGGTACCTGCACCTGCACCTGCATCTTCTTCTGCTGCTGTATCCACAAAAGACCACCTCAATACTTAATAACACATACATAAACAGTAAAATAACTACTTTTTTCCTTGTTTTTTCCTTTTTAATTGCTTTCAACGCCAAAGAGAAAGTTAAGTTGTAAACTTAAGGACCTGAAGAGTTTGTTGTTGCTGGGGTGGCGATGGTGGTGGAAGTAGTGAAAGCTTCAAAGAGACAAAGGTGAGAAGTAGAGGAAGGCAAGTTGAGATGTTGTTGTTGGCGGTGGTTGGAAAGAGAGAAAGCAAGCCAGTTCTGTGTGGAAGAAGAAGAATCCATGCTCCCCATGTTCATATCCATAGTATCGCCTTGTCTGACGAAGATTTCAAAGGAAGAGAGAGATATAAGTAATAGGTAACTGTTATTTTTTGTCTTTGGAAATAGTGGAACAACTAGTAATAGCAAGAGAAAGAGAGAATCGATGAAACCATGGGAGAGAAAATGAAATGAAGAAAGACTAGCGGACGACGACACAGATATAGAGGTAGCTAAAGAGAGAAAGAGAAGTCGCATGCACGAGCATCGAGGCTCTTTGTTTCTCTAAGGCATAGAGAGCTGAGCTAACAAAATTTAATATTGAATGAAAAAGAATGAGAGATGGAGAGGGATAGGGATAGGGTTTGCAGTCAGAAATGCAAGTGGAAGCATTTCATGGGATGAGTGGGCGGTCTCTCCATTCTTTAGTTTTGACAAAACCACCGTTTAACAAAATTAAGTTTTATTTGCATTTTTTAATAAATAAAGGTAACAATTAATTAAACAAAACTTGCATATAATAAAAATTTAACATGAAATTTAACAAATTCAAGATTTTCTATTATTATAATCACAATCAAATTATTTTTAATATATAGTAAATAGTATATTTATAAATAATTGACCAATAATTTGATGATTTTCAACGTGCATGATAAATGAAGATATATTTTTACATGATGAAGTTTTTGATTTGCAATTAACAAACTACTATATGAACATTAATAAAAAAATAGAAGAACTAAATAGGAAGCAATGATAATGTAAAAATATGATTTTAATGTCAGTAAAAATTAATGTATATGATTAAAATTTAAAGTTTAAATTAAATTTTAAATATTTAAATGCAAGCTCTCATAATTTTTTGTTGATAAATAATTTATAAATTTAAAATATTTTAAAAATTCACAAATCTCTTTAAAATTTTTCATAAAAAAAAAGAGAGATAATTGTTTTAATTTAAAAGGATGAAAACAAAGGGAATGTGTAGGAGAGAGGGGAAGCAAGGGGGAGAGAAGGGGAACACGGTGGGAAGGATTTTTATTTTTTGGGGGGGTTAAATTTAGAATAATTACAAATGGTCTCGACGACCGGCGCGTGTCCTTTATTTGTGTCAATCATAAAGCCTTTTGCTTTTTTATTCTTTCTTTCTTCCTTTTTTGACTACTCATGAGTTATGACAGACAGTGTTGGGAGTAAAAGACAACTCGCGCCTCTCGGGGGCTCATTTTGTATCCTCATCACATCATAATTTGGTGGCACTCGATTTTCATCCACGTTGGGTCGGATTCCATTCGAATCAAGTTGATATTTTATATTAATATTTTTTTTATTTAATTTGTTTTGATATTTTGAATTTTTAAATTTTTTAAATTTGATTTAAATTAAAAAAACAAATTTAAAGTATTTAATTTATATAATAATTTTTTAATTTAAAAAAAATAAAATTTTACATATATGTACTTATATAAATTAATATTTTAATTTTATATATTTTATTTGATTTATATTGAGTTGAGTTTGAATTTTTTTTAATTTTAATTCAAAATTTAAATGAATTTAAAAATTTTAAGTTTTTATCTAAATTTTAGCGAAACTTGAATAAATTTTTAAATTTAAATGAAAACTGGACTTTTAAATAAGTATATCTACACCGTCATTTCATTTGTTACAAGTCTTTTACTACGCTTTGTATTGGGGGCGTGCATGAATTAGACTTGTCCACCGGCGCGACTGGGTTTAGCCCTGGACACGAATGTTTGAAATCAATACAAGCTCAATCTTCTTTTGTATATTATATATATATATATATATATATATATATATACACATTGAATAATTGTTTATTCTCAAACAAACACAACGTGATATGGATGTCAAGGTTAGGTTGATAAAGAAACAAGATCCCATTGCACCCCCCATAATGGCAAGCTCCACTCCGGACGCTTGGGGCACCTGTCGTCACTGCTAGTTTTAACGCAAGAAACTGTCTGTAGTCTCATAGTGAGTGCAGAGTCAGGGAGGGACCCCAAACCAACCGCCACAATTAGCCGAAACTGAAGATCAAAGCAATGGCCACATGCAAAACAAACAAAAGAAAGATTAGGTACCATATAATATTATATATATATATATATATATTTATACAATCAGTTCAAGGTTGGCAAATAGCTTGCCAATGACCTTAAAACCCGGTTGAGCCTTGAAAATGCGTCTCCACGACTAAGTAAAAACAAAATTAAACCTGAGCCATTGCATGTGCGTAAAATGCGCATTGGCAGAGACTCCGGCGGTAATGTGTTTTGCATTTGGCTTTGATTCTTATTCAGTAAAAGGTAATACCAATGTAATCTCGAAGACAACATCTAGCTAGTAGCTATACTATAGCCCCACTGTTATAATTAACCACATATATATAAGGAATAAAGAAATGGGTTGTCTTTCTTGATTCATGGCCCTTTTGTCTCCGGTCAAAACTCTTTCATGCTTAAATTAAAATTTATGGTCACTGAAACGAATCATTCCTCACGTTCGCTGCTTATTTTTAATTATTTCTTCATGATCACCTCTCACATGACCTTTTCTATCTTTTTTTTCTATTTTTCCCTTTCATTCTTTTTCATTTCCATATGTATTATCATCCATGTTCAAAAAAGTGCAATTTTACCAATGGTCTATCTTCTGATTTGATTCAAAAATTAAATAAAATACTGTAAAATGTTTTTTTGAAAGAAAATTCATAAATTCATAAACACTTTAGTCTTTAACATTTGAAAACACACACCAGTTAAGATTGGTTAAGAACTTAACATACTATTTTAAGAATGGAAATGTTGCTTACAGTTTCACCAGCTATGGAACTCATCAAAGCAAAGATCATCTAGATCACTATGTTCTATTTATATCAAACCCCAAACCAGTGTCTTTTTCTGGCAAAAGCATTGTTTTCTAATATGCATGATACACACTTGCATATATGTATAACCAAAACCAGGGGGTTGGTACTACGAAATAACAAAAGCTTTGGCTCTAATGACTGCCTGTTGTTTCCTGTTACATGGTACATCACATTCACATACCTCAGGCATCAGTAAATTTGTAGTGATCATCAGTTGTTGTGTAAACAAGCCCCTCTGACGCAAGATAATCTAAAATTTTCCTGTTAAAGCCAAAAGAGTTTGTTTATGGTTACACTCTAATTAGTGTGTGAATAAATGAGAAATTAGTGAAAGAGACAGACCTGATTTTATCCAGTGGAATATTTAGCTCTCGAGCCACAACATCAGAGCTTACCCCAGTCTCAGATGCACTGAAGACAGAAGTGAAACTTATTAATGCTTGTCCAAAACACAAACAATATATAATCCAAATATTTTATGACATAAAGTTTGCAGATTAAAACAAAGAAGAGCAATAAAGTCTATGATTGGAACTACTCTATCCTAAGAATATTCATCAAAATAAATCACAGAACTGCAAATAGTCAAATACAACCCAACTTCTGGCCAAAAAGAAAAAGAAAAAACTTATTCAAAAATTTCCCGGCTTAACAATGTCACCATGATGGGTGAGGATAATTGTACTCACAACTTTGGGACACTTTCTTCCATCCATCATCTAACTTGTCAGCATTATGTTGGATCATTGTTTATTGTTTCTGTACCATGTGTTTGCAAGAGAAAATATGAGTGACCTCAAAAATCTAACTGTCAGTAAGATAAGACTTCCACCGCTAGATTTGTCTTCATCTCTTTAGTATTGTGGTTGCAGTAGAAATGGGTTTTTTGGGTTCATAACAAGAATCTAAAGGCTGAATCAAGCCAAGCCCAAAGCCTGGTCTCAAGCAAATTGATCAAAGGGGTAGCATTTGAATGGAAAATTTAACTAATTATTTTCTTAAACATGTTCACTTGATTCTAACGACAGTTAATAACACATAATTAGATGTTTCTTTTCCAGGAGAAACGGTATTAGTCTTCACTGCCAATTCTTTTAGCTTTTCAATTCATAAGTGCCTAAAATATATGATGCATGCTTACCGAATGCGTTTTAGGATACATGCATAATGTTTATTACACATGCTAAATAGGCAACTCACAAACTATGACTAAAGAGTATAAAGTCCTGAAATGCTGGACATATTTTCACTCAGACTGTACAAGTACCTTTTCTCATGAGTCATTTGCTTTATTATTTATATTAGAATACCCCAACTAGATAAGTTATACTAGCTCACAAGATAAATGATAAAGTTTTCCCCTTTAAAGAACACAAATACATATGTAGTATTAGGAGCTTGTACAATACTCCAGATCATTAGAAAGTTCAGTTTAATACAATTCCAAATTCAAGAATGAACTAGAAAAGGGAAAGAAACCGTTAAAAGATAAACTGAATCAAACAGGCTCACCAAACACACTATTACAATTTAGAGGATATCATAGACAACTCACAGGGATGCTGGCCGACGCAAGTAATTTAAGACAAGTGAATTAACACCGAGGTTCAGTTCATCAGTGTTATACTGGCCAGAAAACTGCAAAAACAAAAATGGATGGAGTTAGAGGACCAACTAAATAAAAAAACTTAGTATAAGTACTCTGCTAGTCCGTTCCTTCACCTGATTTGACAGGTTAGTTTGGTAGCCCTGTACCAGGTAGCCTAGACTTGAATTTGTCACCTGAGGCTGAGTTGTCATGCCTCCCTGCAGCATAAATACAAAGTTAAGATAAAGCAATGCAGTTCCTAGCAACAAAAATATAAACATTTACATCCAAATATGCAGGAATGCCACTTTATAAAACTAGAGTATCAACTCTTACCTGCATCTTTGTGTTGTACAAATGAACATATATACACTCAATGAAGTGGTATGCAATCTCATTAAAATCAGTAACAGGCCTGAAAGCCATACCAAAGTTCAAAGTTAGAACTCAAATACAACATCCAAATAAATTGACATGGACATGCGTTTTGAACATGACCAAAGCATAGCCAAATAAAAAACTCCAATAGGAAATTCCATTCTTCTCAAAATATGGGACTTTGAACTAAATTTAGATATCTGTAATTCCATCATGGATAACTATCTTATCCATGGGCTTGATACTAAAATAAACCTAATTTGGATTGATTTTCCTAAAATTGTCCTAAAATGATTCTAAAAGCCATCCAATATCATGAAAACCATTAATAAAGTCTACTCTAACCACCAAAGTCTAAACCAGCAGCAAATGTAATATCGAACTTCATAAGAGTAGCTTATGTAAAATCACACCTGATTGAGAGAAATAGAAGTGCAAAAACATAGTCTGCACTTAGCATACTGACACAAAGAACCAAGCATTTAGACCAGGACATTACGTGGTTTGCTTAAGTATTAATGTTATGTAAGGTTGATTTTGTTCCAATCAAAACCAGGTCAAAAATGTTTCATAGAATCAATACAAATGTCCCAAAACATCTTGTTAGAGTTAACACTCAAGTTTATACCACCTCATTTGCAGAACAATCTGGGAACTCAATGAGCTTTGTTGCAGTATCATTTAGAGAACTAAAAATAAAACATAACAAACTGCAGAAGGCTAAAAGAGAATATACCATCAGCTCTAGCAGCAATATCTAGTTGTGATTGTCTACTAGGCTTGGATCTGACTCCTCCAAAGAAATCAAATGCCCTCATTGTCCAAAGAACCCCCCATCAACTCTCATACCTCTGGACTCTAACCATCCCACCCACTCATCCTCTTCCCTTAAAAGTAAGCTCAACATTACACATAACTGTGATTATTCATATCTTCATTCATCAAAGCCCTATCATAAGAGAAATTATAATGCTAACAAAAATGTCCAAGTAATGGACTACAAGAAAACACTTTTGCTCTTTTGATAAATATGCCAAGTAAGATTCATTTTCTGCAAAGATCACTTAATAAATTTATCTATCTGAAAGAATGAGATGTAAATGCTCCAAGAAAAGAGTTCAACAAAGTTCCCAAAGACCTTTTCTTCTTCCACATTACGAAAATATGTAAAAAAAAAGAAACATAACATAGAAAAATATATATAGAATTTGAATTTATACCGAATGGAAAAGGTGTGTACAGTCCTTCTACTTTGGATGCTTTTTAACTGGCCATAGACACGAACATACATTCCAACCCTGAGATGGAACAAAACACTTGAATATCATGTCACATAAAAACCCTTAATGTGTTTCCAAATTAAGTCATTTGAGAAAAAACCCTAAAATGCCAGCAAAGGTATAATGAGTTTTAATTTGCACACATTATTACTTTCAAAGATTTCATTTGCTTTGCCCTCACATAAACAACACAAAATTTCAGTAGTCCACACATTGGCAACACACAGCTTTGTTGTATTTTTGTTTTCTTTGAACAATTAAAGCAATTAGACAAATGGGTCAAAAGCCCTAGAACTAAAATTCAATAATCATCCAAGTCTTTATCCCTTTTCTTTTTTTTTTTTGCGATCAATTAAACCCTCAAACATCTATTTTCATCAATTGAGCCCTTGTTAGAGAAAAAATGGTTAACTATTTCCATCCAATAAAGGGCTTAATTGAGTGAAAATAAATGGATAAGGATTCAAGTGGATGAAAATAGATGTTAAAGGGTTCAATTGATTTGAAATAGAAGATCAAGATTTAATTGATTGCAATAAAATACCAAGAGCTTAAATGATTATTGAATTTTTGTTTAAGGCCTTTTTCGAACCTTATGTCAAGTAATTAAACATATGCCTCAATTTAAGATAACATAAACTTATTGGAGTAGTGAGAGGGAAAACTTACAAGATCGCATCTACTTCAACTGAATCTACATGTTCATGAATCCTAAACAATTAAGAAAAAAAATTTAGTGGCACAGAATCAAGCTATCAAACAACAAAATGTTCTAAAACTAAAATTTAAAATAACAAATAAAAGCAAGAGAGATAATTGACCATTTGGTGCATTCAACCCATCCTGTGCCATCATCAACTCTGAAAGTGCAATCTGAAACAGCATTGTCTATCTTGGATACCCTCCCCACTAGCACAATCTAAAAAAGAAAACCAAAATTTCAAAATTCGAAGCCCATTTATAAAAAATACATATCTATTATTTGTGAAAAATTTTTAAAAAATGACGCAATCAAAGCCTACATTGTTGACATCAACACCATCAATGGAAATACCAGATTCTCCACCTCTTGAGAGATCCTTTAACTGCTTTACTGTAAGTGGAATCAAGCACCTCGCACCACTATTCTGAAATTTTCAAAAAAAAAAAAAAAAAGAACCTTTTGTTTAAACAAAAAACGCATTTTAACACAAAAGTAAACAATGATTTTAAAAAATTAGAAAGAAATGTAATTTTGATATTAAATTCATCAAAAATAAAAAAAAAAATTACTTTGATTTTATTTTTATTATTTACTTTTGCTTTGCAGCAAATTTTCTTTAAAGAGCAAAAAAGTAAATAGAAGAGAAAAAGTAACTAAAGAATTTAAAAAAAAAAAAGGGCCTAAATTAAAATGAAAATATTAAAAAAAAAAACAACTTCGGCAAATTCTTAGCATCAACAAGAACTTAATAGCCATTTATTTTTACTACGAAACAAATAACCAAAAGCAAGAACAAGAAAATGGCAAACCTCAAAAGGATTAACTTCTTCAACACACACAACAGCTATTATTAAAAAAAAAAAAAAAAACTAAATTTAAAAATAAAAAGAAAAAAGATGGGCTATATATACTTTCGAGGAAGAGGAGGGACGACCAGGGGCGGTCTGGGTAGCCTGAGAAGGCATGAATCCGCCTCCGGAAAAGGCCGCGTTTCCATCGAATTCGTTCGCCTGCATGAAGCCTTTTTCTTTTCTTTTTTTTCTAATACTGGGATAATTTATTAGAATTTTGGAGATTTTTTTACTTAACAACACTTTGCGGTTCTGAAAAGTGGGGTTCCCGCCGTACTGTCCTTTTATTTCCCTCTACTTTTAACCATTTTTTTAAAATTAAATAAAGTCCCCCATTAAAATCAAAATTAAAGAATTTCCCGTTGTATTTTATACGTACTTCAATAATATACATGCAATATTTTACTTTGATTCCACAATTTGAAATAGCACGCAATATCTCACTCTATCACTCTAATGAAACTACTAATTTATATTTTATTAATTTAATTATTGGATTTTATTCTTTATTTTGTATATCAAGTCAAATTTCAAGTTAATTAAAAATATTACTTTTATTCTATAATAATAAAAATTGTTTATACGTAAAAATTATAAATATTAAATTTTAGATTTCAAATTTATTAAATTTTATCTTTTAAAATAATTAATCTGAAAATTCAATACTTTATGAGGTATTATGACATTAAAATTAGTACAAATGATAAATAGATAAGATCTTGATGTATAAACATTTGAATTCGAGTTTTTTTTATCATTTTTAATAAATAAATTATTTGTAAATTTAAAAAATTCACTGATAAAAATTTAATAAATCTATAAATTTCAATTGAATTAAAGCTTTGCCTCAACCTTCAAGATGAGTAGCAACTCCTAATTCTAAACCTTTTCAGACCCAACAAAAAAAAAAGGAAAATGTCCTTCACGGCCTTAAGCTTTAGTCATTTTCTTGCCTTGAGTACGATGCTTCTTCCTACATTTGTTCCAAAAGCAAGACATTACGCAAAGCTTGGCCTATCGAAGGTTTGGTTCTGCATTGCCGGAGGTTGATTGATTGGTGGGACAATCTAAGTTTGAGGATGTTTGCGAGTTCCAGGCTGCATTTTCCAATCAAAAGGAACCGACACATCTAATGTTGTGTACTATTTATGGATTATGTTACAATTACAACTTAAAAACAGAACATACATTTCCAGCCTGATAGTTTTATGAAAAGAGCATACGTACGATAATCAAAGTCGCCTTGACCTTGACACACGAACAAGAATAGAAGAAAAATTCAAGGGAGTGCAACCGTAATGCCTCTCAAGCGATGAGTCGCTGGACGGACTTAGTAACCTTGATGATCGAAAAGAAAGGCCATTTGAGAAAGAGAATGATGAAGAGCTTGAAATGCGCGGCGACAACGCCATAAATTCACCATCGTTATAGCTGCAAATCTCATGGTTTTTTCGACCCTGCTGCTTGATCATGCTTCTTGTTTCCACGGTTTTTTTTAATTTTTTTGGTTTTCCATTGTTTCCAAAACTTGAACGTCCTTAGTTTCATTGAAGAAGGCTTAGGCTCTTTGATGTTACTACATGGTTTAGGTGAACAAAGGCTAAGCGCAGCCGGTGGGGGGACTACTACTTGGTGGGAGGATATCTTCCTTTTGAGGTTCTTCCTTTGGTGTCCTTGGCTGCATTTCCAAATTAAAGGGTATCCGTTCAGAGCTCCGGTAGTAATATATCCTAGAAGAACAACCAACAGAAGAATTTCTTGAGATGATTCTATTGAAGAACAATTCCTCACCTTGAATCACCGATACTCCTTTTGCCACACCTCTACGACCATCGTTATCCATTATTTGCAAGTAATTCTATGATTGTTGGAGGAAAGTAGAAAATGTATAATTTCTCAGCACTATTTGGAAGACTGAAACAATATAAAAGTTTTAAGAGATGAGGCTACAAGTTCATAAATATATATTTAATTATTAGATAAAACTAATTTTTATAATATAAAATTATGTAAAAAAAAAACTTGAATTAAAAACTAAAATTAATCTATTAAAATCATAATAAAAGAAAAACAAAAAGATTATATTATGTATAAATCATTAAAAAAGTAAAAAAAAATAATATATTTTTTAATTTATTATAATGAATACTAGTTTGAAAAAATAAAAATTTATAATATAAAATAATTACAATTTCAAAAGAAAAATAAATTTTTAATTCACATATTAAATTGATAATATTGATTATTATTAATTTTATACGTCACTTGATCTCGTTAATAAAAATTTATCACCCCTTTAAATGAAAATTAAATCACTTTTACAAGCAATAATCTAATCACTTGTTTACTAAACATGATAATTTAATAATCATATATAGATTCCCATAATCTTTAAAGTGATCATCTTATACTAAACACAACTTTAAATAAATCATAGCTTAATTGTAAAGTGGAACTTGGAATTAAGTTACCAAAATGAAATTGCAATTTTTTTTTCCACCTAAAGAAATACTTTTAAAAACAATTTGATTGGGTTATATACACACGAGAAAGATCAATTTACACAGTCTAAAACTTTTTTAATTTTTTATTTTAATATATCCAAATGATGATATTAAATTATTTTTTCTTATTTTTACTTTTTTTTATCGCTTGGATAAAGTCAAAATTTTAAAAAAACTTATTCTATGTAAATTAACCCCTTCTCTCTCTCTCTCTCTCTCTATATATATATATATATATATATATATATATTGTTGATTCCAAGTTGTCCAATCGAATATCCTGATAACACCACTTCTTGGTCATGCATTGCTCAAGGGCATGATTTTCTCCAAAATCCTAAACCCAACCAGAAAAAGAATATATCTTTCAGTTCTCCTTGTACCATTTGAAACCCAATTTGTTATCCAATTTAAGATATAAGAACGAAACTGAAAGAAAATAATAAACTTGCATTTGGAAATATATGTTGAAAATATAACCATTCATTATTTTCCCTAGTATTTGATCTAAAGGTTGCTTTAACTGCATTGACTTGAAATTTAAGTACTCTTTCGGCTAGTGCTTGGTATATGATAAGAGGTAAACCCCTTGCCTGCCATTCTTTTCAAGCGTCATGCACAAAACATCGGCTAAAGACTTTATTTGACAAAAACACGCGATACCAATTGTTGCAGCAAATGCAAACTTCCATGGCAACGGAGAAACCAGCCTTGCATTCCTGATTGACCTCAGGAGTAAGACTCTAAAACTTACTTTCGTTCTTTCAAGGACGAATTTGAAGCAAAAAACCTATTGCTCTGCACTGCTAGCCTGAAGCGCTACAACATTCCTCAATAGACAATAGGCTTTGTTCTTTTAATTAAAACTAGAATGAATGATACAATGCATAAAGAAATCTTACTAAGCAACTATAAGCATACAAATACAGCTGAAAATGCCTAAAGACACTAAGTACATTGACACTAGAGCTTTAGAAGAAAGCCGTAATGTAGTTTCTACGAGCCGAATAGACCATACTGCACTCTCAAGTTTACAAGCTTGCTTACTGCCACACATATTTTTCAAAAGGACCAACTTCAGTTGATCTTAATCCGATAATTCAGACATGGACGTTAGGCTTCCTGGGTTATACCCCCTGAAAATCAAGATAAAGTCAGCATGTCTTTAACTTAAAATGGTATGAAACCTAACAATTGAGAACATGAATCTAACTAACATGAGTATGTTTTCCTATATTTACTTTAATCTTTTATGTAGGAATTTATGTCAAATAAGAAGCATAGAATTGAATTTGGCCATGGGCAGGGGAGAGAGTAGACAGATTACTGAACAGCTGGAGGATGTTGAACATAGATATAACAGAACATAAAATAAGCCTAGCCATCTATAATCCCATCTACATCTCTAACGCAATTCTATATTGCCAATCCCTAGAGAAATAAAAACACATATCCCATTGTTTCATGCTTGCCCAGTATATAAACTAGAGAAATCTTTCTTCGTGTTATTACCATGTATGCAGGGTTCCCCAAACATAAACTCTTCTTTCTGAAATAAAAGTGAAGTTAAGGGTAGTACCATCTAGGCTCAGGAAGCTTTAATGGGGGTTGTTTCTCATCAAAGTTACCAGGAGACAAGGTTGCTTGGAATTTAATTGGAAGCACATGATGATTATAATGGTGAGCAAATGTATCCGCCATGCATGCTAGGGATGTCTTATATCTTATGTGAGGGCAGACAAGGTTGGCAAGTAATTAATGATCCTTCAGGAAAGAAAATGCAGGTGGTTATACACTTTTAATTATATTTATCTTTATATCAAAGATGGTTTCTTGAAAATTGTCACTGTTTATTGACCTCAAAAAAGTTTTATTGAATTTAAGGTTCTTACTCAGAGAGAGGAGGAGGGGGTGGGGCGCTAAACTGGATTTTTTTTCTTTTATATATTTTGGATCTGAATAAAATTTCATTACGATTTTGACTTTTAACAGAGGTCTGAAATTTTAAATTAGCCTTAATTTTTTTAGCAATGCAGACCAGAATAGAGGCATAATATTCCTATACACAAATCCAAAGAAAAATAGCCTAAATCAATCTAGGCCCATCAGAAGCTACTCCTAAACAGAGTGCACACAATGAAGCCTCAACAAGATAAACCAAATAGATCAAAAGAGTGCCTCAGCAAGATCAAAGTATTAATCTAGCAATTTGATGGAAAAGAAGTTAAAAAAAAAAAAAAAACACATTGGATTTCAAGAAGGAAAATATCAAGTTGTACCTCAGCTGGTGATGAAATAATAGATTCCCTGGTCAAATTTCAAACAATCACTCTTAGTTCCTCACATGATTAATAAACAATTAAAAACCATACATTATTCCACAGGATGACAATAAGTTGTAACTACCTTGGTCTTTCTACTTTAGACAGATGTCTGGACATAATGGATGCCTGCAATAAGACCATTAGTCATATTTATATCTATATCTAGAAATAATAACAATGAAAAAAAAAAAAAAAGGAAAGTTGAACTTGGGAGAAAGTATCACTAACTGCTGGATCTAGCTGTAAGCGTGCAAAAGTTAAATAAAAAATTAAATAGATAGAAGAAATTTTGTAGCTTAATGAATTAAAAGTAAAAAAAATAGTTCGCTGAGTTCTTAAAATCTCCTTTAACATTGAAAAGAAACTCCATTAGTCAACTATATATTCAGAATGATTGACTGTCAAATAGAAGCCATATTTAGTCATAAAACATTAGGACCAAAATCTGGACTAAAACAATTGATCTCCATAGTTATAACACTGAGGGGATGTCAATGATGTTGGCATACATCAAAAGTTAAAACCCCTAGCTCTATGAAATGCAAGGGGCACAAAATGCTGAACTGAGTTCCATGCAAGATCTATCATAAGTTTACTTAAATATGTAGTGCTAGTATTGCAGAAAGCTTGATTATCCAGCTAGGAAACCATGATCAAATGATGTATCTAATACACAAATTAACTCATTAACGTACTGCATCTGTTTTCTGATTGGCAAACTTCAAAAGTACACTACCTGCTCCTGGATTATGCTCCTTGCTTCAACAAGTTGAGCTTCAAGCTCAAGTTCCCTCTCTGTCGCTTCAGAAGTGACTTCTGCACCCTTTTGCGCATCTTGTAATTGAACCATGCGCTCCTTGAAACAAAGAAACAAAAAATTGTCATCATTTTACTATCTATCTTAGTATATGATTTTAAAACAATTATGTATTTAAATTCAAGAGAAAGATATTACTTTTATAGAAGCCATCTTTGTGCGAAGACTTTCTTCTATTTGATCCCTAGCCATGTGAAAAGGAAGATCAAAGACATCCTGTAAACAATAAACCCAGCAGCTTAGAAGCAGCACTTGACCAATTGGAAATTAGCACTTTTGCATCATTCAGTAAGTCATACCGTCCTCCCACCCAATGGAGATTGTGATGGATCATTTTCCTGTCTTTCGCTGACAGGCAAAGATTGCTTTGGCAACCCATTAGGAGCATTAAAGAAATCACGCATATCCACCTGTAAACAAAGCTGCAGTCAGAATTCATGGGGTACAAACTAAATGAGGAAAATTGAATACCAGAAGCGAGAAAGAAGAAGTAATATTTGATGAAAATTGGAATAACATGAAAAAGATGGTAAAGTATCGGAGGAAGCATATCTATAAAAGTTCCTCATCACAGTACAATCCCCATTACGGGCAAGATGTTTGCAGTATCATGCTTATTCTTGGGATGCATCAGGCACATACAATAGCAACTCCTAAATGGGCATTGCTGTACAATCCCCATTACGGGCAAGATGTTTGCAGTGTCATGCTTATTCTTGTGATGCATCAGGCACATACAATAGCAACTCCTAAATGGGCATTGCTACTCCATTTCAGCGTGGATATTGTGCTCATAGGCCAAAAAAGGGCACACTGTGCTTTGCTAACTCAAATAGATACTGATTACATAGAAAATTCAGAGCAATATGTTAATATGCCAAATGTCCTTTGATCTATGATAACGTAACTAAACATACCATTTCACCAAAGTTAAAGACATATCAAAGGGCCACGAATACAATATATCTGCCAAGAAAGGCACATACACATGATTAATTTGATCAATCTTCCACAGTTTGGTTCACAGTACATATTACTGTTTTGAAGTGTTGATATTTGACAGATTTTGACTTCAAAATTATAACATGAGAACCCTTTCATATCACATTATCTTTCTAAAAACTTCTACTTCCTTACTGCATATATTTAGTAGAAGTTAGAACATAGCAAGCATCCATAGATTATAGAATGTAAAAGTCTTTGTCCCACACAAGATTTATTGACTTATCACTCATCCATTACCAGATGCGATAATAGATCATGGCTTGCCAATAAAATAGCATCGCAATACTCTGGGCAGTGAATTGTATCATCAGCATCAAATATCGACCACATATTCTAAAGGACAGTACTCATCATTAAAACCATTGACCAACTAAGGAACAACTGGATCTCTCATTTCTTCCATTCTTTCATGTTTCTTATGCTACATACTTTGTAATAATCCAAGTCCTTTTTAGATGTATCACATTTATAGTTTATGGGGGTAATATTATTTCATAAATTAATCCAGCAGGCATAGATGCTTAAAAAATGACAAAATGAACCCAACACTTTCACCAAAAAAAGGAAAAGATAGAAAGAAAAGTAAAAATTCCAAGGAGTGGACTGACAGCAGCACTGAATTTTTATGATAATAAAACGGATATTAGCATAATTGCATGATTACTCTCAAACAGATATTAGGAACTATATAGGGCCATTATAATGCAGCAAGATGTCTTAAATAATTTTGCATCATTGGTGATTAGTAAACCGCGGGAAAAGAAATAAGTTAATCCAGTTTCATATTTCCAAGCTACAAAGAAAAGCTTAAGAAAGTTTAATCTTTCCATGCCACCAAAAAATTATACACCATATCTGGAAAAAAAGTGACTTTCGCATATAATCCTGATCTGCTATGCAGCCGAATCTGATTAGCAAAAGGCAATATGGATAAACAGAGCAAGTATGACAATAGGGGATAAAATTTTGAGCATATACCTGCATTGATCGCAATAATGCTCTTAAATCAGCATTTTCGGCCATTAATTCTTGATTTTTTGCCTCATAAGCATCCACCTGAAAGATCACCTATTTGTTAGACTTAAACATAATCTAATGGAGGCCAAAGATTTGTAATAACTCAACCGCTCTTCATACAATCTTTTTATAGAAATCATTGTCTGCCTTCTTGCCATTCCAAGTCCCACGTTGCCGCCCTTCTTTCTGTTTACATGCATCATAAAATTCGTTAGCAGCATTAAATTTAGATTCGCTCAGTAGTACAATTAGTATTAGTGCAATTAATACCTGAAGCAAATTCATTATCTCCATTCCTGATCTTGATTCCTTCTTCTTCTCCATTAAGACTTGGTTCAGTCTCTCCTGCAAGAGAAACACGAATTATATTTCCTGCTTATATATACTATTTTCTCCTCAAATGATCAGTAAATAAAAAACAAAATAAGATCCTACCTGCAACTTTATGTACTCCTTTTCCTTCTTCTTCATTTCATGTATTTGTTGAGTTCTCACTTGCTTTTGTAGTATCAAGTACAAATAGTAATTGTCAAGAACTCTACACCTTTCTATATTGTAACAGAAAACAGAAGTTGAACTCCAAACAAGCAGAATATGCCTAACCTGATTACCAATCACCATCCTCTGAAATTCATCCCGTTCTTGCTGTAGCTTCTCAACCTGCGCTTTAAAAGCTGCTGTACTTTTGGCTTCCTAAAACATAAGGATTAAAGAATTACCATAAGTTTCCCTAATTTGATTACAAATTGAAACTAACCTAAACCAACATAAAAAAATAAAATAAAATAAAAGATAGAAATGAAACGTCTCAAACCGCTCTGGTAATTGTTGCGATCTCTCTATCTTTGGCTTGCAACTGTGCATCAAGCCTCTCAACTTTTGCCTCTAATCTGGATATATCTGATAATAATCTACATGAGGAAAAGGAAAGGAAAACGATGAATGATACTCCCTAACAATTCATTAAATTCCACAATAGAAATATACAAAACCAGTAGATAATTTAATCTTGCTAATGTCATGCTGATAAAATATTAATTAAAAAAAAACTGAAAGCAAGTTAGACCTGCACATTCGAATCAAAATTAATGAACTAAACTAAGGTCAAAATTAACTAAATAAAAATAAAAATATACTAAAATTTATAAGATTGCATTCCATAAAAATAACAGAAGTATCATAATAAAAGGCAAGCGACTTCGAGGCGGAAAATAAATTACTAAAATCGAAAATTGAGGCATCAATTAGAATTAAATAAATATTACCGTTGTCTTTGTTCATTAGCAGACTCTCTAAATTCAATGTCGCGCTGCCTTTGCTGCAGCAATGAATATATACAGTTGCAAGTCCTCGCGATCGAAACCTATCAATCACATCAAAATCTAAAAACTAAAATAAAATAAAACAAAATCCTTAACTCTTAATTATAAAAAAATTTAAATAAATTAAATAAAGAAAAAGAGGAACAGACCGGATCATTGGTAAAGAGATCGAGAGAAGCTGGAAAGCCGAAGGTAACGAGCGTCTGGTTCAAGTACTTCGCACAGTGCTCCAAGTTTCCAGCATCCGCAAATGTATACTCTCTGAAACTCCACATCACACCAAAAAAATCATATTTTTGTAAAAAAAAAAAAGTTTTAGAAATGGAGAAGCTCTAGTATAGAAAATAACTGACCCTATAGAGAAGGCGGAGTGAACAGAAGGCTGTTAAAAAAAAGAAAGAAAGAAAGAAAGAGAGTCAATAATTACAAAGAAAGAGAGCGAAACGGAGAAAAAAAAATTATCATTACTCGGAGATCCAAGTCTGCGTCAGTCGCTGGCATTGCGAGCGCGAGATAGAGAGAGAGCACAGTGGTGATGAACCGAGGAAATTGGTAGATGCTACGTTAGATAGATCTAAAACTGCCTTTAAGGCGGTGGTGGACAAATCGGATCTTGGATTGGACTTGGGCTTTAACTTAATCAACCACTAATCCGGTGTGCTAGTTTCCACTAAGATCTTATGGTTTTTTTTTTTATCGTGGCACTTTGTGATTTGTTAAGAGCCGGACTGGGCACGCAAATTTAGGCTTTCGCTCTGTTAAAGCCTGGAATAACGTCCTACAAATCTACGATAGTAACGGAAAAGATCCGGTCAAAGATTTTGTTGCTTTTCTCTATTTTATTTATTTTCATGAATCATACGACCGTTAATACGGTTTTAAAAATTCCACGCACCATGTGTTAGATATTTTTCCTAGTTCTAATTATATGTATATGGTTTGCATCTTTACTCAAAATGTAAATTTCCAATATTATTATAAATTTCCATTTATTTTGAATATTCTTTGTTAGGATCAACTTCTTTAATTTATTTTTAAAATAAGTTTTTATCAATGTTTAAGTGTGCAAATTAAGAATTAATTATGTCCTAATTAATATATATATACACTAAAAATTAATAAATATAATCTAAAAAGCAATAATAAAAATGGTCTTAATTCCTAAAAGTAGTGATTTCATTGAAGTAGAACTAGCTTTGTTAGGTGGAACTTCTATGTTTCATCATTCTCTCTTTTTTTTTTTTAGTATTTTCAAGTGTAAATATTAAAGTAAAGGAAAATTTTACAATACTTTATCAATCTTACTTTTTTTTACTTGGAATAGTTATCAATAATTTTAATCACTGACTCACTATTAATGTTAAATTATAGTATAAATTTTAATTTTAATTTAGTTGATTGATATAATCAGTAAATTTAAAATTTAACTTAAATTTTTTATCTATTTTCAAACTACAATTTTCTTATAAAAAATCATTTATAGTATTTTTTAAAATAATTATAATATACAATTAAATGTCAATATTTTTTTGATTGAGTTGATAAAATTAAACCATATGAGTTTCAAAATATTCATCTTATCTTTTGTGTACTTATAAAAAAAAATCGTCATTGAATGCAACATTACGACTTACAACTTTAAAATAATTCAAGTGATTAATCTACTACTTAGCATTAAGTAATCTCCGAGCATGTATTTTCCCCATAAGCCCTTGTGCAACTAAGAATTAATCAAGTGAAAAGTTAAAAAATTAATTTTAATAAAAAATTTGTTCGTCCCAACACTTTTATCGCATTTGATGCGATAATAATTTATTGATTTGATTGTAATATTTTATTTATAAATTAATTAAATTTGTATATAAAAAAAATTGTAGTTTAAGATTAATGTGTTAAAATTCGAATTATAAACTTATTTAATAGTAGTATTAAATATGATTATAAAAATTAATTAAGTTCAAAGTTTGAATTAATCGATTTACTAATGGTTGTTAGACCTTAATTACCTTTAAATTTATCCAATACTAAGTAAATATTTACCTTTTCTACATTGAGCTAGAGTAAGAATGTAAATGATATATTAATAATTGTAAATTATTCGAGTTTAATTTGAATAAAATTTAAATTTAGTTCAATTATTATCGAGCTGAGCCCGAGCTCGAATAGCTTGATTAATTGATCAAGTCGAATTTGAGCATTTTTATATCCGGTGTAAGTAGCTCGTTAGTCAAATCGAATTTTTATATTTCAATTAATAAAATATATCAAGCTCGAGTATAAATAATCAAATTTTTATCGAATATGAAAATTAAATTTATTTTTACATATTAATTGAGCTTAAAAAAGTAAGCTTAAATAACTTGATTTTTATCTTGAATTCGAATTAAAAAAATAAAATTTGATTAAATTCAAATCGAATTTCAAATTGAACTCGAATTTAAATTTAATATTGTATCAACTTAGAACTCAATTGATATTATGGGCTAGAGCATCCCAAAGCTTTCATATTTGTCTAAAGAACCCTAAAACTCAAATGCAATTAAGTATGATTAAATTAATTTAAAATTGGTTGGATATGGATCTCCAAATTGAGTATCCATGCCACTTTGATCTCACATGTTGTGCTTAATTATTGATCCTGGCTGGCTGGTGGGTCACTTGAAATCAAATAGCACCTGCATACAATTAAAATATATGGCAAATGGGCTGATAGGAAGGAGCCCCATCGGCAATATTGCTGCCAGATTCAACCACAAAGATCAATCTCTTCACATGACTTTAGGTTTGGCTGATCATTATGAATCTACTCCTACCACTTCTCCTAACCTTACTCATTGCTTTCAAAAGAAGGGTAGCTTACCATAGTTCTCCTCTCTCACTCCCTTAGCTTCTTTCTTTCTCATTTAAAAGCAATGGTGCATATAAACTTAATATTTTAATTACTATATATATATATAGTTAAAGTTAGAGATATATGAGTAAATGAAATTTGATATAGCATGCTAGAAGAGGATAACAATGTTGGAAAAATGTTTTTTTTTTAATTCAACGTGATAGGTTTCATAATATATATATATATATTTATAATATATAGATTCATTTAGATGAACTTTGAAATTGATTCTGATGAAAATAAAAAATAATAATATCAATGTTTGTTTTTGCAATAATGAGATTAAAGTTGTAATGATGAAAATATATATGTGTAATAAAAATAACATTGAAATGAGATGAAAAAAATTATTAAAGATACTAGGTTAAAGTTTTGTATGTTATGTAATTTATAATATATTTTGATATTTACAAAACTTATTAAAATTAATACAAATATTTTTTATTTCAAAATAATATATTTTTAAAAAATTAATAAAGTAATATATTTACAAATATTCAAAATGAACATCATAATACTTATTTATTTAATATATGTAATATAGGTTTTATGCATACACTCGGAATATTTGGGGATTAATAAAAACATGTGTATTTCTATTAAAATTTCATTGTAGTGCGGTAGAGTCAATAGGACCCAAATAGGTCCAATGACATTTTAGGCTTGGACAAGATGTGTGTTGCTTTTATGGAGTCATATTAGATCTGTCATATGTCGGGCAATTTGACAAGTCCGTGGGCCTGGCTCAACTCAAGCCTCAGAAAAAGAATTTTCAAACATCTCTTGAGGTTGCCACTCTCGTCTTCACTTCTTCTCTCCTGTCCAAAATCCATAAAGCCAACCTGTTGAAGCAGCTGATCAGTTGTCGCGGAAGCCCAAAGCCGGCAGCTCTATCTCAGGAGCTGGGAGCATTACAAGTTACAACAATGTTTTTTCAGAGAATTTCACCATAAAAGAGGTAAAAGCGCTGATTTTGAGCTACCCATTTAGAGTAATGTTAAGAAGATCAAAGAACCTTGCATTTCATTTCAGCAAAAGCCTGCAATCTCTTTCTAAAACGCAGTTCTCAGTTTTCTTATCCGGGTATTGTTGCAAGACCAACCAGTCGGAATCTGAAAATGAATGGGAGAGATTGCTCAAACCATTTGACCTCGATGAACTTCGAAAATCATTCAATAAGATAACCCCTTATCAGCTTTGTAAATTACTTGTATTGCCACTTGATGTTCCGACATCTTTAAGGTTGTTTCAATGGACAGGTTCCCAGAAAAGCTATTGCCATACATTTGATGTGTATTATGTTCTTATTGATAAACTTGGGGCAGCTAAGGAATTTAAGGTCATAGATAGATTATTGATGCAAATGAAAGAAGAAGGGGTTGTCTTTAAGGAATCCCTTTTCATTTTGATCATGAAATATTATGGAACAGCCGGTTTGCCAGGTCAGGCTACTAGGTTGTTATTGGATATGAAGAATGTTTATTCTTTTGAACCAACATTTAGGTCTTACAATGTTGTCTTAAGTATTCTGGTGGCTGGGAATTGTCATAAAGTTACGCCGAATGTGTTTTATGACATGTTGAATAAGGGTATCTCTCCTAATGTTTATACGTTTGGTTTGGTAATGAAAGCCCTTTGTATTGTTAATGAAGTGGATTCTGCTTGCTCGCTGCTTAGAGATATGACGAAACATGGATGTGTGCCAAATTCTGTGGTTTACAATACTTTGATACATGCATTGTCAAAGAGCAACAGAGTTAATGAGGCAATGAAACTTTTGGAGGAAATGTTTCTGATGGGTTGTACTCCTGATGTTCAGACTTTTAATGATGTTATCCATGGCCTCTGCAAGCTTGACTGTATTCATGAGGCAGTTAAAGTGGTTGATCGGATGCTTCTTCGGGGCTTCATCCCTGATGAATTGACTTATGGGTTCTTAATGCAAGGGTTATGTAAAAGAGGCCAAGTTGATGAAGCTAGGGCATTGCTAAACCAAGTTCCCAGCCCAAATGTTGTTCTCTTCAATACCTTGATAAATGGATATGTGGCAAGCGGACAGTTTGATGAAGCTAAGGCTGTCGTGTATGATAGCATGTTAAGTATTGGCTGTAAGCCGGATGTTTTTACATTTAACATTCTGATTCATGGGCTTTGCAAGAAAGGATATTTACGGTCAGCTCTTGAATTGGTTAATGAGATGGAAGACAAGGGATGCAAACCCAATGTGATAACATACTCAATTTTGATTGATGGGTTATGCAAGGAAGGCCGATTAGTGGAAGTTGGTAATGTTCTAAATGAAATGTCTGCAAAAGGAGTCAGCCTAAATACTGTTGGATATAATACTCTAATAAGTGCATTATGCAAGGTTGGGAAGATTCATGAAGCTCAGGAGATGTTTGCTGAAATGTCAGGCAAAGGGTGTAAGCCTGATATATTTACATTTAATTCACTAATATGTGGTTTATGCAAGGTCAATCAAATGGAAGCAGCATTGGGACTGTATCACAATATGCTTGTTGAGGGTGTTATTGCCAACAAAGTAACATACAACACAATGATTCTTGCTTTTCTGAGATGGGGTCAGATCCAAGAAGCACTTAAGCTTGTAAATGAAATGTTATTTAGAGGATGTTTTCTTGATGAGATCACTTACAATGGCCTGATAAAGGCACTTTGCCGAGCTGGGGCAATTGATAAAGGCCTCGGGTTGTTTGAAGAAATGATAAGGAAGGGACTTGTTCCAAGTAAAATCTCTTGTAATATATTAATAGATGGCTTTTGTAAGGCTGGGAAAGTACATAATGCTCTTGAGTTTCTAAGAGAAATGATTCATCGAGGTTTGACACCGGATGTAGTAACCTATAACAGTCTGATAAATGGTCTATGCAAAGCTGGACGCATAAGGGAGGCTTTGAGTCTGTTTGACAGATTACGAGTTGAAGGAATTTATCCTGATGCTATTACTTATAATACTTTGATTAGTTGGCACTGCAAAGAGGGCGTGTTTGATGAGGCCTGTTTACTTCTACATAGAGGTGTGGAGGATGGCCTCGTACCCAATGATGTGACTTGGTTTATATTGGTCAGCAACTGTGTCAAAGATAGTCAAAGGAATGATTTTTAGCTCCATTTAATGTCTAGAAAGAAATTTATGCTTTTTAACGATGGTGTCTTGTTTTGCCTTGGAGTATTTTAGAGAGCTTGAAGGAGTTGGCTTTCAAGTTGGTTCAGCCAATGTCCATATTTTTTCCCTCCATTTGGATAGATGGGTTTATGCTATTTCCTGATGGCTCTTACGGGTTTCATCTGTCAGCTGCAATTAATTAGTAAGGGAATGCTCGGAAAGAAATCAATTGGTATATGTTGAATCCTTGTGGTTTGTTATGAAGGTAACTTTTAACTAATCTCCTGTGCAGGGAATTGGACTCTACTGATATGTTTATACCAGTTCCTCAATCTAGCAAAACTGATATTGATGCAAGGGTTAGTGATCTTATTAATTTGCATACCATGCGCTGGAATTTGGATCTCCTGGAACAACTTTTTCCCAGTGAAGATGCCAAGAAGGTGTGTGTGATTTTGATTAGGAGGATTGGTACTCCTGATTTTGTGGTGTGGCATTTGACAAAAAATGGTAACTACACTGTCAAGAGTGGCTATCACCTGCTGAATAACTTGCCACCAAGGCTGGTAGATGGAAACAACCGGAGGGAGAAAGAAGAGGTTTTGAACAGACAAAAGATTTGGGCTAGAATACGGAAGGCAGTGATTCCTAACAAAATTAAAGTCTTTGGTTGGAGAATCTGTGTATGTTAATCTGATAAGATGAGGGTTACCGGGGCTTCACTATGCCTGAGATGCAAACAAGCAGAAGAGACCGTTATTCATGCTCTTCGAGACAGTATATTTGCAGCGGATGTTTGGCAACTGTCCCAAGCTAAGGCAGCCTGGTTGAGTGAGCAAACAAGGGAGGTGTTAGCCTGGTTCTGCCAAGTTACTGAGCATATGAACCAGGAATGTTTTGAAGTAGGATTGGTTATCATGTGTACAATTTGGAACAATAGAAATGCTGAAGTGATTCAAGGAGATTAAAGGAGTGCTGAAGCTGCAGCCAGTTGTGATTTTTTTGGTACATTTATAGCATGGTCCCTGCATCCAGAGAGTCCCTGTTATTTTTGTTCCCCAGTTTGTTGTGTTATAAAAAAAATATATATATATATATATATATATATTGATGTAGATTTGTACGAGTCAATATAGTCCGCACAAAACTTGGGAAAACCCCAGGCTCAGAGTCCATGCAAAAGAAACTCGAAGGCACCCATCAACCAATAGAAATCAATAAAGTTCTGCCAATTTAGCAAGTGACAGCCATTAATAAACTTCTTGTTCTTGATTCCGATAAGCAAATGTATGTACGAAATAAATGAAGCAGTTGGATCCAAGTGATTGTGCTTTTGTCCATGTCCACGTTTCCACCCGAGTGGCCGAAAGCAACAGCCTAAAAAAAGTCTCTTGAGCTCAATGCCAGTCGAGACCAGATACCATTTTTGTTTTTTCCAATGAAAGACGGTTTAATGAAGCTGACTACTTCCAATCTGTGGGCAACATTGACCTCTCTACAACTACAGCTGGGGAAAAAAAGAAACAATCAACCATTCAAGGTTCAACATCCTTGACACTAGTATTATTTAATAGTTTTATATATTTTGTCCTCCATTTTGTTAAGAAATCTCGTTGAAATTCTCAACCAATTATTTATTGGGTGAGAATTAAAGTCAAAATAGCTTCGCTTTAAGCATTCCCTAACATTTAATTGACTTACAAAATTTTTCTTAAAAATAAAATTTTTTAACAGTATTTACAATTCTTTCCATTGTCCACAATTTTATTTTAAATTAACTAAAATCTTATTTGTTTGGTACATAAAGATTTTGGAATATACAAAAAGTGATATTTTTTCTCATTTCACAAATAAGAAAGAGATGCATGATTCACAAGGAAAAACATGAGACGCATTTTTTTCGTTTTTTTTTTATTCCCTAAAAGAAAGAAAGAGACAGGAAAGGGCATTTTAGAACTTCAAATATTCATTCATTTATCCTCCATTTTTTAATTAATAATATTATAACAATAATAAAACAATAAATGTAACAGTAAAAACCACTCGTAAAATAAATGTATGGTCTAAAAGCAACCCTTCTTTTGGTGATTTTATTTTAAAATTAACCGTAGTTAACTTGGGTGTTAGGTGGGTTTGACTGGTCTGGTTTGGTAGGCGTTGGGTTCGTTACCTCCCTCCCTTCCCGTTCTGCCTCAGCTGCCTTTGCCTCCCTTTTTAAAGCCCCCATCTCTTTCCTACCCCTTCAGAGAAGTCTCTTGTAGCTCTCAACAACCACCAAACTCCCAACTACACCAAACCTGAGAGAAGCTTCTCCACCTCCAATTCTGCATTTGCAGTTCTTCCAATTACAAATCACAGATGGATCCATCATCATCTTCTTCTTCTTCTTCCGGTTCATTGAAAGTTTCGCCGTTCGATCTGATGTCGGCTATAATCAAGGGCAAAATGGACCCTTCCAATGCTTCCTACGACTCAGCTGCTGAGGTGGCCACCGTCCTGCTTGAGAACAGGGAGTTCGTTATGATTTTGACTACCTCCATCGCGGTGCTTATCGGCTGCGTCGTCGTTTTGGTCTGGCGTAGATCCGGTTCTCAAAAACCTAAGCAAATCGACTCTCATAAGCCGTTGCTCGTTAAAGAACCCGAACTCGAAGTCGATGATGGCAAGAAAAAAGTCACCATCTTCTTCGGTACTCAAACCGGCACCGCCGAAGGCTTCGCCAAGGTTCCATTTATTTTTCAATTTCTTTTGTCTTAATTCGCTTATTAATTTTTCCTTAATTAGTTTTATTTATTCAAAATTTTTTTAAATGTGATTCAGGCTCTAGCTGAGGAGGCCAAAGCACGCTATGAGAAGGCGACGTTTAAAGTTGTAGATTTGGTAAATTTATTTATTTATTTATTTTTGTGTTTATGTTTTCGAGCTCAAATTGGCGATTATAAATATTGAATTTTTTTTTGCACTATAAATAGGATGATTATGCGGCGGATGATGATGAATACGAGGAGAAGATGAAGAAAGAGAATTTGGCTTTTTTCTTCTTAGCCACGTAAGTTTTTGTGAATCATATTCTTTTTTATTTATATTTTTTGGGGGGATTTGTTTTGCTGATATGGTTGATTTGCTGAACTTGTAGATATGGAGATGGTGAGCCGACTGATAATGCAGCAAGGTTCTATAAATGGTTCACTGAGGTAAATTTTAATTGTAATTAGTCAAGGATGATGATCAGTTTGATGATATTGGTGTTGTATCTAGAATGAGTTTTTTTAGTTAGCTGTTATTGAATCCGTGGTCGGGTATTTAGGGAAAAGAGAGGGGAGAATGGCTTCAGAACATGAAGTATGGAGTTTTTGGCCTCGGTAACAGACAATATGAACATTTTAACAAGGTCGCAAAGGTGGTTGATGACATCCTTACCGAGCAGGGTATGCTTCTTAATTTTCCTTTTATCTCCCCCCTGCTTGTAAACGGGTGCTTTGGTTCGTGGATTTTTAATTGTTTTACTTTTATTCTAATGGCTTGTTGGACATAAAATATGCTGTTAATGTTTGCTAACTATTTTTCTTTTCATGAATTACAATAATGCTTATGAGAGTGTGCATTGCCTGCTCTAATAGTTTTCGGAGTTAAATTATCAAGAATATGATTTGATTGCAATAAAGTGCTTGTATTTAGTGGGCGTATTATCAGAAGTTGTAAATAAGATATCCCACCATTTCAGTGTAAAACCGTTATAATTACTTACCTATTACGACTTTAATGTTTCATGAGGGAACATTTTATTGAGAGATGAATGCAGAAGTTTTTCCTTTTTTGCCTAAGGTGAATGCAAATGTTTAAAATACATCTTTTCAATCAAAGAGTGCAAAATTTTTACTTTTAAACAATATTCTGCTTTGATAACCCGTTAGTGTTTATTGTGGCTGATTGCCATGAAAACATACCTTACTCTGCATAACTAAAATGTGCATCTTTTGATTAAATATTTTAGCTTTTTTTGTTCCAATTCATGAAAATTTGAATAGATGTGGCATTGTGATTTATTGTAGTAGAGTCTTGACATGTAGCCAAATGTTTATATTTGTATATTACAATGTTCAAATATAAATCTGCTGATGGATAAAATGCTTGGGTCCAAGTAGAAAAGATTGTTTATCAGTTGGCTCATATATAATGTCATCTTATTTTCACCAACTTGGAACCCTATTGGCTAACTTTCCCCTTACTATATTTCCAGGAGCAAAGTGCCTAGTTCCTGTGGGTCTTGGAGATGATGACCAATGCATTGAAGATGACTTTGCTGCATGGTATTTAGAACTTAAACTCTATTTTGAATGAAAAGCTTGTTCATTCTTTTACCTTTAATCATTTATTGAAATATCTTTCTCTTCTAGGCGTGAACTAGTTTGGCCTGAGTTAGATCAGCTTCTGCGTGATGAAGATGATCCAACAACTGTTTCTACCCCATACACTGCTGCTGTGTTGGAATATCGTGTTGTATTTTATGATCCTGCAGATGCATCTCTTGGGGATAAGAACTGGAGCAATGCAAATGGTCATACTATTTATGATGCTCAGCATCCATGCAGGTATAATTGACTAGGCTTTTAAGATGTCCAGGTGGCTTTTTGTTTATTAGTATTTGTCTTTGATGAAATCAAACTTCGTTTTTTGTTTCTAACTTGAAGGTCTAATGTGGCTGTGAGGAAGGAGCTTCATACTCCTGCATCTGATCGTTCTTGCACCCATCTTGAATTTGACATAGCTGGCACTGGACTTACGTAAGTTGCTTTCCTAATTCATTTGGCTACTGCATTGGTAAATTTTTGTTATTGCAGTAATGTACACCTCCCCTACTCTCTTATCCTCATTCAGTAAAACTAGATGCTCAGTGCTGCTAATTTCAAGTTTTCTTTTTAACTTCATATGAACTCGTCTCCTCATTATTGTCTTGCTTTTCAGATATGAAACAGGGGATCATGTTGGTGTTTACTGTGAGAATCTAGACGAAGTTGTCGAGGAAGCATTGAGATTATTGGGTTTATCCCCAGACACCTATTTCTCTGTTCATACTGATAAAGAGGATGGCACGCCACTTGGTGGAAGCTCATTGCCTCCTCCTTTCCCACCTTGCACTCTAAGAACAGCACTGGCACAATATGCTGATCTTTTGAGCTCACCCAAAAAGGTTAGACTATTTTTTTGTCAATGTATCATGAACTACTCTCTTTTTTTTTTTTTTTGAATAACTAAGCTAATTCTTTAATGCATACCACTTCCAGTCTGCCTTACTTGCTTTGGCTGCTCATGCCTCTGATCCGACTGAAGCTGATCGACTAAGACACCTTGCATCACCTGCTGGAAAGGTTGCAGCAGTGAATTTCTATTACCTTGGTTCCCCTATTTTAAAGCTTATTTGTGAGCTGACACAACTTCTTGGCATCTTATTATAAAGGACGAATATGCACAACGGATGGTTGCTAGTCAAAGAAGCCTCCTCGAGGTCATGGCTGAATGTCCTTCAGCCAAGCCACCTCTTGGTGTCTTTTTTGCAGCTGTTGCTCCTCGGTTGCAGCCTAGATACTATTCAATCTCATCCTCGCCAAGGTACTCCTATTTCTTATCTTTTCTCTCTTTGGCAACTTTGCTAGAGGAAAAACTCCATTGTGATATTTGGCTCAATTTTGACGGATGATTCCTCAGTTCCAGATCTGTTGAGTGTGAGAGCTTGCTGTCTTGGAGAAAATGACTCCACAATTATATCATGATGGAGTTATCCAGTTCAGCATTTTTATTTTTATTTTTTTACATTTCCTACATTAGGAATGAAAAACCTTTTAAAGAGTAAGGTTAGGAAATAGGAAATGTATAATAGATGATTAAGTTAGTGGCATTATGAATCTCTCATTTAGGAGACTTCTACTGCCTTCAGTTTCATATTTTATTCTAATTCTAGTATTTTAAATGTATGTGCACATAGTTACCATCTATAATTATGTTTTACAGGATGGCGCCCTCTAGAATTCATGTATCGTGTGCATTGGTGTATGAGAAAACACCAACAGGTCGCATTCACAAGGGAGTTTGTTCAACTTGGATGAAGGTACTCAATTAAACATTTTTTTTCCTCTTGTACATTGTTAGAAGCCAAACTTTGAAGTTAGTGGAAAGTTGGATACCATATTAGAGGCGATAAATGATATCTAATTCCTGGTTTCTAACTTATTAGCATCCATTTTTCCATCTCCTCTTATTATACCCTGTTGTTGTTTACATCTCTTTTTCATTGAATAATAGTGGTAATATAATTTTTATCCCCATTTGCCCCCTTTCTTTTTTAGAATTCTGTGCCCTTGGAGAAAAGCCAAGACTGCAGCTGGGCGCCTATTTTTGTCAGGCAATCAAACTTTAAACTTCCTTCAGATACTAAAGTGCCCATTATTATGATTGGCCCTGGTACCGGATTGGCTCCTTTCAGGGGATTCCTTCAGGTAAGTTTTTTCACCTTTTCGATGTTCATCATGTTGAGTAAATTTTATAAACTAATTATTGGTATTCTCACTTTCAGGAAAGACTTGCATTGAAAGAGGCTGGAGCTGAACTGGGTCCATCTGTATTGTTCTTTGGCTGCAGGAATCGGAAAATGGTTAGTCATGCAATTTCCAGTCCTATGATTAGTTTTATATCTCTGGTGAGTTTGGGGCTGTATTTGTAATTAAACTACAAAGTTCAATTTGATACTTCAGGATTACATTTATGAAGATGAGCTCGACAACTTTGTCAACAGTGGTGCACTTTCTGAGCTTGTGGTTGCCTTTTCACGTGAAGGACCTACCAAGGAATACGTGCAACATAAATTGATGGAGAAGGTACCGGACATATTTCACCAACCAAGAATTGTAGGATAGAAGTTTTTTGATTTTTTTTTTTTCGACAAATTGTACATTTCAGTTGTCTTACCGGTATTACTGATTTCAAGCTCTAAACACATATCTGCCTTCTTTCCAGGCCTCAGACATCTGGAACATGATTTCTGAGGGAGCTTACCTATATGTATGTGGTGATGCCAAGGGCATGGCTAGAGATGTCCATCGAACTCTACACACTATTTTGCAAGAAAAGGTATGTTTATTATGTTTATCCGAGACTATGTAGTTGCTAATATGAATAATTGGATATGTGATTGCCAGCTGCCATCTTACGAGGCAATTTGAGTAAAAAAAAAGTTACTGCCACTTTTGCAATTCTATACTCCAATACTAGAAAGTTTTTCCCAATTTTTATTTTTATCTTTGACACTCTTCTGTCTTTTGGTGGTTACCATCTTTAAGTAGAAGTATGTCACATTCATACGGTGCCTCCTTTTCTTCTATTTTGCTAAGTGGGTGGACCAACTTTGTTGATTTCAGGGATCTCTAGACAGCTCAAAGGCTGAGAGCATGGTGAAAAATCTGCAAATGACTGGCAGGTATCTACGGGATGTATGGTGATGATTATTATGAAAAGAAATTGCCTGAACATTATTTATATGTAAGGAGGCCCTGCTGCTCGGACGAAAAAGGCTGGAGAGAAGGTTAGTTGTAATATCACCTTCTGTGCCCTTAAAAGGGAGGAAATTAAAAATTTATTGTCATCAACGCTCTCAGGTCTGTGATTCTTTTTTAGTATTGGAATGTGAAGGGATTTTTTGGTTCATGTAATTTTTATGTATACATAATTATTGTAGTAGGTATAGTAATGGACTCTGATTAGGTTTGTTTTCCTTGTACGAACCTGCCAAAGGAAAGGAGGTTCAAATGACAAGCAATTGTAGTTGTTACTCCTACGTGTAACTCTACTGAAGGGACTTAATTTAAGTTTGGAATCTCAAAGTGATTGCTTCTAATTCTACTATTCAAGTGATTTTGTCTTTGGTGAAAAACATGATTATTTTTTAATTCACTGAATTAATTATACGTTTATTTTAATAGTTGCGAATCAACTATGAAGCAAGCATCAGGTCAGGATTCACATATTCCAATTTAAATGTCAGGTGTTCCATCCTGGCTGCCTGCTTATCAAAATCACCCTGGAAAACGTGGTGTGCCAGGGATTTAGCAAAAATATCTTCTTTTCACTTCCCTGTCGTTTCTAAATGACAGCTTAAAGGTTTTTTTTAATTTTATTTTTTGATACGAAAATGACAGCTTCTAAGCAATAATCATAAGAAAAAAAAAAAGAATGATCAAGTCAAGGAGCGTAATCAAAACAAGCCCCAGGAGTAAAATTTCTACATGGTTTTGAACTAAATCTGAGAATACATGGCATAAAATTTTTAAAAAAAAGTTATTAAAGTATATAACTCGATGTAAAGGGAGAAAGCCGACATAAAACATATTGCATTTATTTTCTGCTGTTGAAAATAGAAATGAATTGTGATGCAAAGGGGTTGAACAACATCCTAAATCAACCAAAAATTTCTGCGAAAAAAAAAAGGACCACAATCTATTGTAAAATTTTCTTTCAATGCTCAATGAAATGGACATACTAATCCAACTACTTCGAGTTATTGGTAGGGACAGATTTGCATCACCACAAATTTCAATACAACACTTTTGTTTTGGAAAGAAAAAAGAAACAAAGTGTAATGGGATGAGTTGTTGTGAATTGAGAGCAACACGTTTCAATTGGGTAGGTTCACCTCTTCTTCGTATACTCTTCCCACGTGTGCTAGACTATCAACAAACACCCTTTGGTAGGTAAGATTATACTCTTGATTCTTTCAAATCATTATTATGTTTTTTTACTTAACAATCATAATCCATCATATCTATTATTAATAGACACAAAGATGTATAACAAAATAAAATTTACTTAGGTGCAAATTTATGTTCATGGATGATTATGATTATTCAAGTGAATTTTGGGTAGTAACCGACCAAAGCTGCTGTAATCATAGACAAAAATATTTTGATATGTTAGAAAACAAGTGAAGCATCTATAAATTTGCACCATATAGAGAAGAAATGGGTTGTTGGGGGATAGGAAAATCTCTATAAATTTAGGGTTCCCACCTTGCTTTTTTTTTTTAAAAGGTGAAACTTTTTGAACCAATACTAATTATGGCTTCCTCCATTTGTTAACGGTAGGAAATGGTTTAAGTACTAATAATTTCCTAAATTAGTAACACCCTTTGTTGGCTTCAACTCCATGTATGAGTACACAGGGCAGGCTGCTTCCTTGTTGGGTTTTGGGCTAAAAAAAAAGGACAAAATGAGGAGAAAAAAAAACAATGGATTGATGCCATATGATCTAACCCAAAATTACCTTTTTACGGTCCAATTATTTTGGACAGATCTAGATTTAGAAGCCTTTAGAGATTGAAGACCAATTTCCACTGGTAAGAGAATTCTATAAATATAAAATTTTGCTATTTTTCTTCCTTAAATTTGTTTCCTTCAATTATCACTATACCTTTAACCTATTTATAGTTATAGTTTAATCTTATTTACTTAACTCATCCCAAATTAGGGAAAATTTACTTCTTAAAAAAAAGATAAATCATTTGAAAAGTCTCAAATTCAAGTCTTTTCTCCCTCTTTCTTTATTCAATTGTCCAACTATATGTTAACACAAAAATAAATTCTCAAACGTTTCTCTTAAATATATATATATATATATATATTTGCTAGAGAAATATAAATGAATGACATGATTTTTAAGTTTAAAGGAAAATATGAACACCTCCAGATTTGTTGGTGCTGTTGCTGCTCCAACCCCACCTCAGTCTTCTGCACCCCTAATCTTGTCTAGCCCTAATAACAGTACCAAACTCATCCAGGTTTTCCCAGGTTTTGATGATGATAATGATCTTGTTTCCAGCGACGTCGTCCCCCCAGTGACAGTGGTGCTCGAAGGCAGTTCGATCTGTCAGCGCATCAGTCTCCATAAGCATGCAAGCTACCATAGCCTTGCAAAGACTCTCAGGGCAAATGTTTGTGGATGGAATCAACGATGGAATCACCTCCGAGAACGATCTTGATCTTTCCAATGCTGTTCCTATTTACCTCATTGCCTATGAAGACATGGAAAACGATCTTCTTCTTGCCGGAGACCTTAATTGGAAGTAAGTTTTCAAGCAATATTGTTTCTCTTTCTCTTAAACAATACTATTCTAAAAAATTTAATACTTCTAGTGCCACTAGTTTGAACCCAAAATCATAGTTTTTTATTTCCATTTTTAGTATGATTAAGGCTTTAAAATTTTCTTTTATGTGTGAAAATAAACAGAGATTTTGTACGTGTGGCTAAGAGAACTCGGATACTACCAGCGAAGGGAAATTCAAGGAAATGTGGGGGAAGAATGTTCCACCTTATCTAGTCTTGGCGAATATATATATAAATGGTAATGGATGCTCTATTAAGTTTCTTCCTTTCATTTCTTAATTTTAATTGCCCTAGCCTACAATGTATTTCATAAGAAAGAGCAAGCATACAATAACTGACCTGATCCATAGCCATTAATATCATAACGGGTTTTGTTTTGCATTTGTTCTATCAGTTGGTTAAATGATCAGTCCAGGCAGGCCAAGCATGACTAGAAAATTTTGGGGGAAGATAGAGATGTAAGCTAGCTTGATCTAATCAAACAAGGTATGGGTATTATGTGTCAATCATTTTCATTACTTGCCTGTCTGTGTTAACAACATTTCTTAATCATAATATACGTTTTCAATGTATATCTGATCTCGTACCTACCTACTTAAACGCTTTATTCCAGTTGAATTCGCTGATTAACTTGAAGAGGTCCAACTCCATTTCCATTAATTTGTAGATGCATGGTCTATCTAGCTAACTAGAATCTAGATATGTGAATTAGTCGATCACATATAAATATATATATATATATATATAGTTGATTGACTGATTGAGTTCTTCAAAAATTTCCCACTTTCCATCCTTTAAAGCTTGTTATAAGCATGAACTTGCGCCCCAGAAAGCGACTGGTTGAAAATGGTACTTCCGCTAGTTAATTTCATTATCTTAATGCTAATTACAGTTATCTCAGTTGCTATTCATCTCTGCTGCATAAAAACCAAATACCAAAAACATTGATATTCTTGACGTTTCCCATCCATCCATCAGCATTATTTTGGATACCGAACTTCTTTAATCAGTTATGCTTTCAGTGAAAGGTTAGCCTTTCATTTGAAATTCTACAAACTAGCTAGCATATGTTTCTCTGGAAAAGTATCTTAATTTCTTTGAAATTAGGCTAGAAAACAAATTTCCCTTGTTGTTTGGGGCTCAGTTTAATTATATAACAAACAAAAACAAGTTACTAGTAATAAATATAAAAGTAATGCTCAAAGCTGGTTTAAGCTAATCCATTATAATCACAACCGAAATGTTGGCTCTTATGTAATCATTTTTAATAAGAAAATTCAAGATAGAAAAACCAGACTTAATAGCCAAGCAACGGTTACCTGTCATTCTCTTCATGGTGGAGAGGTGAAAATCCAGAATCACCCACCACCGAATAACACAAGAGAGTACCATCCACGGGCATAATCAACGTGTTAACCACTCACAAGCACCGCTGCACTGATGACAAATTAACAAAGATAGCAACTTATTTATGGAACTTAACGCAATCGACCCTTAATAATCCTCCTAAAAAGTCCAAAAAATTAAAACAATTTTTGACTAAGCTACCAATTAAACTACAACAATATGAACTTATTCACCCAAAATACTTCTAATATTACTGGGTTTAGTTCACTAATTCTTTTATATGTTTTAAATGAACCATATAATAATTTGCTTATAGATCCTTACCCATGTCTTTCTCTCTCTTTCTTACTTTCTTTTGTTTTGTTTTATATATATATATATATATGTGGACAATAATTAAAACAAGAAAAACCCATAAATATCATTTTAATTAAATAGACGCCAATAAAGTAATTAGAGTTCAATTTTTTTTAGGATCTACTATACTATATATTGTCCTTATTAGACCAATTCTTTTCTCAATAAAGCTTTGCCTTGAGCTTCTCTTCTTCTTATTGAATCTTCCAACTTCCTCTCTCTCAAACACAAAAACATGGGAGATGACAAAACTAATATTCATCTTCATGACGACCAAGGTGAAGAGACAGAAGAAAATATTCATCTTCATGACGACCAAAGTGAAGAGACAGAAGAAGCACTTTCTCTTTGCGACCTTCCCTTAGATTTTGATACCAATAGCAACCCCGAAAATGATGACTTGCAAAAAATATTGCCTGCTCAATCTCGAAGATCGTCATCCGAGCCTGCCCCTGAATTTTTCGAGTTTCTCACTGACTTTAGCTCCGATACGTGCCCAGCTGACGACATAATGTTCTCCGGCAAACTCATTCCTTTGAAAGAGCAACATGTTTCCTATCAAACGCCAAGAGATTACCTTTTTGAAGATAAGAGCAAAACCCATGTATTACTCAAACGATCTGAATCACTTTCCGAGTTACGCAGCAATTACATGCATCGGTCTGACAGCACCAAAAACACAACACTTCTCAGGAACAGCCGTTCGTTGGATTCTCAAAAGCTTCACCGCTATGAAATGGAGAGGAATCCTTCGACAAGAAGCGTAGGAAAATCCAAAGTTTCTCCTAAAAAAGCTGTTAAACCAAGGTGGTATGTTTTCATGTTTGGAACGGTTAAGTTTCCACCAGTAATGGAGCTTAATGATATCAAAAGTCGGCAGTTCCGTCGGAGTCCATCGGTTATGTTTCCCACGTTGGAAGACGGGGGCAAGAAGTTCACCGGAATCCGAAGCACAGGCAAAAGTTCTTGGAGCTTGTTAAAAGTGTTGAGTTGCAGGGATCATACAAGCGTTGCTGTAACGACTTCGTTCTGGATGCCTCAATCACAGTAGCACAGATCTGCACCACCAATACTTTTATTTGACGTACACGTGTCTGTTTTTGAGAGTGGATTTTGCATGGAGGGCATTTCGATAATTTCATAAAGTTCGAAAGGGTCAAAAAATATAAATATAGTAATTATAATGACTTTACTTAGAAGGGAGGATGATGTACAGTCGTGGTCCATTGTTGATAATGCCATCTCACTTTCGGCCATAGATTTTATTTTATTTTTATATTTTGTTTATTTTTTATATTTAAATTTTCACAAATATCAAATCCATAAAAAATAGTTAAAAATTTAGTATTAGATACACTAAAATTGCAAATTTTTTAAGCTTCATAAAAATAACAAGAAACTAAAAATTTTGGATAGAGGAAGTAAAATTTTTTTGAGTATGTTAGGTGGCCATTATAAATCATACCAAGAATATTAATTGAATTAATTTTGTAATACTTAGAACAGAAAATATCGTCACTTTCAGATTTTTGCTTTTATTTTTGCGTGGAAGTTGGTAGCTCTTTATTTGTATTTTACCATAAAAACAAATAGTATAACTTTGCTTTCTCAACCTCTTTCATTTTAATATATGAAACAAAGTTAATTTAATTTGGTACAACATTTACACATAATACAATCCCTTTTTTCTTGGCTAGTGAGTATTACTATGATGCATTTTGTATGTTCTGTTGGTCATGAATATTAAGAAGATAGCTTAGATATTATTAGAATTTAGAACTTCTTCATGAGCATGGAATGGCTAATCATGGAAGCTTGGGCTTGGTTTCATCAAGGTTTGATGGTTGATTTTCATGCGAAACAATCAGCACAATTTAGTTGATGAACGAAGCATAGTGGGTTTTAGTAGTAATGCTCCCTTGTATACTTATTTTGTTCAACAATGATAATGCCGGCAATTATCAACCTTCTTAATGAAAGGGAAAGGGAGGAAATTGAACCCTTTTCTTTGTATGGCACATATTTAATTATTTGTGGCAAACTCTTGGGAGAAACATTCCTTGTGTTTAGATATAGAAATTATTAGATACAGCTCTTGTATAGTGTGATCAACTATAATCAAACCAATCAAATAAAGGCACATCATTTACATAATGTAAAAGTGTCTATAAGTTGGTTCAGGTATATGTATGATACGCCTTACATATTTGTCTAAGAGCGATCCATCTAATAATATTTTATCTCCAGGTGAACATGTAGATCAAACCTAGCACGAGATCAAATTGCTATCGTTTCCGGTAACAGTAGCTTATTTCAAATGCAGTGACGGCATTCCTAGACGAATACGCAATTATTCAATCAATTACCGTACATGACAACAATGTCTGTTGTGGTTCCTAAACAGGGTGTATTGACGAGAATATATGCTTGAGTTTGGTGGTGCATGTTAAAGTAAAGACTAGTTAGAAACATGAATATTTTTTATTTAGAAATGAAGTACGAAGATGAATGTGGTTTGGTGCTCAGGGATATAACCTCATCCTGGAGCCTGTCTTGCCAATGTAATTCTACTGATGTTGTTTGTCATGTAGAGTAAGCCCTGGTTTCCTCTATATAACTATAATTCCACATTTCGTCTTGTTAGTACTTATCTAGTGTGTTGCCTCACAGTTCTCATGTAATCCAAATCAGTGAAACAAAAATGAAAGACTTTGAACACTTTTATATACTTTATATATCTATTGTAGACTTGTGTCGAGAAAAAATTTGTTAAAGTAGCTAGAGAATATCATACATTTGGAATCTATATATATATATATATATATATATATATTACTTAATTGAGTTTGGTATATTATAATTCAATTGAGAACAATTTAATTAAAAAAATTTAAAAAAACTTAAAATAAAAGTACTACGATAAAATAAAGAAGGATATTTATGTATTACAATATTTTTTAAAATAAAACAAACTTCTTTTCACATTCATTTAAAAAAACTACCCACTAATTACATAACTTTCTTTTCTTTTTAAATAAAATATAGTTCAATTAATGTTAGATCCACTTACGTTGGACATTTGAGGCTTATTCTCCAAATTTAATAGGCCAAGCTTTAAAATCCCAACTCAGCCCAAGAGGCCACAAGACCTATCCAAGGCAAGCCAGCTGAAATGCACGAAAGCTCAGGGCCTTAGCCCTTGAGTGGACATATAGCCGGCCAATATATGTTCTTGCCTTTTTCTTTGTGGTAAGAGAAAAAGCCATTTGTTTATAAAAATTTTCTTCGAAACCCCTATGTTGATAGGAAGAGTTTTTACTTGTTAATTTATAAGATGAGTATGCCAATTCAACATGCCTCTTTTGTTAAACTTTGTTAATGAAATCCATCAAACTTTTAGCATGGGATTCGTGTAGTTATTTTTGTAAATATGTTATCCTTGGTTATGATGAACTAGCTCACAGTGAAAGATACCAAAATTGGTTATTTTCACCAAATTTACATCAGTTATATTGCATTAAGATTGATTTTTCATATTGATTCTCGATTGATTATTTTAACTGAAGTAAAAATAATAATTAGTTACTGGAATGAGTTTCAGAATGAAGATTTCGACTTCAAATCTCAATCATAATTCAAAAGACAAAAAAAAAAAGAAAAGATAATTACATAATTGATTCTAAACTATAGCTTGAGTTAGTTTACTTCTACTAAATGTGATTAATGTGCAATAATCAGCCGAGAATCAATATGAAGAATCAAAGTTAATAGATTGCTTCTCCTACTCATATATATAATTAACTATTTTGTTTCCTGTTAGACCCAAGAAAAAAAAATAGTAATAACTATATGCAGAACAAACCACTCAAGCTAAAAATATGCACATTGCAATGGCATTTCAGACTATGCAGATTTGCTTCAAAAGATATAAACAGTGCTGTTTTCTAATTAAGATATCATCTAAAGAATGATCGAACCATGATAATTGAGATTCCACCTCTGAAATGCCATGGCAAATTTCCCTGGCAAATTACCAGGAAAAACCATTAACAAAATCCTTTGATTTACTTGCCAAATGATATACCTGGTTCCAATATCTTAAGTAGATAAATTTGAAATATCTATATTGGAAGTTGAGAGTGCATATATTCTATGTTGATGCTGCAAAAAAAAAATTGGAATCGAAAGATTGGATTCGTGTCTGACGATCTGCTGCATTCAAAGAACGGCGGCCATTTATTTCATTGTTATCAATCCAACAATTTTATGTTGTTGATCTAAATCCAAATCTTGGACTATCTGGTCTAAAATATGGCCATTGTTTCTCCATTAGGAACTTGCCACTTTTAGTCTAAGATCCTTTTTTTTTTTTGGAAATAATACTGCAAAAAATGCCGGACCTTTGAAATTATTCTTCCTTTGGAGTGGATTGGTGTAGGGGAAAAATATTAGATAACATTTTTTAAATGAAATTTAAAAAAAAAGTAAAAATTTTAATAAAATATTCAAACTCATAGATTGATATAATTCAATATGAAGATTAATAATATGTAAAAAAAAAATTAAAAATGTCATTTATAATTTTAAATTAATAACAATAAAAATTCTATAAAAAATTTTACTAAAAATATTTATCTAAAAAATATATCAAATTTAATAATTTTTTAAAGATTTTACACACTTAATCTATATAACAAAATATTTCAATTTATTAATTTTTATTTTTATTTAATCATTTTTAATAAAAAAATTTCATGAACTTTACTTAAAAATTCTTGTGTATATCTTTCCCGTATGCAGGAAAATAACCAATGTACTTTGTATTTCTATTTTTAAGACATTGCAAGCCTCCTTATATTGTATTTCTTTTTTCATTTTTTAATTTTCACCATGATAGGCAACAATATGGTTGGCAAATCAGGCTCAATCAAGCTTCTGTATAAAGAATCATCATTGGTACAGTTTGTTCAAAGGTGGCAATAACCTTCACAATCTCGTTTGTGTAATTATATTAAATTTAGATTGTTCTTAATAATTTTGTATATGACTTGAATGGTATCACCAAATCATATCAAAAAGCTCAATTTTTACTCAAAATTTATGTATATATGTAAAACTGTTCATATGTTTGTATGCATAAATTAAGGCCCTGTTTTTTTATGATTCCTATACATGGTAAGATTACATGGCATGTTTTACATGGAAAATGGATTTTCCGGAAGTATTTCCAGGTTGAGGGGTTGCTGTCATATGTCAAGACGTAGGCCAAGATCTATGCATGCTAGGGCTCGACAGCCCAACGCCTTTACAACTCAGTATCAAAATCAACAATTAGACAAAGGTCAACTTATGCTCATTACAAGAAAGACTTTCTTGTTACTCAAATCCTACTTTTCCCAACACAAAATCTGGTCCTCCTTCGCTTGTTTTACCTTTTCACCAAGTGTTTTGCCCAAATTATCCCTATAAAGATTACTCTAATCCTACCCATTAACCACGTCAGTTTCAAACTGGTTAGCTCCTTTCCCAGGAGCAAAGGTTTACGTTTCAACAGGCCCAACTTCCGAATCGGAAGCTGCCAAAGCAAAGTACCAACTTCACAAGTTCAAACGATTTCGAGAATAACTCAAGCAGGGCTATGAAAACTTTTCCACTTGATTCCTGATGATAAAAGTGTGGGACATGTCCTATACCTATAATTGTCTTCAACAAGTATTCCAAATTTGAAATGAGATGATTGATTTTATCAGGAAAAAACCGTTTAACTTGATGTCACCATTGTATAACTCAACTATTGAACTAACGAAAGGATTTGCCTTATGCTTAACATCGATGTTAAGTATGCAAAAACCAGCTTAGTCAAGAATTAATTCCAATGACAAGATAGAATAAGTTGGGTTGGTAAATAATACTCCTACTAAGCCAACTTCGTGTAAAAACTCAGTCATAGAGAAAGCTAAAAGAAAATCATTCATTGGTCGTGCAATTTTTTATTATCATTGTTTTAGGCTTTGCAATGAAGATTATAACATCCATGAGATTTCATTTGACTTAAACATCTCCAATTTTCCATCAATGAACGTTAAACCTGCTTGCAGCCTAGAAAAAAAAATGCCTGGAACAAGGGAAGAATGAATGAAGTTGATTTTACTCTTCATTTTTAGGCAATGTTACTTGTTACTTGCCTATGTGGCATGTGCAGTCCAATTGTATATTTAGTTCTAATTAGATGAACAATGAAATTGGTTCAAGTGATACTAAAAACGTAACGATGAGATCAAATGACGTTGAATATTATAATGATGATGATAAAATCAATGATAAAAATAGATATTTACATGTAAATGCAGTGATTGTAATGAAATTAAATATGATAATTAACTATTTTATTAAAAATAAACTACTGTCATAATTAAAAATATTTTTATTTTTACATTTAAACAATCAATTATCTTATATTGGACAATCAAATGCTTTGGAATTCAATTAACCGGAAAAAGAGTTGGATTCCATCGCATTGGAAGTGTGGTGGAATCCACATTAACACTTACTAAGTTGCAATGCTTGATTGGAGGGTTATTTCTAAATAATTCCCCAAGAAAGATTTTGCAATGGAAGCATGTGCAAAGGATTTGCAAAAGAATATATCAAGTAACACAAGAAAATCCCACACGGCCAACCAAACCCACATGCCAATAATCTTATCTTGGCTTCATATATTATATATATATATATATATATCACTATTAAACTACTCATAGATAGATATACCAAACATTAGTGATATGGAGACCAATATTTTCCTAACCATTTTTTCCCTATCAATTCTCTCTAGTCCTTCAGTCCTCCACATCCCACCAACAAAATTTGAAAGGTTTTTGGTTAATCCAAACTCCAGAGAGCCATCTGCCTTTTTTTTTTTTTTTTCTTACATTTAATCTTTCTTAAGAAAAGGGGAAGGAAAATAAAAAACAAAGTAACCTTCAATTTTAGTTTTTTTTTTTTCACTATCATTTCATGTTTTCTTCATCCTCCTCTTCTTTCTTGCAAGGCTCTTCGAATTCAGACCCTTCTTTAGGACTCTCCAAAGCCCTTTTCTCCTCCTCTTCATCTTCCATATCATCAGAATTTTTCTCTCTCAAGCTCCCACTGTTCAAATTCCTCTCTGCCCTCGTCTTGAATGCCTCCAACAACTCACTGACAGCTTTTTGCTTGTATCGCCGGTTCTTGATTAAAACTTCACTAATATCAGCTGGAGTCATCTCTGCCTTGTCAACTACTTCCGCCAGTTCGTTCAAAACATCATCATCCAAATCACTTTCCTCGTACCCCAAATAATTCTTCAGCAATATCTTCAATGCGGGATATGAACAATAGTTCATGTAAATATGCATATCCATTCTCCCACTCCTGAGCAATGCAGGGTCAAGCTTCTCAATGTGGTTTGTTGTAAACACAAAAATCCTTTCACTCCCACAACAGGACCATAGCCCATCAGTGAAATTCAACAGGCCTGAAAGAGTGATGGAATTTCCTCCATCTTCACCACAAACAGAACCTGACCCACATCTCATTTCAGGGTAGTTCCTTGTCCCTCGATTGTTGATATTCTTCTTGTTAGTCAAATTAATCGAACAATCGATATCTTCAATCACAATAATCGACTTGGAACTGGTTTTCATCAATAGCTTCCTCAGCTCAGAATTATTATGGACCTCAGTCAATTCAAGATCATAGATATCATAACTTAGGTAATTTGCCATGGCTGCAATCATGCTGGATTTCCCTGTTCCGGGAGGACCGTACAGCAAGTAACCTCTTTTCCAGGCTCTCCCAGTCTTCTGATAAAAGGATTGACCGTTGGCAAAATCCTTAAGATCATCCATGATCTCTTTCTTCTTGACAGGATCCATAGCCAATGTGTCAAAAGTGCTTGGATGCTTAAATGGAACGGACTCCCAAGGATGTCCCCTGGAATCCAATGATCCACCACGAGAATTAGTGTACAAAAGCCTGTCTTGATTCTTCCTTCGGATTTCATTAGCCTTTTCCATTATGTAATCCAGGTAGGAATCAAGAACCAAGGACTTGTCTCTCTTCTTGATTCGAAGAGTGAACCCTCTCTTCTCTTCAGGCAATGGCCGCCAAGAAAAAGTTTGGGCTTGCCTTTGAGTCACAACGTGTTCCCAAAGCAAAGTGACGCCATTGAATGTATCGACGATACAGTCATTGTTTGAGAGACCGAATGTAACGGCGCTTGAATTGAGAGCACGAGTCAGGCTCAAGCGGCTACCTTTGATGGAAACAGAGGAACTTAGATAGAGTTGGACTGCGTTATAAAGTTCGTTGGTGTTAACACCGTCGATTTCTGTGATGTCAAAGTAGCAGTAGGAAGAGAACAAATGGAAGATCCGGTTGAAGAATTTGAGACACGCAAAGCGGAGTTCTGGTGGGAAAATGACTTGGAGGAGGCTTTGGCAAAAGGCCAAAACTCCTAGTAATGAAGCGAAAGAAGTCCAATACTCTTTCATTGTATTTGTTTTTAGATGGTTGAGTTTGTTTGTTTTTCTGGGGAGAAATAGGTGAGTGGATCAATGTTGAGGGAGAAAAGTTTGAGCAATGGGAAGATGCTGCCTTGAAGAGAAAGAAAGGGTATTTGCTTAATTTATAGACAAACTGATAGGTTGAGGAATTTTTGAGTGGAGGGGTGGGAGACTGTTGAAACTGGAAAACTTGTGGATAGAAAGGAGGGGGAGAGAGAGAGAATAAAGCAAAACAAAAAGCTCACAAGGTGTGGTTTTGAGGTGGGAAGCAATTGGCTGGCTAGGGGGGATACAACTACAAGGAAATCAGCAAGATGGAGGGCAAAAAACCAAAAAGGATTTTTGGGTTTTGAGTCGGTAAGAGATCAGAAACGGGGCCTATCTCTCTACTTTTTTGAAGGGTTTTGGCCAGGAGGTTTTGTAGGGTACCTATTTCCTTCTCTCAGAGCCTATTGTGAAGAATTTGAATTAATTTGCTGCCTTGTAGGACTGAGGATTGAAAATCAGAGAGATGATATTTCAAGATCTGGAAAGAGACACCGAAGAAGGTTAAATAGGATTCACTGCTATCCGCAGGGTTTGAAGCAGATAACAAGAAATACCCACTTGAGTGCAAATATACCCTGTACTAGTGTCAGTGTTTTTAAAATAGGTGATAAGATATGTGCATGTGATTTGCCAGGATTTGTAAATCCAAGAAACTCGTCACTTGTAACCTATCAGATAAACAGCAAACCAGAACAGAAAAACAGAAAGAATACCTATAGATGGAAGTTCATAATAGAATGAGATCCACTTACCTTCTGCTCCACATGTCAAACATGTTATGTTATTGATTTTCTCTTCTCAAATATGGAACATTTTTCCTTCTTATGGACTGCCATTAATTGTAATCAACATGCATAAGTTTCCTTTGACTAAAATCTACAACACCAACCAAATGACGATTACATCTAGTAATAATTTATTGTCAATTGAAGAATAAAAGTTTGCCTTCTTTTTACTATATTTTCGAGATTGGAGAATGCTATTCTTCTCTAAAAAATTTTTCCTTTCGGGGTTTGAGGCCAATTTTGAGCAATTAAAAGAAGGGCTTTATCTAAATCTGGAACCTTTTTACACGTCGTTGGGATAATGGCCTATGATGCTGACTCTTCATGTACAATCCATTAATATTAATAGGTTTGTTATGATGGGCAATGTGCAGAAAGGTCTGTCCTCTTAGCCTGTCTGAAACGTCTGAGACAACCCTTTTAATAATATTGTTTTCTTTTCAGTTTTCCCAACCCAAATATCCCCAACTAATTCTGATTTAACAAGATGGTTAGGTATTTAAGATAGATTATTATTATAATGGTTCAACTACTAATGTACTGATAATCAAATCAAGCTACTGCTAATTAAAAATCTTGCGTGCACTCTCAACTTAACCCCTGAAGTACTGTCCAGGAGTGGATTCCTTTAAAGTTGCATCAACCATCAGAGGATACAGGCACCAAAAAGAAAGACTTGAGAATTTGGTGAACCCTTTTTTAACTCCCCTTTGATGGCTAAAAATAAATACTACGAAAAAAAAGCACATAGTGGAAAGAGCAAGACTGCCAAAAACCTTTCTGCATCTGTTCATCCAATATCCAAGTCCAATCCACTTGTGTTTAAGTGCAGAGAGCTTCATCTCTTGACCAGAAAGAAAGGACTAAATATTAGATACTTTCTACATAACAAAGAGATAAAAAAATAAGGGAGAGGTTGTCCCAATTGATTTCTTTGACATAACAACTATCAGCATAAGATTGTTATTATAATAAAAAATGTTAGAATTTATACTAGTACTTTAAAATTGGATGCCTGCAAGCTGCAAAGCGCGTGGGAAACAATCTCCTTGCAGGAGCACTGAGATGTCTAACCAGCAACCAAGTGCCTAATAGTACCTTGAGCCAGCTACATGAATATTGTAGAAATAGTTGGGGAAAAAAGGAACAAGTTAAAAGAGAACAGATGATAAGGAGAAGTGATGAGAATGATCTCTGTATTCTCCCGTCAGTTTTGGTTTTGTTTGTTCGTTTTAGTTTGGACACCAAGAGGCGAAGAAAGAGAGAGAAGTGTGGGTTATTAAAAGGGGCTCAATGTCCCAGGACTGAGGCCCTCCTCTTAATTTGCATAGTTTTATCAAAACAGAATCCTTTTGGGGTTTGTTTTTCTGACCCTTTTGCCATCATCTAGTCACCTGCAGTATGATTAAACTAAAATGCCCACAACCTCTCAGAACAAGTAAAGCTCACCCAATAAGCAAAGCCAAACCCACAAAGCCAATTCCCTTTCTTTTCTTTTCTTTCTGTCTCTCTCACTCACCTTTTTCTTGCCCCTTTTGTTGTTAATTTCAGGATGGCCGTACAGAATCACATTCACGTAAACCCGATAAATAGTTGCAGATACAGAATGGCAGTGTCCAGGCCAGTTGGTGAAGAGATGCGAGAATTTTGAAGGAACAGTCAACAGTGTCATTCTCACGTAAACCAAATAATACGCACAATAACACTGTTAAATTTTTGGGCAGAGTCTCTCAGGCCTAGACCACACACATGGTCCTTCTGCATAGGCTACTCTTATATCTTTTCCTTCCTTTTTTTTACGGTACTACAACTAGTATTTACTTTGTTGAAGCCATGAGTTAGAGGTGAAAAAAGTGAAAAATGAAAATCCAAAATCCAATTGTGAAACTTTTGTCAGATTGAGACTGACGCATAAAATGTCAAGGTTTTTCACGTGCTGAGGACGGTGGTGGGTAATTAGCATCATTCATAGAGGTTATAACAGCTGTAGTAATGGCTACAAACCTATACCTCTAGAAGGACTTTTGTAATTTTGTTCTCTTTCGCTCCATTTTCTACTATGTAATTATCATCACGTTTGTGTCATTTGGTTAAAGATAAATGGCAAAAAAAAGAAAAAAAAAGAACTTGATTCAAAAGGCAATCCCATTCTTCTCTTTTGCTCTTGATAGATTCTAATGGTGGCAAAATGAAAAAAAAAAAAAAAAAACGTAGTATGCAAATTACTTGTATAAGATTCATTGGCGGAAAATGTAAAAGTTCATCTTCAGTTATTCAACTTATCACGAAATCAAAAAGTGTCATGATAGAAAATCTTTGACTTAGATTCCTTGCGATATGATTCCTTTTATGTTTTTCTTTTGCTGTGTTTCAATTCTGTAAAAGAAGGAATATAATTAGAAATTTGAGATCATATTTTATGTACAAATAAGGTATACAATTTCTTACAAAGAAAATAACCTCAAGCCAATGAGATTTTCTAGAAGGATGAGATAGTTTAAAATTTATTGAATTGAATTTAAATTATTATTACATTTATTTAATAATTATAAGTTGATTGATTGATTATGATTATTGATATATGAGATTTAATATTTGAATATGTTTATAGTTTTTAATTTTATTAAAAGAAATTACTTACAATTTTCTTATCGAATAAAAGAAAGGATTGAGTAATTTGTAACCATTTGACATATCTGTGTATGTAACTCACTTGGGGATAAAAAAAATTATATTTACATTGCTTTTTTTTACGCAAGCAAAGGAACTAAAACAAAAAAAAGAAATGCAAACAAACCTAAAAATCAGAAAAAAAAAAAAACAAATATAAATATTATAAGTGGTGCTCTTGTATCAATATTTGTTCATCTAAATAACAAAAAATTTAATTTTTTTAAAAGTAAGATCTAAGTTTTAAGTTTTGTGAATTAAAAAAATAAATAAAAAAAATTTTTTTTTTATAAAATTTGATCCGATTCGATTTCATATTAATCGATATTTAAAATAATTAAACATAAAAAAATCTCAAACAAAAAAAATAAGACAGTGGTCTTATTATTTAGTACATGTACGTTTAATAAGAAACTATCACATTTCACGGAAGACAGTGCTTTATTAATAAGAAACTACAAAGCCAAACTGAAATCGAGAGGCTAAGACATTGTTGACAAACGAAGATGAAAAAATGGCACAGATCTAGGTTATTCGTTAAAAGACAATTAGAAAAAAAAAAAAAAACCAGTGCATTCAACATGAACATTCAGCATGAAAAACTGCTGAGGTGTTATCCATATAATAAAATTCTTCAAAATTGGGTTCAATTTCCCCACCAATGATTTTGGTAAAGACATTCATCAAGTTATCACCTGATTTTAAAAAAAAAAAATTCAATACAATAATCTGGGTGAATGACAAATCTCCCATGGCTTCGGGGAAAAAATATATCAAAATTTGAAATATGGAATTCAAACAGATGATGAATGGGATTAAAGGGTTTTCCCAGTCAAGGCTTAAGAGCAAGGGTAAGCCCCATCTTAGGGGATGCATTAACGGCCTTCGAATCATACTCCGCCGAAAAAGTTATGAGTGATTTGGGCCTCCATTCACGTTGGCATAGCGTTGCAACCTTCCCATTGTCAGAGAACCGTGTTTTTACCACTGTAAAAGGATCCACAGCATGGGAACTTCCTATGGAGAAACTGTTTTTATAGGTGGAAAATCTATGAGTCATTTCAGCGGCAACGGTAGTGGAGGGGTTGACAGAATGGATATAAGATGCCTTCAGAGCCTGTCCTTTATCAGTCCTAAACAGCGAAAACATGTATTAAAAATTTTAAGCCAAGACCTTGATGGCTGCGGGGAAAGCAAGTAAAACAAGAAGAAAAGGGGCAGAAAAAGTTGATAAACCAAATTGGATGATCAGCCATAGAAAGTCTTATTAAACATCATTAACCTATAGAGACAAAGATGCTTTTAATCTTTCTTTCTTATTGGTAAATTGCTTTCATAGACATGGAAATGGAACTCTTAAATACTCTGCAGCTAACTAGCTATTTAGTTCATCTCAATAGGCCCCCAGCATCTTAAAATCTCTCCAAACTGTCTGCATACTTGTTTTTGCCTCTTTCAAATGATCATATTACACACACCCATTTCAATAAAATCAATAGGAATCAAGCTGTGGTTTACCATAATAGTGATCATCAATAAATAAACTGAATCATAGAACTAGAAGATACAGAAACGTCACAGACAATAGACTGAAAGTGATTCAACTTAGCAAGTCAAACCAAGATAACCTTCAAAAGAAAGCAAAATTAGCTTACTGAACACAGAATCACCAGATTTAGACTATGTTTGAAGCACAAAAAAACAACAATACTCATCAAACTCTTGGCAAAAACCTCAATCATGATTGCTCATATCTTTCTCTAAGCTTTTTACACAAGAGTCAATCAAGATTGATCCTTCTCTAAGTTACACGAAATACCGATACTGATAATACATTCTATAATACGAAATACCAAAACTGATAATACATTCTATAAATTCTATGCCTCCATGATGCAGAAAATAAAACCAATAATAAGAAAGATCCAACTTCAAATGAATCTAAAAGTGAATTTTGATAGTCACTAATTTTCTAAATAAGTTTCATTTTTGGTTCATTTGGTTCATTTGGTTGAGGGATATATGAATAGGTGCCTGCAACCCATGTTTAGGATCATCTTAATCCAACTAGCTCTTGCACAATTCTAACAAGATGTTATAAATAACTGCTCATGATGTAGCACTTGTCAACTCAACTGAAGGTATCACTCACCATAAACAAAGACACAACCAACACAAACAAGATGAAAAAGAAAAAATATCTCCTTAGGTAGATGGCCTAGAAGTACTTACAGAAAAAGTGCAACAGAGAAATCTGGCTCGTTCAACGCAATCCCAGCAGTGTAGTTTGTACAGGAAGCAGAAGCTGTATCAAATCCAACTTCACCACCCAAAGAAATCTCCTTGCTTCCAATTGTTGCTGAAAGCTCCAACAGGGGAGTTGGGTTCAGGCCAATGCTAGAATCAATGGCAGCATGAGGATGAAGATATTGGACATCGAGCTGAGACATGCATAAAAAGAGTCAGAGAACCAGTTTCTCAAACACGAAATTATATTACCAACGCTTCAAGAAATTGCTAGTTTGCTACCATTAACAGGTAAATTTAGTTGATATAAACCCAGAAGCAGGTCCACACAATAGTAAGCATCAAGAGAAAATAAAGCTCCATCAAACCGATTTGCTTTCATAAGTTATGTTTTTTTCCAGATAAAAAGACACCCAGAAGGCAGAAACCAGGTAACGTACACGAAAAAGAGACATAATAAAACAGTAATTATCTCAACTACAGCCTTGGTAAATATGTAGTAAGCACAAAAATTACAATGGTCGATGGTCAGTGTAAACACAATTCCCACCACATGAAAAGCACATTCTCAGCAAATTTATAAACAAAACAGAAAAAAAAAAAGGCATTTGTAGAACACAGTGCAATACTTAAGTTCCTATGTGACATTGACATTGTCATTTTCCATACATACTGTTAACATTGATGCACTGACCTTGCCAGACTTGTGATCAGGTATCCTGAACCTTAAAGCAGCTTTGGAACATGGCCAAACATCATTGACAGTCACTTTTGTAGACACCTGCAGAAAAAATAAATAAAAAATGAAGATAAAAAGGGCAAAGCTATTGAGCTTACACAATTTTAACACCCTCCTCCAATTACAAACAGGCGATATATTAAACTGAATAACAAATATGGAAAGCCACAGATGATCGTCTTAAAAGCCAAATCTTCCATACATTAGAATAGGTATCAACTTTCACATCCACTGTAGTATTTCCACTCTTGTACAAAGTATTTATGTCTCCAAAAAAAATTTGGTCCTTCTTGAGCCCTGTAGCTGTAAGTCCCTGCAAAACATTTTAAGATTGGCATCAGATGGCATAGATAACAAACAAGTTGGTGGAAATTTAATTACCAGTTTCATCCACTTTAACAAAAGAGAGTAATGACTAGCAGTAAAATTTTGAAATAATCATGAAAGTATGGGCTTGTTGTGTGGGTTCAAAGACTTACTGCTTTGCATATACATGCACAACACAAACATACAAGCACAAGAAAATAGCAAAAAGTAATATCATTCAATAATTTATTCAAAGCACATAAAATTATTTGAGGAGACTAGGTTGCTCTTCTATGTCTCAAAGATTGAAGTACACCAACATGTTCTGTAGGTAATGTGCTGGGGAAGACCTCTTAAGAAAAAGGAATTTATATCAGGCCAAGCCAAGCATCCCATGAGCATATTGTTCAAATGTGAAAATTGGAAAGATAATCATTATGGTAATATTTAACAAATAAATAAATATATATATTCTCAGCCATTGGCATATAATATCCAGGCAAAGAAAAATATTTAAGTTTTCAAGTAGATCAATCAAGCTCTGGCTAAAAAAAAAAAGGTAAGTCAATCAAGAAGCTCAATAAAAAGGGTCAACAACTTTTATAGGGTAAATATTACCATTCCAGTGGAGCTCAGCATTGAAAGGGTAAACTTCTGGTCAAAATTGTAATCTTTTGTCAGGAGGTCTGCACAAACACATCTATAAATAATTAGAATCTAGAGGTAAAAGCAAATAACAGCAGGTTTTGAATACCCCATGTTGTTGCATAAAAAAAATGAACAACTGTGGCAAGAATCGATAATCACCAAAAGTTACAAATACCATGAAACGTCACAATCTCAGACTAAAAGAAGGCAATTCATCACATCAGTAAGAAACTAAAAATGATCTGCTAGGTAAATTTATCTTATTGAGCATATTATTGGGCACTTGTTAATCCTCACAGTGTGCTCATAAATTAGTAATCGATTGTTTTGGCTATCTATCACAAATACAAGCATTTCTATTTGGTTTATTAAGTGTTTGGAAAATGTAACTGCATTAATCCTCCCAATTTCTCTATCCCAACCATCTTCATGCCTCCAACAAAGCTGTCTGCCTTCTTCATTACACATCAAACCAGTTTGACTTGCCAATCAACTTTAACAAGTCATTTCTAGTAAAAGAAAGACTATCATAAGTGCAAGCATATCAGACAATATCTAAAAATACAATACCGGACAAGAATAAGAATAAAGAAGACATGTGCCACTGATACCCTTGGCTTTTTTGCCCATATCTACGAATGGAGCTGGTCCAGCCATCTTGATAGAAGGATAATCAACCACAGCCTGAAACTACTATCAAGATAACATCATCATTTCATCAATCAAAAACAAAAATGGGGCAAATAAATCATGGAGCAAATGCATGTGAAATGATAATTCTTCTTCTGCAAAAATATATAGTAAATTTTTAATTTTTCATCCTTCAAAACATAGTTTTCTTTGTAACCAATCACATGGTTGAAGCAATGAACAGAGAAAGCGAAAAAAAAATCGAAATGAAGAGAATACGGCTACGACAACACTTCGTAATATGAATTAAATTAACATTTGAAAAACAATCTCATCGGATTCACTGCAATACTTCAGTAACCTAATTACTTAAAAAAACAAAAAGGAAGAAAGAGCTTACAAGAAAGATTTTGCGATGTGAAGAGAAGAGAAGAGACAATCAGCAATGAAACCCTGCAGCGGCCGCTTCGAAACCGCTTCAGGGGAAAGCTACGATTTTCTTTAGAAAAAATAATTGTGCGTTCCAAACAATTGTGAAGGCCGAAGGTCAGCAAGGCTTTAGGTCACTTCTCAAAAAGCGTCAGCTGGATCTTTGGACTTTGTTTTGATCGGAGATTTTTGTTCTCAAAGATCGAAGGGGGTTGTGATGTTAACATATTATTAGTCTGTGAAATGTGCGGTGTCACCCCCGTGTGAGGCTAAAGTCATCTAAATGACGAAAGTGGCACTGCACAAGATTTTAAATGACGTTCGTGTCCAAAATCGGTGGCTAGGATTGTGTTTGCCTTGCTGGCTGGCTGGCTGGCTGGCTAGAATCTCTTGTTCCTTAGTAATTGGCCAAGGGGGGGAGGGGAAGAAAAATATCCAAAAAATGAAAAATCAATTCGAAATTATAATATTCTATTTGATTTGAATTTATTTTTTATTTGATTTAAATCAACTTTGAATATTAAATTTAATTTTAATTTTAAATTAAAATGTAAAAACTAAAAAAATAGAATCAACTCGAATTATGTATTTTTATTAATTTATATATTTTTTAATTTTTTATAAAATAAAATAATTATTTTAAACATAAATATATTAAAAATTATATTAAAATAATATATAAAATTTAAAATTTAAAAATTAATAAATCAAATTTATAAAATTCAATTCAGATTAAATTAATTTAAAAAATCAATTTAAAAAAATTAAATAAAAAATTCGATCTACATGATTATCACTACCATTAGACTTGGACAGTAACCGAATTGATGAACATATCTCCGTGCCGGTCAAGATTGAATCGTGAAATGTGAATGCCTTCCACTGCTATGTTTAGTACTGGCAAATCGTTGGCAGTGAAATCACCATTTAAAGAAGGTGAAATTAAAAATGTGAAAGGATATTTGAACTCAATTAGAGATAATTTAGTTTGCCAGTAAAATATTTTCAATTGTGATCATCACAAAATTATCTTGCCATGTTTTTCTTTTATAAAGTTGCATGTATAATTAAAAATTATAATCATAGTCAAGCATTAATATATTTTAAAAATAAGAATATAAATTAATATTATATTAATATTTAACCTTTCTTTTGGTTCTACTCACCCCATACTTAGATCTTAAGAAAATGCCATTGACCTTGGTAACATGCTAATCAATAGCAAATCCCGCTGGGGAAATTAATTTGTAGTGATCCAATAAAAAGATATTACTATTCACTGCACTTTATAAAATATATGGATATTAGAAACTAAATTATTATAGTACAATACAGTGTTGTAATAAAAAATCTTGATATCCATTCAAATTGAATTAAATTTAATATGATTTTTTAAAATAATATAAGTATTATGAATTTTTTAAATTTAATTTAAATTTGAATTGATTTTTTTAAATCTATTTGATTTGAATTGAATTTTACTTGTTGATTCCGTTTGGTTTATTGATTTTAATTTTTTTTAGTTTTTATCTATTATTTTAATAAAATTTTAAAATATTTAAATAAATTTGTATATAAAATAAATATTTTTATTTTATAAAAATTTAAAAAACATATAATTCAATTCAAATTTTTTAAATTTTTTATATTCTTAATTAAATTTAATATATACATTTAATATTAAAATTTAATTCAAATCGAATAAAAAAAAATAATATGAATCAAATAACATTATAATTTTAAATCAATTTTTAATTTAATTTTTAATTTTTTTCTTTCTTACCTCTGCTTCAAAACTTAATTGAAATAGTCAAAGGCACTTTTGAAAAAATGCCACAGATCCAGGAAATTCATTAAAGAAAATTAGGGCATAAAACATTAACATTCTGAACATTCAGCAAGAAAAAGTGCTGTGGTGTTAACATTATAAAATTCTTTAAAATTGGGTTCAATTTCCTTATACCAATGTTTTGGTACGTAAGAGCATTCATCAGCTTATCAACTGATTTTTTTATTTTTTTTATTTTCAATACAATGAACTAAAATGAATTTTTTAATTATGTTAAATTTAATATTTCAAACATATTCATTTAGTAAAAATTTTATACAAAGCAAATAATAACTTCTTCTAATATGACACATTGCGTGTATATATTTTTTCTACATATGAAATATCTATATTTTATTTTATATTTTATTCAAAACTTATTTTAAATATATTAACAAAATATTATGTTTTCATTAGTTTTTCTTCGAAAATTATCAAAAATGAAAATATAATAATAAAATTTAATAGAAATAAAAATACAATAACAAATTTCAAGAAAATCAGAGTGGCAAATACAATATTTTAACTCTAGAAGCAAATTCAAGGTAGCATGACATACATTAGCTAGAGGAGATATTTTAATTATTCTTACATATGAATAATATGAAAAGGGATTAATTTATTCAATGTAAAATTTAAAAAAAATTAATTATTAATTTTAATATATCTAAAGATGATAAATTCAAGTAAAAGATAAAATAAATAATTTAATCTCATTCTTAAAATATATTAAAATCATTAATAAAAATATATAATTTTTTTAAAATTTATATAAATTATCATTCCACGTATAATTTATATATAAAATACTTTATATGCCTTTTAGGCAATAATAGGCATCTCACCCTACGGCTCCCTCTAAGAAATAAAAAAGTTTGACCCCCGACAATGACTTTGGCTTTGGTGGAAAAAAAGGACACTGGCTTTGGATGATGGAAACAAAAAGCACATTGATCGCAGGCTTTACCCGCAAACTTTTCAAACAACACTTCATTATGCTCTAAGATAAAGCCAATATGTAGAAAGTTTCCAAACTTTACACTTTTTTTTTTTCTTAATGCATTCGTTAATTACAACAGAACATTTTCGAAGATTACTTTTCATTACAATCTCTTATAAAGCAATCAAAGTTTTTATGAAGAAATTAAAAAAGGTATTACAATTTGAAATAATGGACAACCTAGAATAAAACGTACAGGCTTCCATCCATTAGCAAACTCTGAGCATTGATATTACAAACTATTCACACTGAATTTAATTACCAATTATCGAAATCTGTCCCAAGAAGCTTCAAATCTTGTTTTCTTTTCCAATAAATAATAGTGAACCAATAAAACAATGAATTAATCAAGGAGAGTTGTAGTCAAAGCTGTTCCCTTGAAGGTATTTGAGCTGCAAAGATACCTGCCTTTCAATCTGAAGTTGTCTATGAAAATTAGCTATGAACATCTCAGCTCTCTTATCAACATCGTCCTCTGATTGATAACTTGTTGTCCGAGCCAGTCTCATGGAAGAAGAATCCGAATCATCAGAATCATAATCGTCTGCACATGCCCTCAACCCTGGCCTATCCGTGAAGCTCAGCCTCCGGCTGCTCGGAGAAGCACCTATCATGGAAGCGATACGCAATCGATTTATATTGAAACTTAGCAAGAATTTCACCTTCTTCACAGCCTTCCTTAGGCGGCTAAGCAAAGACCACTTTTCCATGGTATAAACTAAAGAACTGTGTTTGTAGATTGATGAAGAAAAAGAAAAATATTGTGTTGCAAAGTTGCAAGTTTAATGTCTTTGGCGAGGCTTAATGTGTTGATAGAAGATAAGAAGAACTGCGTTATGGTATTTATATGTTTATATAGAAAAGATTTAAGGAAAAGGAAGGTGCTGGATAAGTTTAAAAGAAAAACAAAATTACGTATAAAAATGGAGAACCGTGTCAGGTTGACTGCAACAGGTTGGGGTTTCATGAAAGATTAAGAGTTTATTTAGTCAAAAGTTTTATCGATTAATAATAATAAAAACAAAAACAACAACAATAATAATAATAATAATAATAATTATTATTATTATTATTATTATTATGTTTAAACATACGAGTTTCTATCAGGAATAATATGGAAATTAATTCTTTTAACAAAGCATATTTCCCCAGCATAAAACCTGATATTTAGTATAAATGAAATTGTTGAGGAATCATATGCAAGTGAGTAATGTATAAATGAGGGATTTAAATAGACCCAATCTAAATATATATATATATATATATTTTTTTTTTGGTGTTGAAAAATTCAAGCAATCAAACATGAACATCAGATTTAGGACGAAACTTTTTACCAATACCTATGCTTGTTCGCACTTGCAATACAAGTTGTCTACGTTTTGCGGCGTCTTAAGAACTGTAGATTAGCAGTTTGGTTCTAATTAACCTTTTTTATAGTATCATTAATCCATTTGGGTCCTCATTGCCTGCGTCGGTTGACTCAGTCAGCTTGCCGATAAACCTCCCCGTGCTTTAATACTTGAGCTCCAAGAAGCGTCACTCACTGGTCAACTCTCTAAATCTTTTGTTTAATGGCAAAAGTCGTTGGACAACTAGGAATGTTTTTCATCTATCGGAATTTCATCAAAATTGTTCGGTCTTTGGAACTCAAAAATACGCTTAAAACAGTAAATAGCTATTTCTTGCCACCGACAATAGTTCGAATCAAGTGGGTTTTAATTCGTTTTAAATTTGATTTAATTTTATATTTTTAATATTTAAATTCGATTTGATATAATTTTTTTTAAATATTTAAATTTAATTCGATTTAAATTATATAAAATTTGATTTAATATTAAATTAATAAAATATTATTTTTAAAAATAAATATAAAATAAATAAATAAAATATTAAATAAATAAATTAAAAAATAATATATATCAAATCGATAAAAGTTTACCAAAAATTTAACTCCAACCTAAACCTAACTTCAATTTTTTTAATTAATACCAACTCGACTTAAACTTTAATTTAAAATAAAAATTTATAAAATCACATCGAATCAAAATATCTCATATTGAGGTTGGACTACCTTCTCTATCCAAGTCTCTATTTAGCCCAAATCATTAAGTGCTGCTTCCTCAATCGTTTGTCTAAAAGCTTGCATCTGTCATTCAAGTCGTAAGAGAACCACACTTTTTCAGTATCCCAAAGTTTTTCCTTAGCTTGCTAAATGATTAACCACGGCCCAACCCCCATGGCTCCTACTTTGTTTCTGGCTCACCATAGAAACCTGTCAATCTCCACTCCTTGTCATTCATATCCATATCAACAAGGCAGCTTGAGAAACATTACAAAATCAGTGGCTAAAATTAATTAAATTTTACACTATCGGTTTAATCATTAATGAGATTTAGCAATTTATAAATTTCAAATAAACTCAACTCGAATCAAACCAAATTTGCGGGCCACCCCCTCGTGAACATCGAGGTGACCTTACTTCTCTGCCCTTATAAAACATGTCAAAGAAAAAAACAAACAAATGAATGTAGGAGAAATGTCACTTTAAGTCTTGAGGTAGTGCTGAAAACAGGTTGAATAAAAAAGAGGATTCCTTTTCGTGTTAGTTTTGATTTCATGATGAAGTGAGGAAAAAATTGTAATTTGAATATGTCAACAAATTAATTTAGCAAAGTGTGGTAGGTGAGAAAAAAAAAAAAAAAAAAAACAAGACCCAAAGCTGCAATAGGTGAAGTCTAAAGCCATATTTTTCTCATAAATAACGAAGATTCATTTGATAAATAATTTTTGATTAGCCATATCTCATTTGATGTTAACTTTTACGTTTTAAATTTCATTTTGAAATGTTCAAATTAAGGTTTAATTATTAAAATTTCTATTTTACTATTATGCATGCCAAAAAAATTTCTTCAATTTCTTCAATAAAAAACAACCTAAATGATAAATTTAGTTGTGTTTATTCATCGATTTTTTTGGGGTATTTAAGCCTAGCTATTAATAGTTGATGCCTTATGTTGAAAATTGGAACCTTAGCCTACAACAATACATTGAAAAAGTGTCGGTCTTGATTACTGATATATGGAAAGATTTCTATATCTTTCTGCAGTCTATCAACTATTTGTGTTTTTGAAGGTATATCCAAACATGAACGTGAATATTGAACCTTTTCAATCATATTTTAGGTGTTATATAAACCACAAGAAGAATATCGAGGATTGAAATAAATACTAATATTTTTTTCATAGCCCTTGAAGTGTAGGTCTCGAGAAAGATATTGTGGGATTCGGAAATTTAGAATTTTTTTTATATGTATTACACTTTACCTACTATGTAACGTGAATAATATGGCATTATTCAACTTGTAAGAGTAGATAACAGATTAAATTAGATTGAATTTGATTTTTTTAAAAAATAATATATAATATTATAAATTTTTAAATTTTGATTCAAATTTAAATATTTTTTTATAATTTTATTTAATTTAAATTTAAATTTATCGATTTAATTTAGTTTTATTTATCAATTTTTAAATTTTATTTTTTTTACATTTTTATATATTATTTTAATATAAATTTTAATACATTTAAATAGTTTTAAATATAAAATAATTAGTTTTATTTTATAAAATTTAAAAATATATATATAATTAATAACATATATATAATTTAATTCGATTCAAATTTTTTTATTTTTAAATTTTTTAACTGAAATTCTCTCTAAATATAATATATATATATTTAATATTTAAATTTAATTTAAATCTAGCATTATAAATTCAAATTAATTTTTAATTTTTAAATTTTTTTTCTTAACCCCTAAGAATGGTCATACACCTAGGGACCAGTATACATGAATAATCTAAGTTTGGAGAGGAATTCAACATTGCCAAAGTCAAAATGTCTAAATCAAACATTATTTAATGTACTAATATTTGTGACTTCAACCCAAAAAGAAAAAAAAAAATTAAGAAAAAATATTGGTGACTTGACCAAGTTCTAATTGCCAAGCAATTTTCTTGCAGCTGCTCTTTCTACCATATTACCTACTTGTATATTACCCCAACCAAAACTCAAACCAACCAGGGGAGCAAAAAAAACCAAACTCTTACCTTCTCTTTTTTGCTTTCCCCATAATCACGTTTCAATTCTCTCTCTCTCTCTCGCCAACAATGGAGGCCAATCAAGACCAACATGAATTCATCTTTCGATCCAGCCTCCCTGATATTTACATCCCAAATCACCTTCCTTTGCACACATACTGCTTTGAAAACATTTCCCAGTTTAAAGATCGTCCTTGCTTGATCAATGGTCCAACCGGGCAGATATATAGCTATGCTGAAGTCGAGCTCACTGCCCGTAAAGTGGCCACCGGACTCAACAATTTAGGCATCCAAGAGGGTGAAGTTATCATGCTTTTGCTTCGGAACTCACCGGAGTTTGTCTTTGCTTTCCTGGGTGCATCATTCCGTGGAGCAATCAGCACTACCGCGAATCCCTTTTACACCCCAGCGGAGATTGCGAAACAGGCCAAGGACTCCAACACTAAGCTGCTTATAACTCAAGCAGTTTATGCTGAGAAAGTGAAAATTTTCGCCAAGGAAAATGATATCAAGATCATAACGATTGATACACCACCGGAGGGTTGTATGCATTTCTCAGAGTTGACTCAAGCTGATGAGATTGAAATCCCAGCCGCGAAGATCAATCCAGACGACGTTGTGGCCCTGCCCTACTCTTCTGGAACAACAGGGTTACCCAAAGGGGTTATGTTGACTCATAAAAATCTTGTAACAAGCGTGGCCCAACAAGTAGATGGAGAGAATCCCAACCTTTATTTTCATGAGAAAGATGTGATTCTCTGCGTGCTGCCATTGTTCCACATATATTCACTCAATTCTGTGTTACTTTGCTCTTTGAGGGTAGGGGCTGCAATCCTGATTATGCAAAAGTTTGAGATTGTGACATTAATGAAGCTTGTGCAGAAATACAAGGTAACCATCGCCCCCTTCGTGCCACCGATCATTTTGGCCTTCACCAAGAGTCCGGACGTTGATAACTATGACCTTTCATCCATCCGGACGGTGATGTCTGGTGCTGCACCAATGGGAAAGGAGCTAGAGGATGCTGTCAGAGTCATGCTTCCAAATGCAAAACTTGGACAGGTATGATAACTGTTTCTTGTTGGCCGTCTTTCCTTATTTTTTTGTTTATTCTTTTTTTCTTGAATTACATGTTTGTTTCTTTATTTTTCTCATGTACTTAATGAGTTTGATATTATTATATGAAATGAACCTAATTAAAATTTTGATTCTATTTTATGGAAAATATGTATAAATATATATTAGAAATTAAATATATATTTATTTGAGGTAGAAAATTTGAGTGTTGTGAGATTGCCTACCATATGCCACAAACCTATTAAATATGAAATATATATCATAACAATTGGCTTTAAATTGGGCCTCTGAAAAATTCCCAAGTGGGTAGTATATATTTCTTATTTTGTCGGGACCATGACCTTGTCCATTAATTTCGTGATAGCAACTTTCTTTTTTTTCTTAGCACAAAAACAAAAATCTCTGAATGCATATTTTTCTTTCCCATTGAGATCAATTTTTGCCTCTAATAATCGATCTTGTTGCAATGAATTTGCTATTGTTTTCCTGAACTCTTCATCTCTTTCCTGAAGCAAAAACTCACAAAGGACATGAAATAAATGCAAGAACATGATACGTTTGATTGAATTCACAACCACCCAACACAGCAAATTAATGGTTTTTCCATGCATATAAATGGAAAAGGTTTGGCTGAATCCACAACCACCCAACTCAGCAAATTAATGGTTCTTCCAGTTATTTATACATTGATTTTTAAAATGCCACACCTAAATCAAGAAATTTTAAAATACCAAAGAAATTAAAGATATGGGACTAACTGCAATGTTTATGGGCTCTGTCGGTGGCTAAATGGTTGCAGGGTTATGGGATGACAGAGGCAGGGCCAGTGCTATCAATGAACTTAGCTTTTGCAAAACAACCCTGTGAGACGAAATCTGGTGCCTGTGGTACAGTTGTGAGGAATGCAGAAATGAAAATTGTCAATCCTGACACTGGTGCTTCGCTTCCACGAAATCAGTCAGGGGAAATTTGCATTCGGGGTAGCCAGGTCATGAAAGGTACACCATCAAATGCTTTACCCCATGCATCTTCATCTGAAAAACAGTAATAAACAAAGAAAGTTGAAGGCAAGAATAAATATTTATATTTTAGATTAATCAAGAGGGGAAGAAATTTACAAATGTATCTATTTACTACTTTGATTGATTCCTAGGTAGTAGTTAGAAACCTTCATAGGTCAGCTGCATTTGATGGCGTATATGGTTGTTTTTGTGATAACGAAGTTGCATCAAGTACTAATTCCACATGTGTTTGTTTGGTGGGATGCATCTTTTGCGGGCCCAACAGTCAAAGCCACCACAGGAGTAGGAATAAGGATGTTTAAAAATTGACATATGGATAGAACTGACCAATGAGTAACCGACATATGAAGAATCAAATAAAAATATTATTTATGTACAAAATATGATCAATATAGTTTTTTTTTTTGTTACACCATGATAGAGTCCTGGTATAAGTAAGGAGAAGAGAGGTTTGGCTCGAACTAGGTCTTTAATGTTCTCTCAAACATCTTTAATCACTAAATCAAAAGCTTGAAGATGATTGATATAATTATTAAACAGTAAAAGTTTTTTTTTATATTTACTTTATACTCGATATGCTTATTTAAATAAAGTATTGGAATTTATTGGTAAAATTTTTTAAAAGGTTTATATACTTGATTTCTATGTACATCTAAAGGAAAAAAGAGATTTGGGTTTTGAATCTTAATTATTTTGAAGAAGAGTAGTAATCTCTAAATCAGAATTGAATTATTTAAACCGGCTTTCTTAATTCTTAACGACAAGGCAAGATCACAAGAATACTTGGATTGGCATTATATCAGCTCCACCATTGGGAAACACCTTTATTGTTTTTTTCCTATGTTGATTTCTTTATAGTTGTTGTCAATTTTGATTTAGGATTTCTTTTGTTTTTATCTGCTGATATCAATTCTAATTGTACACATCTGGTTTGGAACCATTTGGTCACTTTGGGACTAGAAATATACTTATGCAAATTAGAACTAGAGAACTTTCCATCTCGAAATTTACCCACTGAATTAGTCATTTTCAAACATACAAAATTTAACTAGAATTGATCTTGCCTCACTATCAGGTTATCTTAATGACCCGGAGTCCACAGAGAGAACAATAGACAAAGATGGATGGTTGCACACCGGGGACATTGGCTACATCGATGATGATGGTGAGCTTTTCATTGTTGATCGATTGAAGGAATTGATCAAGTACAGAGGGTTTCAAGTAGCACCTGCTGAGCTTGAAGCTATGTTGATTAGCCATCCCAGCATCTCTGATGCTGCTGTGGTACCGTAAGTCTGCTTCAACATAACTACCTTATGTTAAACTGCGTTAGCCAACGATTTGAATATGTTACTGGCCGGAATTTGAGTCATGCATTTATATCGGTATGTAATGAATTATGTATTTCAGCATGAAAGATGAGGCTTCTGGAGAGGTTCCGGTTGCATTCGTTGTGAGATCAAATGGTTCCAAAATCACTGAGGATGAAATTAAGCAATTCATCTCAAAACAGGTAATGTTAAAAACTTCTTTACCACTGATTTTTTTATTCCAAGAAACCCTGTCTGCTTAATACAATGAACAAGTACATATCTCAGCTTTACTCGGAACCCATGGTTTGATTGTGTTTGCAGGTTGTGTTTTACAAAAGACTTGGCCGGGTTTTCTTCACCGATTTAATCCCCAAGGCTCCCACAGGTAAGATTTTGCGGAAAGATCTACGAGCAAAGCTTGTTGAGGTGTTCCCAACTAGCCCAACTGGAACAGATATTGCATGCAGCAGCATAACATCTAGATAAAGCTACCAATAGACTATGTGGCTTTGTTTTTTCCTCCAAGTTGGGAAGGAAAGCAATAATAATATGGCGCTGGTTTGATTTCAATGCCAAGGAATTGACTTTGTCTCGTTTGAGAACAAAGAATTAGGAACAGAAAGCTGTTATACTATTCGGGCTTTTTATGTAACTGTTAACATTTGTTTATGTATATGATTACATGGGCAGGGCAAACTGGAAAGATGTTGTAGAACATATTTCTATTGTTTGGCAGAGTAGGAACTGCGACGTTTGTTCTGGTCTATATATCTGTGCTTTGAATATCCTATGCCAACTATGGCGAAATCGTTGTTGCGATAAGATATCCTATGCAAAGAGAAAGGACTTCTTTATCTGGCCTTGGGGCATAGTCATGGAAATTTATGAAACAAAATCATCTGCTTCAATTGTAAAAAATGAATAATAATACATATTTTTATTTATTTTTAGTTTTAAAATATATTTAAAAAAATTAAAAGTATTAATTAAAATATACTCCATTTAAGAATGTTGACCGCGAACCCCGCCTATGGACCTTTATATGCGTGCCCCAATAAAGAAATGGACCAAATCCAAACTCCAAATAAATCCATTAGAAGATTCTGAACATTTGTTTGTAACCCCAACGTAACAATCACGTGAATAAATTTTACTCAGTGAAATACTCTCAAGCGTAAATAAATAAAACTAAATAAATTGAGATCATTTAATAATTTTATTGTGTTAAATTAACCGTGTAAATATTGGAGAAAAAATATAGGGTGCTATGTGTAAAAAATTGAATTCACAGAGTTATATTTGAAAATTATCATTAAAAAATATCATTTTTTTTGGTTAAAAATAAATCACACCACTTGTTAAATATATATATATATATGTATATACCATTAGAGGTAGTTTTTTTCGACTTCATAAATGAAGTTGGACAAAATGTCTTGAAAAAGGAGTCTCGAGTTCGAGTTACGGGGTGTCCTTTCTGGAAATCAATCCTAAGACATCAATGGAGAACGGCTTTGGAGCTTTAACTTCACACAGATATTTAATTAAATGGAAACTTCAGTCAACTCCACTTTCAAACTTGTAGGGGCCAACTCCATAGTTGTGCGAGTACGTTATCAGTGGATCCCATCTCTCTGTCTCTGTCTGTCCCTCTCTCTCCATCCCTGTCATGCAATGAAGGACATAACATTAACAGGATTGATGATTGCCACTCTCGTTTCGCTAATGAAGGGTCATACTCAAAAGTGATCATTTACTGATATCTAAAGATGAAAGATTGTAGTAAGTATATATATATATATATATATCATCATGTCCTTATCTGCTTGACCCCAAAGACGACGACCCTGCATATACATGTATTTTGCTGTGTGCAGTGTTGTACTTATATTCCACGATGAGGGATTGGTGAAGAGTAGTTTTATCTATGCATCCCCCACTTAAAGAACCTCAGTGCTCACACATCAGCTTCCAACTTATTCCAACGTATCAATTTCTAGGGTCAACTTGTGTTACTCTTGTGTCTGCCACCTACTTTCCATTCTCACGCAAAGAATCCTTCGTATTTTGTCCTTGTCCTCGTCCTTTTTCCTCTCTGCTCTTCTCCTCTCTTCTCTTCTCTTCTCTTTGCTCTTTCTCTCTCTCTTAGAAGCTGAAACTTGACTCCTATTCACTCCCTCACCTTGCTTGCATTACTATAAGCCCCATCTATTTCTTTATTTACTCTTTTTTTTCCCTGCTATAAACGCCACAGCTTGCTTGAAACAAAACATTGCTTATCTACCCTAGAGAGAAATAATTAAGCTTAATTCTGATGACAAAAATTCCTATTAATAAATAAATCTGATGGATAGAACTCTTTTTCATCTCATAATCTATATATCACCTTAATTTCGGGATTTCAATATAAACTTAGAATCTTGAATTTTCCCTTTTAGTCGTTTTATTATTATTTTTTATTTCAAATTAACCGTCTGTGTTTGATTTGATACACAGATTAAGCAAACAATTTGAGAGCATAGTAGTTTTAATAATAAAAAATTTTAAAAATTTATTAAAATTAATATGAAATATAGAAAAAGTAGTGATTAGCATTAATTAAAAAATAAAAAGTACTACTTTATGGTTTTGGAAGACTTGAAAAATGGAAGATGAACATTCAATTTAGAAAATATTATATATTGGGCAAACTACATGCATTAGTCATTGAAATTTTCGTTATTTTTTATATTGATCTCTCAAAATTAATTAGTGATTAAATTATAATTTTTCATAATTGGGTGATCAAAATAAAAAACGGTGGAAACTTCAGTGACTATATCCTAATATATTTACTAGAGTATTTCAACTTTATATATATATATATATGTATATATATATATGTATATATAAGTAATATAAGGACATATTCATTTACTTCTTGCCTTAAAAGGATCCATTTATTAGTTGATGGAGACAGAGTGAAGCAAGCATTTGGTGAAAACCAACGAAATATGTTGAAAGAAAACTATAAGAAATATGTGATGGAGATTACTCATGAGATGTTTTGTAGACATGATAATACCAAACATAAAGGAATATAGTGCACCGACACACACAAACAATAGAGCAAGCTTAAAATAAAAATACAAACACATAAATATATTTATTTTGATCCAACTCAAAATAACTTACTCCAAACATAATTACAACTGTGATACTTTTACAATAAAAAAATCACTAAAAACTTTTACTCGAAACTTAATTCAAAATCTAATAATACTCTTTTAATAGTCTACTCACTTAACTATTTTTTTTATGTCTAACTATTTGTGATTGCCAAGTTAAAACTAAAATATCTTATTTATAAACGTGAAACCCTTATACTTTTACTAAATTTCTGATGTGGGATATAAGACAAATTCTCAATTCTTATAACTTTACTTAACTTTCAATGTGGGATTACAAAATTTAAGGTAAACCCCAACAAATTCTTATTGACTTGAATCTTCAAATACTTCAACAATGTCTGCAAAGGTGACACGCTTGTCCTTCTTCTTTTTTTTTTCATCATAGAAATCTCAACAACTGAACCTCTATAAAGTATGTATAAATGATTTTTAATCCTATTCTCTTGTAGAATTATACTACTATTTTTATACACTTTCAACCACTATATGTACCTTAAGAAGTTAACTTATCCAAAGCAATCAAATTGTAGCTACAACCCAGTACATACATTACCTGACGAAAAGTCCTAATAACACCATTATGATATCTAAGGTGAACACTCCTAATACCTTGAATCTGTACTTTTTCATTGTTGGCGACCGTAATATTTTCATACTTCTTATTCTCATCCAACTCTATAAAATAATTTTTATCATTGTAGATATGGACTGTAACAGTTGAATTTAAAACCTAACTTTTATCACCTTTTTGAGTCTCATCCATATAAATCGTCAAAACGACCTCATCATCATCAGACACAATAATAATAGTATCATTCTTTCCTTCATCCAATTTTTTCTCGTCATTCATCCTTTTGAATACAGTCATATTCCTTCTTAACTTCTTGTAGCGCACTTATATATATTTATATATATCATTTTTTACCATAATAATAATAATAATTTATATCACTGTAATATCTATCTCTTGACTTGGATCTTTCTCTTAATCTATCAATCTTCTTTTAAATTCTCCCTCGATCAAAACCCTTTACAATTAGTGCACTACCTCCAAGTGATGAATTTTTTGTTCCTATAAACCTTTCGTTCTCACACAATAGGGCAATCACATCATCAACTTCAAAGTAGACCTATCAACAAACAAAATTTAAATTAAAGGTCTATAAGACTTGGATAAAAATGACAACAAAATTAAAGTATTCTCTTCATTTTTAACTCATCAACATAAATCGCAAGTAATTAAGAAACTAATATATTAAATTTATTCAAGTGATTATGAAGACTCATACTTTCTTTCATCTTTAGAGAATATAGATCATCCTTAAACATAATCTATTAATCAATGACTTCGAAGCATAAATACTCTCAAGTTTATCTCACAAACTCTTCAGAATACTCTCAGTCAATACATTATACTTTACTTTTGGGATTAGCTCCAATTTAATAGTACTAACAATTTTCTTTTGAATTTTATTTCAATTATTGTCAAACATTTTTTAGGTTTACTACTTTCTAATGCTTGATTTAACCCTCCTCAAGCTTGCTACTTTATAATGTTTGATCCAACCTTTGTTGTACTAATAAATTTTGAATCATATTTAGCCATAAAATAAAATTAATCTTTCCATTGGAATTTCAAATTTGGGTATAGGCATAGTAGACTTATTTTCTTTATACATCTTGAAATACTTGCATTGTTTTCACAATCTTTTGGGCTGTCCTCTTTTCTTTCAATGTTTTAAACCTCAAATTTTACTTTGATACCATTTGTTGAGAAATCAACATGTGTGCAGTACCGACACACATAAACAATAGAGTAAACTCAAAACAAGAATAAAACACACAAATATATTTATTTCGGCTCCAACTCAAAATGACTTATTCCAAACCTAATCCACTAACAAATGAATCTTTACAATTGTAAGATTTTTGGAATGAAAAAATCATAAAAATCTCCTTACTCAAAATTTAATCCAAAACCTAATAACATCCTTTTAATAATCTACTCACTTAGTTATTCTTTTGGTATCTAATTATTTAGGATTACTAAACTAAAGCTAAAGTATCTTATTTATAAAGGCATACCTTTACTAACTATTTAATGTGGATACAAGATAAACTATCAATTCTTATACCTTTACTCAATTTTCAATGTGAGATTACATATTCAAAGCAAACACCAATAAATGTTACCATAGAAATTTGAGGCATAATTTTGGAAGAAATTTCTCAATTGAGATTAGCGACAGATGGTCTTGATTGGAATGATAATGAGAGACAAAGAAAGATCGTTCAGACATATAACGTTTGTGAAAATAGTTATCTTTTTGGTTAGAGTGATAATGTCGGTGGTAAACTGCAAGCAAGGAATGGACAAGAGAAAGCTTGTCTTTAAGTTGGATTTTATTTGTCTTACATACATCATTAGGAATCTCAACTATAGATAGCTGCGTTTTGTGGTAAAAAAAAAGTCAGTAAAAGCTCAATTTTCTGCAATGATCTGAAAATTCAGGTCGAACCCCAACTGGGGCATACATATTCTTGCAGCCAAACAAACTGACACGTTTGATAATGGATCCAAAACTGAAACAGAAAACACCCAAAAAGGTGCACAAAGTGCGGGGAAAAACGTGACCCTACTCTTAGAACTCATGATAGCTTAGAACCAAATAAAACTCATGGAAGCTAAACATCACTAAAATCTATAAAGTAGCTTTCATGAAAAAGAAATTTGCAGAAGCTTAGCTTCAACATCAGGCACACACAGACACTTGGAGAGATGAGGTTTATGGATGATTAATATTATCCCTTTGGCACATAGAAGATTTCATTAAAACCATCAATAAAACACATACGTCGACGAGCAAAGAATGGTGCCGGTCACTGTATTCTAGCATTCAATTTTATGATTGATGCATGTATCTCTTATTCAACAGAACATGAAAGATTAGCTATCAATATCTGTTTCTCTATGGAATAAAAAACAAAAACAGTGGAAGTCATTGTCCACGTGTTGGCAGAAAAGAGAACCAGGAGTCTTCATAGCGAGTTCCTCCCGTAACCTTTTTACTGTTTATTAAACCCGACAAAACACGAACATGTCCACCACCATTTCTGTCTCAGTTTCTTCTTAGGATCACTTCCTATTAATCTATTTTTCTATGGGCAAAACTAGGGGCTCCCTCCTATATCTCTCGTCACTGCTCTCCCTTAAACCTCGCATTTTCCCATGTGACTCTCTCTCTCTCTCTCTTTTGCTTGAATTGAGCAAATGCTTTTTTATTTGTTTTGTTTAGATTAATTAATAAAAGGATATTGATAATTTCTGTCCTGTCTTCTTTCTTATCTTACTTCAGATTATTGGTCATTCACTAATTATAGAGAGAATTTAATAATGTAAATGTGAGAGTATATCTATATATGCAATACTATTATTATCTTAACAAAATAAGTCAGATCTAATTAACTGACTCAGGCCAAGTACATGAAATATTAATTAAAAAAAGTACTATACATGATGAAATATTTAGGGCTCAAGTTCATGATTGCATTTCTTGTGGTTTGTTAAAGTACAAAGGAACACATGGAATTTACCTACTGATCATTATATTTCTTAACGGCTATAATAGTATGTTTTTACAAGGGAATTAATGTTCCTAGAGCTTTGGAATCTTTATGACAAGGTGACTACCGATATTGCTGAGAAGAGTATGTAGTTTTCTTGTTTTTGTTGTGTCTGTGATTACTAGACAAAACTCATCGCAATCATAGCCGACCTGCAAGATTATGATCCCATAATCATGGTCTAATAAATAATAATGTGTCAATAAATTAATTCTAGACATTGTTGTTTGGGAGGTTATTTTTAAATGCTTACCTGATTGAGAGAACATAGTGGATTTGATTTGTCTGCTTTTCTACAGTTTAAAATCCCATACCCCATGTGCTTGTCTCAGTTTAAGTTAAGTCAAAAACTAAGAAAGACTGATGTGAGAGAGAGAGAGAGAGAGATTGATATAATTCAAATACGATGTGATGTAAGGTAGACGACTAGTACTCAAAACCTTGGTGGCATACATGCAGAAAAACTGTGGGGTCCCAAGCAAAGGCACTATGGACTATTACAAACCATTGATCCGCTTTATACAATTCCCCAAGACCTTTTCGGTAGTAGTTGCCTTTCTGGCTCTGACTCTATAAGCGATAGATGCCGAGGTTATGATCCGGAAAAGGTACTATGAAGCTAATAAGATGAACAGCTTGTTTCTTTGGATGTCTTTCTGTGGTTAGTAACATTTGTCTAGAGACGGCTCATCACTCTCCCAAACTGACCCAAACTGTTATTTGCATCAATAGGAATTTCCCACAGTTGGCGTCTCACATAATTAATAATTTAATTAATAATTTCTTCCTATAAATGAATATGCAAAAGAACGTTATTTCATGGGATTTCAACAAAAGTATGGGAATTCTTTTTACTCCCTCTTTGTTTGGCTCAAAAGTACTGTTGATGTCAAATTTGTGCACATATATCTGAACTTTGAACTTGGACAATGAAGAAAGAAGAGATCAAAGAATTAGGTAAGGGCTGAACTGATCCATTTATAGAAGTTGATTGGATATTAACGTCGCCTCTGCTTGTCAGTCGACCGACCTTTAAGACATGTTCTATAGGAACATTAATTGATCCAAAGAGTTGTACCAATTAGCACCAGTGGGTTCATTGTCGTGGGACTATGTCTAATCTTGTACGGTTGTTCATTGCATCAGAGGATAATCTAGCGGCAAATGTCAAACCGGTCTGTTATCATGTTGCATGTTTAATCTAATCAAGTCAGTTTATCTTGTTTATATTGGACCAATGACTAGATGTCTAAATTATACAGATTCACAAGTTATTCAATATAAAGAAAACTTTAAAGCATAGATGATTATATTAAAAATTAGCTCCTTTGAATTTTTTTCCCTAATTTCTTACTTGTTTGTGAGAATGCAGAGAAAGTACCCTGAAATTTTTTTTGTGCGGACCGACAAAGGATTAGAATGCTGCCATTAATGGAGGCGACAACCCCTCGATTCCCCACTGATCTTTGCTGATAACTGTCTCTCTCTCTTTTTCTGTCCTTCTCTCTCTCTCTCCATAGGCCCTCTCTTTTTTACACTTGTTACTATTTGTGGTTGCAGGAACAGTGAACCTTTGTACCTCATATAATGCTAGACATACCCTCTCAAACTGCTTATCTATGCCCCTACCTTCCCTTTTATTTTCCATAGACTACTTTGATTCGCCTATAAACTTCTACTTTCACTGGCTTCTCCTTGAGCTATTAGCCTTCTCGATCTCCCTCCTAAGTCCCGCCTACCATTGAATCATCATTGTCATTCTTTCGATCGCATTAAACTCATCTCGTTTCCTTTGTTATAGCTCGAGATCAACTTCCAGGTTTCTCTCTCCCATAATGGATTACCACCCTAATACTTTTCTTCGTCTAAGCCTACCCAACAATCAACTCAACCTAGAGCTTGTCCTTGAACCATCATCTTCTTCCTCATCGCCACAAAGTCCAGTGGAACCTAGAATTTTCTCTTGTAACTATTGCCAAAGGAAGTTCTATAGTTCACAAGCACTTGGAGGCCACCAAAATGCCCACAAGCTAGAACGAACTCTAGCCAAGAAAAACAGGGAGCAAAGCTCAGCTGTCCGGACTCATGGGGGATCCAATTCTCACTCAGGATCCAGTGTCTGTGGTTCGAGCCGTGCTCAATGTATGCAGTCACAAGTCGCTCCATTTGAACAACAAGGTCGACCTGTTAGGTTTGCAGGAGAAATGAATTATGGAAGAAGAGACATGAACCATGGTTCAAGAGAAGGGATCGATTCTTGGTCCAAGGGATACAGGACTGAAAATGTTGAAGAAGAGTTCAGCCAGCTTGACTTATCTTTAAGGCTTTAAAATTGCACCCACTATTTGCAATTGTATTTTCATTTTATTTTTTGTGATACGCTTATATGTTTGAAATGTATTCTTAATATGTAGAAAACAAGAAAGTGTGAAGCATGGGAAATTTGTAGTAGAAAATATTAGGCTGACTTTTTTTTTTCCTTTGAGTTGGAGATATATGTACCGTGTTTATTTTTTGGTGAATGACATTTATCTTTTTACCGAGGAGAAGTGTACGAAAAAAATTATAAATATTGACATCTGAATTTTAAATCTGCGACTATATCTATTAAAAGTAAAACAATGAAGTTGTTGAGTTAAATCCTGAGTTAGAATGATATTTCATTTTTGTTGGAGCACCGAAGAACAGGGAACAGGAAACGGCTAGAGGAAGCAATTTTAAGATGAAGACGCAGGTAATGCCTTGAGACGCGTAAAAGACGCTCAGTGTTCATTCCATGGGTAACATACACGAACTTCCTTTACCTATGATGTGATGTCAACTTTAGATTTTAATAGGAAAGAACGATGGAAAAGGATGAAAATGTAAAAATATTTATTTTAATAATTAAATTATAAAGTAAAAAATTAATTATAAATTTTTTTATCTTCACTCCTTTTCGTCTTTTTTATCAAGCAAAATTTTAATGGATTTTTAAGGATGCATCTGTACTTTTTTTTTTTTTTTAATGGATCCAAACATGTTACTTGAACTTAAAGGGTAAAGGTAAATACATGTATTTCATTGTTTTAAGAGCAAGATTAAAAAATAATTCTAACGAAAAAAAAAAAGTCTTTAAAAGCAGCATTATATACGTGGATTATCAACCTATATATAAGGAAAAAACCTAGAGCGAAGAACTCTATCTAAGCAACACTAAGCCAACTTCTACAAGAACCAAAAAGAACTACCTTAGATTTAGGATTTGAACATTTGCTTGTAGAAGTTGGCTTAGTGCTGCTCAGGTACTAATTATGCAAACCACAGTTCTTTTTTTAAAAAGAAATCCGCCCCTGATTTTATTTCAATTTTAAAAAAAAGATACCCGATCCATTTTTAACTTGTTTGTTAATTAAAAAAAAAAATCATTTCTATCAAATTGAAACAGTCAAAATTCGTATAATATGGATTGTTTTGTTATTCTAAGTTCAAAATTTTGTTCTTTACTTGTTTAATGGATCCACAATCAATATAAGACTACAAATCATTTACAATAAATAAGATGAACAATCTAAAATTAGGATGCAAGCATATATACTAGTTCTGAAGAACCTATTTAACACAAATAATCAGCTAAATCACTATCTGCCACTCATATATTAGAGCCCTTGCTAAGATCATAGACTGGACTGCAGAGGTTATCTATCATCTCTAAACTGCAATAAACAAGCTAAAAATCAAAGGAAAGCAGTATTTTTGAAAATGGAACATGAGGATTTACTTAATTAGTGTACTTTTTCATATATATATATATATATATATCTAACTACTTCTTATAATTGTAGCAAAAAATAAAATGTATATATATGGTACAAGGGGCAGAATAGTTTCATTTTCCGATGCATGAAAGAAGTTAACAAGCCTGGAAGCCAACTAAAGCTTCAACCAAAATGAAGAATCAACACACATTCTACTCAGAAATCTGACAATTATATAGTATATGTTCACCAGAATGGTCCTCACCACTAAATGCAGAATAGAAATTAAAGCTTCCCTCCTGATTGTAATCCATCACAGAGACTTCATCGTCAAGCTCGAGGTTATGGTTGGAACTAAAGTCAGTCGTTGGTGATATCATTGTGACATTGGGCACCAATTCGGTCTCAGCATTTCTTGTTAAGACTGCGGAACCAGGATATTGCTCATTATTTGTACAGTCCATAGTAAAGCCTGCATAATTTGGAATGCCACCTATACAAATGTTAACCAGTTAATGAGCAATTGAGGTAAGTGATGGAAATAGACTGCATATCAAATCACAAATGATCGAAATTAAGGAAAGGGGATACAATTAAGTACCAGAAACAAGATTCGGGACAGAACTAACAGCAAAAGGGGACTGGAAATTAGCTACATCTGTTTCAGGCGTAGAAAATGCATTCGAGAATGGATAAAATGGCGCACTGCTAGGAGTTCTAGGGTCGGAACCCGCATCATGAAAGTATGGTGACTGAGAAGTCCCTGAAACAGGCTCGGATCCAAGATTATGAGGCTGAATATTCATTTCTAAGCTGTAATTATAGTAATTAAAAGATTTGAAATCTGGCGTTTGAAAGTTTGGATTATCCAAGCAACTATGAAGAAGGGATTGTTGCGTGTTGTCTGGAACCAGCGAGCCGCCATTTGGTATCATACGCCCTGACATTACCGTATTCCCCTCTCTTTGGTTGAGAAAGATAGAGTTCATGTCCTCGAAGGAGTGAGACCGATTAACTTTGGAACAGCTAGATGATCAGCATTAACGTCGCCAACTTCCCATTTTCTTCGGTTAGTACTTCTACTAGTGGATGAAGATCGGATAACTCTTTCTAATTCAAAACCTTGTTGGTTCGTTTTAGCTTTCCGCTTTTTCAACGAAATCCTATATTTCTATTACACAAAAGAACCAGGATCATTAGAAGAAGAATGGGCAACTAACTAGCTATTAATAAGCGTATAAGACCATTCTTAATCTTAATTACCTGCAGATGACTAGCAATATTCTCCCGAGTGAGTCCTGGTTCATTCATAATGTCAAGTATCTTCTTCGGATGCACCATTGAACCTTAAAATCCAAAGAACAATCTCTGATTCAGTAACATCTGGAATAGAAATTATAGACAGTAAACTCTTACCCGGAAACTGATACTAGTACTTACATTTTTCCAGTCTCTGAACAGCTTTTACAAACTTAGCGTCAAGCTCCGGGGTCCATGATAACCGCTTTTTTTTCCAACTACTAGAAGAGGCACCATCCGATTGAATTTTGACTTTAGCATTGGAATGTTCCAAAGGCTTTAGTTTTTGGTCGTTCGATGTTTCTTGCCAGTCGCTTGATTGTTCAGAATCCCTTATTTTATTAAGAGTAACACAGCGCTGAATAGTATTCTTGATTTCCTGCACTCCAATGGGTTTTATCATATAATCTACAGCCCCATAAATTAGACCCTTCCTTATGTTTTCTAGACTGCCATCTCCAGTCACCACTGTGAATTAATTTTCGAAACATGATCAAAATTAAAAACTACTTAAAATCAAAGCTCGTTGATTGATATATGGTTTCAAGGAAATTAACTTACTTATCACCGGTAAGTACATTTCAAGTCCTATAGTCTCCAGAAGCTTATAACCATTCAAGTTACCACCATCAACATCAACAAGCACAATGTCAAACCCACGTTTGTTTGCTCTCAATAATTCTAGAGCTTCAGCGGCAGATGGTGTTGTTTTAACTGCATATCAAAAGGGGAGGTTTCCAGAAAAACAGCAAAACTTATTGCTCTGTTCCAAATTAAATATGATGTCCTATCTCTTCTTTTTGAGGAATTAGATATCCTATTTCTAGACAGTTGTACAGAGTTGTGTGAAGAAAAAAATAATATTCTACCTGGCAATTAAATTAAACAAAAATTAAGATAGTATATTCTTTTGGACGTTTAGTTTCTTGGGAGAAAAGGAATTACAAATAAATAAAATTAAAAAAAAAAACCTTAATTTTAAACAAAAGGCTGATGAAAAACTTTCAGACATTCACGTTACGTGATTTCCAAACTTTCAGACATTCGAAATTACAGCAAATTGATTGTATTCAAACTTAATAGATCTCACCAAGAACATCCTTCCAAGCCCTAAATTCCAGATTTGTAAAAACTTTAAGTTAACAATATATAACCTAAGCAAGTAACACCCCAGCAAGACCAGTATTTTTATTGTCCAAATCTGAGAACATAAATACAAAATATATATATATATAAAACTCAAAGAAAATAGAGAGACACAGCATATAATTAATATATATACCTTTGTAGTTGCACTTATGGAGCACGGCACAAAGATACTGAAGGCTGAAAATTTGAGCGTCAATAGCAAGAACTCTTATGTCGTCGAAGATATCATCATCAACTTCAAGTATTGGATTCATCTCATAAGGTTTATTAAGAAGATTGTCTTCCATGTTAATTACAGAAGAAGAAAAAAATTTGATGCAATTATGCGGAGATTTCTCAAATTAACAAGTTTAATGTTGTGAAAACCTTTGGATAGACGACTTTAAATAGTAAGAATAATAGGGTTTTAGCCAAGGGGAGTTATGTAGATAATTGGAGATTACACCGTACGTACATCGTATACGTGAATTGTGATATCCCTTTGACATTGAGAGCGCAATACCATAAAGCATGGCTCCACACCGCCAATAAATTGCTTAATTTTGGAAAGTGAATCCAAGATTTTGCTTTTCAATCAAGATTGCTTCCCGGAAAGTTTACCCTCGTTAACTTCTATAAAAACAGAGACCCCCCAAAAACATAAACAGATTGCAGCCAAGCAACCGAACTCAGCCTTAAAGAGAAACCCCTGCTTTAGCTACTAACAGAAATCGCCTCATAAAGAATATTTTTGAAGCTAACTTCCTTAATCCTGCATTTGAGATTTTGTTCGAAACGTGCTTCATCCACCAAGAAACTAAAGAATGATTAGTAACGCAAAGAATAGCACAACTGGAATCACTTTCAATGATAAGAAGATGAGAACTGGCCCATGTGGAAGAAGAAAAGAACTATCGTCTTGAATTGAGTTCAAATAAATTTACTTTGTTGACTTGATCAATTCCGCCATCATTATTACATGCATTAAAATCAAAATCCGAAACAGGAAAATGGCTGCTAAACGACTTATGATTGGAGTACAAAATACATGTTACAAACCCTTATTTCAAAATTGTAAACCATATAGAGAAAGGTTTTAAAAAAAGGTCAAGAAGCCAACTTTTGGAAAAACAATCCTCATGTTTTAAGTGTAATTGGGTAGGAAAAAAGGAATACTAGAAACCATATTGGTGGGGAGGTGTTAGACAATAGTCTTAGAGTATGTTGGCAAAGGCACATTCTGTCGGAAAGCCGTAGGGGAATCGCTTTTTGTCTGTGCAGTAATTATACACCATGTAATTGTCCTGCACCCATTTCATCTGCCCTTTCTTTGCAAAATCAAGCTCTTCCCAATACCATGCGTTTTTGTTTGGGCTGCAATAAGATGATCCATATGACCAGACGCAAGCATCGGTATTGAAGTTTCTATAGGAAGCTTTGAAGGGGGCCTTACTCCAATCTGTCTTGACAAGTCCACCTCTAGTTGCCCAGTTATCAGCATTCCAGAGAGAAGAATATAATCTCATTTTCTGTTTATTCGGGAATGGAACCCCAAGAAACTCCAGGTTCTTGAACTCTCTAATGGGGATGCCATCAACATAGAATCTGAGATACAGTAAACAAGAAATTGAATGAACATATGTAGGAAATATGATGCACATTCCAGGTTTACAACAGAATTCTTATGCACTCATGCTTGCTTTTGCTTACACAATCCGCTGGGGGTTCCAAAGGATGGAGTAGGTGTGAAAATCTGCAGTGGGGTCAAACCATAGGTAGAATTGCTGCTCTCTGTTGCCCTTGCCTTGGCAGAATACATTTGTATGTACAATGTAAGGGTGTCCACTTAAATTCCCCAGGAATTCAAAATCTATCTCATCCCAAGTTTCACCTTTTGAAGATAACTGCAGTACATTCAGAGAAATTAACTGAGAGGTAATTATGCCAAACTTCAAAATTATGACAGATTCCATTAAACAGATAACTTACATAATAAGTAGTTACTGTGCCCGCAGAATTTCCAGGTACAAGCTTCAGCTGCATATCAATCTTTCCAAATAGATATTCATTCTTGGACTGGAATCCAGAGCCAGAGATTTTATCCAGCGACAGAGTGAGCAGGTTGCCACCGTCGTAAATCTGAGCACGGTCTTTTCCCCAAACGGTGTCACAATTTTGGTAGAAGTTGCCAGCAAAGGCAGCCACGCAGAAACTGATCAGGAACAATAAAACCAGCCCAGTGGACGCACTTGAAGGAGAACGAAATGCAGCCATTTCTTGATGTATATTCTTGTCGTTTTCTCTCAGCTGCACAAAGTGTTTCAGGCTGTTGCTGTTGCTTGATTTTGATGGTTAATTGTGGCAGTATTTATATGTAAGACGGTAAGAGATGCCAGGCAGGCAAGCAGGCGAGCTTAGGTTGTAAGGTTCATTATTTGTCAACATGAATTGAGTATAATAGGTGGATGTGGCAGCAACTACTAGGCTTTGTATAGCTAGTTTTCTTTCATTGTCATCAGCATCATCAAATAATCAAGCGCGGTTTTTGCAGAGAAAGGGTCAGGAATCTAAAATTTCCCTATTTACTTTTGCCGTCTCTTCACACCAACCTCTCCTGTGTGGCAGTCAACTCCAATAATATATAGTAGTATAGTTTTGTTTATGGTTTGGCTATTGAATAGACCTACAGATTTAGGCTCTATCCATGCCTAAGTTATGTGAATTTAAGGTCATTGAAATGCTCTGCGACTAATTTTGATGCAGAGATTGCCAGATTGGAGACACTGACCCTATAAAATTTAAAATATTAAAAGTAATATTTCTCCAAGAAAATAAAATGCATGATTTGCTTTTATTTATAGAACAACTATATTAAATTTGGTGTCTCGCTTTTAACATTTGTTCATTTTTTAATCAATATTAGCCATATCTGCACGTCGTTGCAGGGACAACAAATATCAAACGTGTAATTAACACTAATTTTATGTATTCAATGTCATTTTCATGAAGCAAGTCAACCAAATTTGCTTTATTATATTATAAATGCAACTTTGATCGTTAAGATTAAAAATTGACATGCAAAGAATAGAACCAGTCAGAGCAGTAAAGGTTACCTATTCTAACGATTTGTTGACATAGTTATGCGAAAGGATGTTGAGTTGGTGGAACTCTTAAGCAATTGAAGCTTGATGACATAAAACAATAAAATTATTGTATCTGTAACAATAAGCTTGAGTTTATCATTAGTACAAAGTTTGAAAATATATCATAATCTGAATTCAATCTTTTTGTATTTGAAATTGAATTTGAATTACAACAACTATTTTTAAAAATTAAACTGTAGATTTGATCAAAGAGTGATGCTAATCGTTGGCTGTCTGAGTCCTTGTGTGATTGGATTGCGAGAGCAGTTGTCATGGAAGTTGCTGTTCTTCTTCTCTAATAGATGTTGCTTGGTTAGTATTTTTAGGTTCGTTTGATTGATACTTTTGTTGTTTGTTTTTTTTCTTTTTTCAATAGAAAGACAGAAGCATCAAGCATTCGGAACTGTGATAATCTATGAATTACTGTTATTATTTATTGATTGTGTTCTTTATTTCAACAAAAATAAATTCCCTCTTATTGCGAAAACAATCAGTAATTAAAAGAATTAATTATCCCAAAATCAGAGAAGCAAGGGATGAACGAGTAGTGGGTATTTTTTGTGCTGTGTTTAAGTTAAGTTATTTGGCAGTACATTCTGGTGGGAGGCCTTGGGGAAATCGCTTTGTGTCTGAGCAGTAATTGTAAATCATGTAATTCCTCTGCACCCACTGCAGCGCCTCTTGGCCTGCGGAGTCAAGTTCTTCCAAGAGCCAAGGAGGATTATTATTGTTAGCAGGAGAATTTGAATTGCAAATTGATGATGCTCCAGAAGACCTGGTGCAAGCATCGGCATTGAAGTTTCTATACGAGGCAGTGAAGGGAGCCTGGCTCCAATCAATCTTGACTAGACCACCTCTTGTAGCCCAGTCATCACCGTTCCAGAGACTGGATTGTATCCTCATGGGCTGGTTCTTTGGGAATGGAACCCCAATTGATTCCAAGTTCTTGAACTCTCTAATGGGAGTGCCATCTACATAGAAGCTGGAAAAATAGAAAAATTCAAATTCAGTAAAGTTCCAGAATAAACAAGTAAGAAAAGTATTAACTTAGACTAGCTTTAAAAGATTGTTACTTACATGATACGTTGGGGATTCCACAGGATGGAATAGGTGTGAAAATCAGCTGTAGGATCAAACCAGAGGTAGAACTGTTGCTCCCTGTCACCTTTGCCTTGGCTGAATACATTTGTGTGAAGAATGTAAGGATCGCCACTTAAGTTGCCCAAGAATTCGAAGTCTATTTCATCCCAAGCAGACCCTTCGGAGCGCAACTGCAATACGACGTCATAAACAGATATTTTTCTGTGTTAGCATAAAGTTTAATCAAATAAGAGTTGTTGAAGTATTAGAATGTAAATATGGGAATGGTACTTACATAATATGCGGTGACAGTGCCTGCAGAATTGCCAGGGACAAGCTTGAGCTGCATATCAATCTTTCCAAACAAATACTCATTTTTGGATTGGAAACCTGAGCCAGACGTTTTGTCAAGGGAAAGGGTAAGAAGTTCACCATTGTTGAGTATCTGAGCACGACCATCTCCCCATGTAATGTCAAAGTCCTGGTAAAAGTTGCCAGCAGTTGCAATTATAACAAAAGTAACCCATACAGAGATTAGGAGAGTAACAGAAACATTTGAAGAACAAGAAATTAAAGATGTCATTATTTCTGATTTATTGTATGAAATGAGGAGTTGAATAAGTGATTTTCAGTGAAGGAGTTGGAGGCTTGAATTGTTTATTGACCTAAAATTATAGCCTGTTTATATAGACGGAGGATGACGAACAAAATAAGGAAGAGTGCATGATTTGAAGGTTCCTCACGATTTTTGAGTTTGGTGGGAAGAGAATATGAGTTGTAGAAAAGCTGGGGTTGAAGAAAAAAATATAGCTAGAGAAAAGAGAAGGGTCATATCCCATATATAAAAAATTTCAACCACTCCAATCAAGTGCCAATTGGCCAAATGACTCTTAGTCTGGAGCGAGCCGCCTCATTTGTCATGATTTTACATTCAACAAGCCTGTATATGAACCCTGATGAATCGAAGCGGAGGACACCAATCGGTAACCACCGTCTCCAATCCATGACATCTCTGGTCCCCCTCTCGATTACGTGTGGTTTGCTTTCCAGTGTGTCCACAGCTTGCATATATCGAGTTGATCTTTTCAACAATTCTAGGTTCAAAACAACTGCGGAAATTACTGGTATATTCTAGAAAAGAAAAAGGGTACCTGAGCATCTTTATTTCTTCATCTGTTACATTTTAATATAATATTCACATAATGTTGGTCTCATGGCGGTTTTAGTTTTGACTGTTTTATTCATTTATTTACCTCTTCAAAACAGATATCTTGTACTCGGTTGACATTTTCATATAATTAGGTAGAGGCATTTATATAAATTTAATGCTTCAGTATCAAAGTTTCAATATCTTACGTAAAGAACAAAAAGGTTCAACATTTGAATGTATACACTTGTGATCAGTCTAGACGTCACATTCAATTTTTAAACCATATACTTCATAATGACTTTTCCTATGTTAATTTCTTCATCTTATGTGATTTATTGAATATAAAAAAGTCTTATATCTACCAATGACATCTTAACTTAGCAATAAAGAGTAAGTCATAAGATCTTGAGATTTTATGTTCAAGTATTATTATGTGTGTATTTAGTTGTTTAGTTAAATTATAATTTAGTAGTTGATTATTTAATAATATAATCATCGATTATTTATTTAATTATATGAATATATTATTTGATCATAAACATAACTTTAAAAAAAATCTTACATCTCATTTTTTATCCAAACCAAATAATTAACAGGCAAAAAAAAATTATAGATTCCTCTTATTTATCGAATATAGTTAAACACATACCACATAATTACATATATTATATATAAAGCAAATTTTCAGATGTAAAACTTTTTTTTACCTTTTTTGTTAAATATTAACAAAAAATGTAATATATATATATATATATATATATCCCCGTTCTATTAGTAAAGTAATTTTTACAAAGATGATGAACACTTAAAAATTATAAAAATTTAACTAAAAATAAGTAGTATAACAAAATAATAATTTATAGAAATTAAAGTTGAATTAGATTTTTAAATACATATAATATTAAATTAAACAATGAAAAATTTACCATGCAACTTTCTCGCATCCCATAAATCCGCTCTATTGGATGGAATAACAAGTTCAAGATTGATTCAAATGATGATAATACAGATAAGGTTGATTCAACCAAGGATATGTTGATAATATTGATAAGGTTAATTCAACCATGGAAGTTAATAAGGATGTCAAGGTTGAAGACAATCTTGATTAGAATATATTGTTTGAAATACTTGTATATATTCCTTGTATTTTGAACTCTTGTGCTTATCAAGATAATGTACTAATTATACTATAAATATACGCCAATGAGATCACTGGCAGTAAATCTTTTTCACTAACATATATTCAGTTTTTAAACTTTTAATATGGCTTATAGCCTTTTACTGATTAAACTTTTACTCAATTTTTAAGGACTAAACATGTGACCTTTAAAATGAAATCTTAAATTTTAATTGTTGATGATATTTCAGGAGATTAAATAATAATTAATAATCTTTATTTGATAAAATTAAGTTGTAAATAATATTTTTTTATCAAAAAATTATGATAAATAACATGATTCGCAAGTAAATCCTACATAAATTAATGTAAGTGGTTTAACATACGAAACTTGACTTCCATTGTACATAAGATTTCAAGTCTTCAACAATCTTTTAATTTTTTTCTATAAACGAGATTACAGCTTTAAGATTAAAAAAAAAAAAAGATTATAGATGTTAAAATTTAAATATCAAATTTAATGTTACTTTTTAAAATTGATAATATAAATTAACTAAACTAAGTTTTGAATTTTGTTATTTTATTATTATTAAAATAATTTTACTAACAAATAAAATTTATATAAATCAATTAAATTAAATTTCAAATTCTACTATTTTGTTATTAAATTAAAATAAAATAACTAAAAAAATATAAACCTAAAGAAATCATATACCACAGTAAGCCAAATGATATTTGTGCAGATCCCATATTTAAATAGTCTTCTTTTTTTTTTTTTTCTATTGGATACTTATATGTTATTTATTAAATGTAAATCATAAAATAAATAAAATCTAATTGAATCCTAAACAATGTCAGGCGCCCGTCCACATGCAACTCTAGACCCGTATGGGACTTAATATCCTAACTAATTTAGGCAAACGGACTAGATAAAAGGCCAAGTTTTGGAACCCTAATCCAAGTCTCTGGTTCTACACTTGCAACCATGGTTTCTGGAAAGCCAAAGCCGCCTGAAGACTCTACAACACAGGATATGTAAGTATTCTTAATATTAATATATAATTTATTCGGATTAGGGTTTTAAAAATCTTGATTCAAGTTTCAACAATTATTTTTAATTTTATTTTATTATTATCATTATTAATTAAACTATAACGCTTTTTTTTTTTTTGAAGTGCACATGAATGTCAGCATCTCATGGCCGATCGAATTAGTTCTCTACCAGATGAGATTCTTGTGCATATATTGGGTTTCTTGCTGATGAAAGATGCTGTAGCTACTAGTGTTCTTTCGCGTGGGTGGAGGAATTTGTGGAAATCGCTTACCACCTTCAAGTTTGATCCAGTCAATAAGCTTGGAGTTTACAATCGTGACATTATAACATTAAAATCCAGGGTTAAACAATCCAGGATGCAATCGTATGCAAACTGGGTCAATGAGGTGCTCCAACAGCTTCAACATTTACGAAACGTAGAGGAGTTTTGGATTTGTTCAGATTTTTGTGAGAACGGTGCTCCTTATTTTGATCATTGGATAGCTTTCGCCGTAGAAAAAAAGGTTCGGATACTTAACATAAATTTGGCTGATGATGATGGGTATTGTAGTGAGTGGAAACGTTGCAGTTTCCCTACTCTTTCTCTCTCAAAAGAAAAAGCCTCCTCCGTGATCCAGCTATCTTTACGAGGAGTCGAAATCTGTTCTCCTGGTTTTAACATTTTTACATCTCTCACCTCCCTTACTTTAACCTGCCTGATTCTAACCGGTGATGTCTGTGAAACCGCTTTCTCAAATTGCCCACTCCTTGAGCATTTACATATCCGGGTAGCTTATAACTTGGTTAATCTCAAACTTGTCGGCTCAGGTTTAAGCAGGTTAAAGTTCTTGGAGTTATATTATTGCAACCACTTGAAGAATGTTGAGATTTATGCACCAAATCTCGTTTCATTCAAATATGCGGGGTTGAAGACTCATTTTGCCTTTAAATATGTTCCTAAACTTGTAGAAGCCCGTTTCGGTGCCTGCTCATATTACTGCAATTATGAACTGATAAAAGGTGGCTACAATCTGATCTCCTACGCTTTTAGCCAACTTGACAGCATTTGTACCCACTTTGAGAGTTTGGTCTTAGAGACAAATACAATGGAGGTTGAAGGAATGAGTCCTCAGCTATGTCCAACATTTATATCGCTTAAGGTCTTGATCTTGTTTGTTGATGCAACGTGTGTGAATTGTATAGGATTGCCATCGTTCCTGGAAGCATGTCCTGTCCTGAGTAAATTTGAAGTGCATATCAACGTTCACGACACCAGCATAGAGCTTAAATCAAGGGATCAATTATCGAAGGCTTCTCTATCACCTCACCGATTCCTTAAAGAGATTGAGCTCAGTGGATTTCTTCACTTTCTCGACCAATCATATGAAATGGAGCTGGTTCAATATCTTGTTAAGACTGCCGTTTCACTGCAAAAGCTTACAATTATTACTCGTGCAAAGTGTCTGCAAATGGATTCGGATAAAATTGTTTGGTCCAAACGCAAAGAAGAAATGCAAAACGCAAGAGAACGTGCAAAGCAGCTTTGCACGGAATTGCTTCCAATGGCTGAAGTAATTGTCCTCTAAATTATCAGTTAATTATACTTTTGTATGCCAGTTCTTATAACTGAGGGTGAGATCTTTAAGGAATAATAACCTCTAACTTTATTACTTGTTGAATATATTAAGATGTTCAACGACTCGCACATAATATATATTACTCTCTTTGTTTTTATTTTTTATGGTGTTTCCGGCCACGGGGAAGATGAAGTGGTCTTCTCTAGCAGCAGTTAAAACATATCCGAGGAAGTGGCTATGAAGAGTTCCAATGAAAATGATGTATGCGAATCTCAATTCTCTGGCTTAAATACTACAAATTCAACTACAACAAGTGATGAATCGATAATGGAGTTGATATGGAAGCCTGGAAGGCTTGTGTGAAGATGGGCTCAAGAATGATGTTGGCCCAATTGGTGAGACTGTTAATACAAAGATGGATTGAGGCCGGTACTGTATGAGAGGGTACGTCTCAGCCCATTTAAGGTGTCGGCTCTCTTCCTTCACATGTTTCAGAAACTTATGAAAGTGGAAACATTATGCAGCTATAGAGGAAGAATTGGAGGATAACGTTAAGAGATGAGGGAAAAAGTTCTTCAAGGAAGGCGTTCAGGGGACCTTTACTAGTTTTAATTTGATATGCATGTTGTATCAAGTAAATAAAGAATGAGGAACTGTTCCAAATGATTCTAAAAATAATAATAATAAACAAACAAGCCTAGGGATGGCAAAACCAACGCACCCAATTGTTTCTTATTGATCCGTCCCAAATGGGGTAATTTTTTTTTTTTTTTGAAAAGTGAGGTCAACCGGTCAAGTGGGAATCGAGCACGGCTGCACGGGTGCTTTTATTTATTTTTAATTCATTGGCAGGCGGGTTGCTCTGTTATATGATCGTCCCAATCCAGCCTGGCTCGTCTCGTCCTGCTTGTACCATCATTGTGTTGTCAAATACCATTTATATATATATAATCATATTCAAATATTTAGATTCAGTTTGAGAAATCAAATTTTATTACGTTGGAGTTGAAATTTTATTTTATTTATAATTTTGGGCTTGAATCAAATCAATTGGATCAAGAGAGAAAATAAATATCTGTTGGATTTATTGGGTTCGAAGCATTAATAACCCATTTCTTTCTTGTTTTTATTTCTTTTAAATGGTCCTCAACTAAAAAAAAATTATAAAAGTTTTATTAAATGAAAAATAACCCAAAAACTCTACTTTTATAGTGTTATATATTAAGCTCATAAACATATTTGGCAACACGTGATTGGTTTTATTTTCGTTTAATTATAGCTTTTAACATTTATATTATAGAAAAGCAAAGACCGAATTTTGGGAAATTAAAACAGCCAAAGCTTGAAGTACAAGTAATCAAAAACTCATGTTTATCAACACTTAATTTGCATCCTATTCATAGAATGAAAAAAAATGACTACCTCCAAGAAATTATGTGTTACAATATCAAGTCTCTAATGGAAACAGAGTCGTTGTGTTTAATCAAACCAATTAACTTTTGGCTATGGCAGTACTCTCAACTTTATTACAGCATTAATAGTAAGTACCAACCGCCCTTGGGTCACAACAACCAGTTGTCAACCAAAGGAAAAGGACAGAAAAAAGTAACGTTTTAGGGAAAGTGGGATAAAAACAACAATGAAAGCGGACCCATGGTGTCAGTGTTTGGTGCAGGGAAGGTGAAGAACTGGGCCGTGCCCATCTCCTCGAAAATCTATCTGCCAAAACCGCGTGTGAAAATCTCTACTCGGATTTTTCGTCCTCGCTATTTATTTCAGCCAAATCATAAGCCAGCTGGACACAGCTTTTGTTAGCCTTCCCATTGCTTTCCTCATTTTAATTTCATTTATAATTGCTTTGCTATAAAAGCTCCTTCTACGCTCAACAATCTCCTCATCACTTCAATTCAAAACAAGTTTACAAGATAACGTTAAACTCTCTTTCCTGCTGTCCCCTATTTTTACACAGCATATGGCTCCGTTTTCTGCTTCAAGTCCACTAATGAAATTCTCTTTCGTAGTTGGCTTTTTCCTAACTGCCTACGCTGGTAATTTCTACCAGGATTTTGACCTCACTTGGGGAGATGGTCGTGCCAAGATTCTCAACAATGGTCAGCGTCTTACTCTTTCCCTTGACAAGGCCTCTGGCTCTGGTTTTCAGTCCAAAAACGAGTATTTGTTTGGGAACATTGATATGCAGCTCAAGCTTGTTCCTGGCAACTCTGCTGGCACTGTAACGGCCTACTATGTAAGCCTTCAGAATTTGGTTCTTGCCTTCTTACTTTACTGACACAAACTCTCGGAACTGACATGTTAAAACTTTTCATGTGTTTTTGCAGCTATCTTCAAAGGGCGCAACATGGGATGAAATAGACTTTGAGTTCTTGGGGAACTTGAGCGGTGATCCTTACATCCTTCATACCAATGTTTTTACCCAAGGCAAGGGCAACAGGGAGCAGCAATTCTATCTCTGGTTCGACCCAACTGCAGATTTTCACACCTACTCCATCCTCTGGAATCCCAAGCTCATCATGTAAGAAAACCGACCAACTATATATTAAATTTCTGAAATTTGTATATTTTAGGATCATGAACTTTTTTAGGATCCTTCGAAAGTTTAACTGACTTTAAGTCTTATGCATGTTTTTCAGTTTCTCGGTTGATGGGACTCCAATCAGAGAGTTCAAGAACCTGGAATCCGATGGCATTCCATTCCCAAAGAACCAGCCTATGAGGATTTACTCCAGTCTTTGGAACGCTGATGACTGGGCTACCAGGGGTGGTCTTGTGAAGACAAACTGGTCTAACGCTCCTTTCACCGCTTCCTACAGGAATTTCAATGCCAAGGCTTGTGTTTGGGGAAACGGAGCATCATCATGCTCCTCATCAAGTTCATCATCTTCCAGCTCCAACAACAATGCATGGCTATCCCAAGAGTTAGATATAACAGGCCAACGAAGGCTGAAGTGGGTGCAGAAGAACTACATGATCTACAATTACTGCACTGATACAAAGCGATTTCCTCAGGGTCTTCCTTCGGAATGCAAAATGTCCTAACATATTGCATATGCCTAACCCGCCCGTTGTAATTATATACCATATGGTCTTCAATGTGTAGTTTCTGCCTGTATCAATTCTTTTATTTTTTGAAACTTCACCACGTCATATATACTCTATATATGATATTATTGTAAATCTTACCTTTCTCCATGGAATAAAATCTATGTTTCGAATTTGCCTTTAATTAAATTTTTGGTGCAACTTGAAAATATACTACATATGAATAACCTGGGTTAAAAGTGCCAAGAATAAGGAAGATATGCATACGCCAGAGTCATATTTAATTAAATTTATTATTTGAATGATATTTTTTTTATTTGCAATTAGTTGACCTTTGGTTGACTGTTATTTACTGCATGGATTAATACTCTTTTTACCCCTTTTGGGCGGTTGAGATAAGATTTTCATGCGGTATTGATGACGTGGAATCATTTTTTCATGCGGGATTCTAGATATGTGTCAAAATATGTATTGAAAAACAATATCTTTTTTTTTTTTTCTTTTCGCCTTTTATCAATGACATATGACAAAGGTACGTATTTCCTAACTTTTGTTTTACGTTTTCCAAAAATACTGAATCATCATGGTTGCCACATAAAAATTGAATCTTTGTCTTTGATGCCAGTTTGTTTTGCATTTTTCAAAGATACGTAAACTAGTTTATTGAGAAGATAATAATAAGCTAAATATTAATCCCATGGAGTACACTACAAGGTTAAAAAATGGATAGTAACCCTCAAACAATTTTATTTTTAACATAATTTGATATTAAAGTGTTAAACTTTTAATTTTAATTATCAAAATTTAAAATTTAACAATTTTAAATACATAAAATATCTCAAATAAATAATTTTATAACTATTGTTGATAAAACAATCCAATTCAAATAAATAAATAAGAGTTTTTATTTAATGTATTATCAATATATAAATTTTATACATTATCAATAAATAAAATAATGATATTTTATTATTAAGTAAATATTAATTTTTTAAATAAATATATAAAAAATTAATATTTTTTTAATAAATTTATTTATTAATAAAATGATATCATTTAATTTATATAATATCATTTGATTTAAGTATAATACATATTTTAATAATACATTAAATATAAATTTATTAAATAAAAAAATATGTAAAATTGGAAGGAAAAAAAACACATTAGGGCAGATCACCAATGATTTTGACAAAAATCTGCCTAGCCTTGGAATATGCAAGGAAGTTACGTCCATTGGGTGAGCTGAAACTTTGACTCACGAAGCCCAGAAAGGGCAATGTAATCAAAACGTCGGTGCCTAATATATGTATATATAATTGAAAAAAGCAGTCATATATAAAGAGAACATTGTGCACGCAAAATAAACTTGAATAATTAACAATTAATTTTGGTTTTATAATTATAATTTTATAAAGGCCGTTGTCTTTATGCTGCCTCGATGACGGTTGTTGGTGGCGGCTCTGCAAGGCAGGGAGCCGGTGATTAAAAAAACGAAAAAAATTTAACACGCTGCTAAGTGCTACCCTCGTGATTATGACAGGAACTTGGCAGCAGCTACAAGCCAAGAGCGACCTTCCTCTGACCCAGATCCTGGCACTCTCTTCTCAAAACACAACGTTAAACCACGTCACATCTTAACTCTGTCTTTGGTTGGGACGTGTTCATTTTGGTGCTATATTGACTGCTGCTTTTATTTACTGTTTCCAAGCCCAACAACTGTTTCCAACCAAGCTGACTGGACCTCCCTCTGCCTTTCCCCAACTTTCTCTTTTTTACGGTGATCGCACTATAAATACCAACTTATGGCGTATTCTTCACAAAACACACTCAAATCGCCAAGCAGCAACAAGTTTCTGGCATTCAAATTCAACCTTTGCTGTGTGAAAAACTATGGGTTCTATTTCGGGGTTCAGTTTTACGTTGCTTATGCCTCTCGCAATTGGCTGTCTGATGGCAGCCTCTGCTAGCAACTTCTACCAAGATTTTGACGTCACATGGGGAGATGGCCGTGGTAAGATAGTCAACAACGGAGAAGTTCTCACTCTCTCCCTCGATAAAGCCTCAGGCTCCGGTTTCCAGTCCAAGAATGAATATGCAGCTCAAGCTTGTCTCTGGCAACTCTGCTGGCACAGTCACTGCCTACTATGTAAGTTGTTTTTTAGTTAGTTTATGTTTGCTGCAATCTACTAAGGTCAACATACAGATTGTTAATTGCTGATAAATATGTTTTTAATTCTTCCTGCAGTTATCTTCAAAAGGATCAACATGGGATGAAATTGATTTCGAGTTCCTGGGAAACCTTAGTGGGGATCCTTACATTCTTCACACAAATGTGTTCAGTCAAGGAAAGGGTAACAGGGAACAACAGTTCTATCTCTGGTTTGATCCAACCGCAGATTTCCACACCTATTCCATCCTCTGGAATCCTCAGCGCATTATGTGAGTATTACTATAAATTGATAAGACCAAATCCCCATCTTCTTTTCCTTTCGTTTGGAATTGATTGATTGACAAGATTTTGTTATGCTCTGTTCCAGTTTCTCTGTGGACGGAACACTCATTAGAGAGTTCAAAAACATGGAGTCAATTGGAGTCCCATTTCCAAAGAACCAGCCGATGAGAATTTACTCCAGCTTGTGGAATGCAGATGATTGGGCCACAAGGGGTGGTCTGGTCAAGACAGACTGGACTCAAGCTCCTTTCACAGCCTCTTACAGAAACTTCAATGCCAATGCATGTGTTTGGTCTAATGGAGCATCTTCCTGTAAATCCAATTCCCCATCTTCTGCCTCAACCAACAATGCATGGTTCTCTCAAGAACTGGATTCTACCAGTCAGAAAAGGCTGCAATGGGTGCAGAAGAACTACATGATCTACAATTACTGCACTGACTCCAAGAGATTTCCCCAAGGTCTTCCTCCAGAATGCAACATGTCTTAGACAACAATAGTTACTTGTATTATTTATTAAATAGATCAATATTCTTTTATTTCTGTTTTTCTTCAAAAATCAATTTCATTATTGTAATATAATTTTGTCCTTTGACAATTTTCACCATTATTTTTCGATATAACACGTTTTTTACTGAATAAGATGAGCAATGGGAAGTGTATTTTCTTCTACCAATGTGACAATTAAACATGTCTTCGCAAATTAAATCTCAATTTCACACCTTTAATCCCCTATGTTTTGAATTTTGATGGGATAATGAAAATTATATAAACAATAATTAAATAGATTTCTTTTGTTATTATCAAAGGACTTACAAGTGAAACAATTCATACTTAATTTAATATGGTTGTTATCTTCTTTAGTATACAAGTTTCCTATTTCTTTTATGATATGCTCTTTTCCCACTTATATTTTTCATACATACACCAAATGAGAAAAAGGAATTATTTACTAATAAGTTTAATAATTCGTATATTTATAATATTTATTTAATATTAAATATGTGTAAAATATAAAAATTATTTATTTTTATATTATATCATATCGTATCTAAAATTATTGTGTCTATTAAGTGATATAATGTTATACATAGCAAGTATCCGAAAATGCAGAAACACAGAAAGGAATATCATACCGTTGCAAACTGATACACTCTAGAGTGCTTGCTTTAGCTACTACCAATAATACTCGTATTAACATTAATAAATCAGTAATGCTATTCCTTTACAGCTTGGTTTATTAACTGGCAACAACACTTGCCAAAGATATCTTTCTTGTGCATGTCTGGTGCAAAATCCAGTTAAAATAAACAAAATAACATGCGTGCATGGCCGGATCATGATATTAAGTGAAGAACTGATCAAGATCACCTAAAATTTTGAGAAATAAATTTTCCTAGCTTGGGAGGTAATATCCGGGAAGTTACACTGATTGGTTTGAAAATTTTCGGAGTTCAGTATTGTCGATCTGACATCAAAATTAAATTCAAAACAAAACTACACCTGCTTTCCCCTCGGTAAAGGACACCTTCTTCTTCTTTTTTTTTCACCTTTTAACATTATGGATTTTTTGGTTACTAAAGGCGGTGCTGCGTTTGGGTGGGTCTGGGAGTGAACTGGATCTCTAACCATCGAAAGAGGCTAACCTGGCGACAGGAACTGAGCAGCAATAAGCCGAAGCACTGCACTTTCCAGTTTCCTCACAAAAATAATTTAAGTAAAGCCGCGTGATATCATAAACTGTGTTTTGGTGGGGTCGTGCTTTCTGGTGCGATTTCGAGTGACAGCTATTTTTATATATGTCTAGTACTCAACCACTGTCTACAACCAAGCTGAATGGAGCTTCCTTGGCCTCTTCCTTTACCCTTTTCTCTACTATAAATACCAACCTTTAGCATTCTCAATCAACTCACTTATATAACTTCTCATATTCCAGTATATTCTCTCTTCTCAGCAAAAACCACGAAATGGGTTCTTCAAGTTCCAATTTACGTTGCTTTTGATTCTTTTAGTTGGCTGTCTAATGGCAGCCTCCGCTAGCAACTTCTACCAAGATTTTGATATCACTTGGGGAGATGGCCGTGGTAAGATAGTCAACATGGAGAGGTTCTCAGTCTCTCCCTTGATAAGGCCTCAGGCTCCGGTTTCCAGTCCAAGAATGAGTATCTTTTTGGCAAGATTGATATGCAACTCAAGCTTGTCCCTGGCAACTCCGCTGGCACGGTCACTGCCTACTACGTAAGTTATTCTCTAATTACTGCTTGTTTTCCACAATTTTTATGGAGGCATATAGATGGCGATAGCTTAAATGCTGATACTTGAGTATATTTCTATCTGCAGTTATCTTCGAAAGGATCAGCATGGGATGAAATTGATTTCGAGTTCCTGGGAAACCTTAGTGGGGATCCCTACATTCTCCATACAAATGTGTTCAGTCAAGGAAAGGGTAACAGAGAACAACAGTTCTATCTCTGGTTTGACCCAACTGCAGATTTCCACACCTATTCCATCCTCTGGAATCCCCAACGCATTATGTGAGTATTAATAAATTGGCAAAATCAAATTAACGCACTTGCCTTCTGCCCCGATTTTTTTGTCTTTCTTTCATATGGAATTGATTGATTGACAAAATTTTGTTATTGCTCCGTTCCAGCTTCTCTGTGGACGGTACACCCATTAGAGAATTCAAAAACATGGAGTCAATTGGAGTTCCATTTCCAAAGAACCAGCCGAAGAGAATTTACTCCAGTTTATGGAATGCTGATGACTGGGCTACAAGGGGTGGTCTGGTCAAGACAGACTGGACTCGAGCTCCTTTCACAGCCTCATACAGAAACTTCAATGCTAATGCCTGTGTTTGGTCTAATGGAGCATCTTCCTGCAAATCAAATTCCCCATCTTCTGCCTCATCCAACAATGCATGGTTCTCTCAAGAACTGGATTCTACCAGTCAGCAAAGGCTGCAATGGGTGCAGAAGAACTACATGATCTACAATTACTGCACTGACGCCAAGAGATTTCCTCAAGGTCTACCTCCAGAATGCAATATGTCTTAAGAGGCAACAACAGTTATTAATTAGATCAATATTCTTTCAATTTTTTTTCTTCAGGCCAAATCATGATTCTTTTGTTCATTAAGAATTCTCAGTATTTTGTATGTAATACGTTATAATAAGATAAGCAACAAGAAGAATTTCCTTTCCATTTCAAACTTGATGGTCCTTGATCTGTTTCATTTCGGGCATATCAAATAGAAACAGAAAATCAAATAAAAATTATCCAGATTAACACAAACCAAACAAAACCAAAGTCGGGAAATGCACAAGAAAAATTGTTAGAGAAAACCCTTCTCACAGATGCGATTGATATAGTTTTGCTGTGGCAAATTTTAATGCAACATGTGATTTACCATCTCTTTAGACTTTACTCTAGGTTTATTTTACTTCCCTGGTAAGGGGTCCTGACTCCTGATAATAAAGTAATAATAATTAACACCCGGAAAATCTAATTTGTGGGGCAGCGGGTGATAGGAACTGGAAAGCAGTAGCAATGTTTCATATTTTCACTTTCCAGTTATGTGTTAAAATAAAGCAGGAAAACGTGTGTAATCATGAACTGTCTACAGCTAAGCTAAGTGATCAAGTTAGAAGTACTTTTCCTTCGACTTTTCACATTTTCACTGCACTTTGCACTTTCTATGGAGTAGAGATCTTAAGTTCTGAGTCCTAACTCATGCTATTTTTCTCTTTTTTTTTGGATAATTGAATTTGTTATTATTTATCCAAAGATAGTTACATTGCTAAATCAAAATTGTTCTAGCTAATTTAGCTGGAATAAAAATAAAAATATAAAATTGTTTAAGCCCCATGCTATACAAAGATCTCTATTTGCAAGACTCCCTTCGGTGTGTTGCACTCCTGCTAATCTCAATCTGACAGTCTCTTGGATATGACCCAGAACTTGTGTGGGGGATTGCTGCAAGTGTCCATATATTCTATTATTCCTCCCTTTCCACACATAATAGAAATAAGCACTCCAGCCAATCCTTAATATAATTGAGAACAAGGATTTGCCCCTAAGTTTACTGACTGCCCATCTCAACGCTCCTTCCCAGCTTACCAATTCTCTCTGTTGAGCTTACAAATCTGTAAAGCCTCCTTCCATATGCTTCGGAAATCTCGCATTCAAGGAACAAGTGATCTTGTGATTCCTATGTTAAGCGGCATAACACACAATCAACATTTACTTCAATGCCCGTGGAGTGCAGTCGATCTTTGGTCGGTAGCCTATCGAGGATGGCCATCCAGGAAATCCACTGCATGCCTAGGAATGTGATGAGTAAACCACAACAGCCTATCCCAGCTAATATTTGGTTGAGTAGACCTGAGCTCATTCCAAACCTTAGTTAACAGAGAATTTGGAACCAGGGAACTTCCAAGTGAATCTCCTGCTATGTTCCATTGTGAACTGAATTGCAGTATGACGTAGATTGAGCAGTTCCCCAAACTCAAACTAGTGTATTGAGTTTCAGACACCTGCCAAAATGTTCTTCCGTTGAGAAAGTATGCCTCGATCCATGCAAACCATGAGGAACCAACCTTTGTTAGCAAAGACCAGATATGCTGGATGATACAAGCTTTCAGATTTAGGGAAGTAAATAGGTTTCCAACTAATTCGAGCGCCTCGAGCAAAAGTCTCTCTACCATTCCATAACTCATGTTATTTTTATAGTCTTAAATCGTATGTTATTTTTATTCAAGACAAACAATATACGCAAAGGCCCCTAAGGGGGAATCTCAATTAGGCATATATACTTGATACTCGCTCCTTGGCCGCCTCCTTGAAAATTTCCATAAAACAAAGTTTCCATATAATTCACCCATTACCTTGAAAAATAATCGAGATTGGAACCAAGACATTTTTTTCCGCAGATCCAAAATTTGGTTTACATCAATATTGAAATCGATGACAAAATGAACTCACAAGATTGCCACGCAGAAAACGCCATATTTATTTATATTATTAATGTTCATTTGGATAACATTCTGCTAACCGCTATGTCACTTGAAGTACTTAAAGAAAGACGTGGGTCGGTTTCTTGATCATCCAGGGTTGAACATTCAGAGGAATTTTGTCCCTTGAACAGTGATGAGAGTCAGCTCGAAGAAGACCGAGCTCCACAGCAGACAATAGCTTTACAGATTCCAAAGTGCATTTGAGAGATGCGACTGCGCTATGAAATAAGTACCCACAATGCTTATTGCCTTATACAACAATGAAATGATACAACTTAGGTCACACCTAATGCATTAGAAAAATCAGTCAGGCAAGGGAGGGGCCATCAACTTCAAAGCAAATTTACCCCCCTTAACAGAAATTCAAATTATCATACACAAACCAATGGTAAAACAGCATATTACCGAGGGAAGTCAAAGAAACAGGAAACTGTACAAGAAGAGATTCCCAATGTCTAACTAGCGTCTTCAGGAGCTCTGAATCCAATAATTTCGTGCAATCGATACCTCTAACTTATCCCTGGCATTCATGGAGTTTTTCTAGTAACTTCCAAAACCATAGTCAGAAATGCGAGGCTTGCCGCTTAAAAAAAAAGACTTCATAGTTATTCTTCTTCCAACTCAACTAACTGTGCCCGTCTCTCAGCAGCTTTCTTCCGGACAAAGAAGCCCCATCTCATTGCCGCCTTAATCTTCAGCCACCCAACAACAGCTTTGCCAGGACGTGAACGATCTTCATCTACAAAGTTTGGCATTGGGGATGGCATGTAATTTGGGAATCCAAACCCACCATCTTCTGTCACATTAATAGAAGCATGACCTCCCATGCTGAAGACTCGGAGAAGGTGCTGCATATCTTCATTCTCGAGCATTTCATTACTTCTGATGCGAATCTCTTCCTCCGTAAATAAGTCATCAACTCCCTTATCCCGGTTGTTCGTCCAATCATCAAAAGGATTAAGATTTGATGACTGCATTGAAGAACCAATGCTTTGGAACCCAACAACAGATGACTGTGGAGGACCAAGAGCCAGCCCGACAACATTGTTATCATTTCTGGAGCTTTGAGGTTGCTGAGAATTGTTAATCAGCTGGTCATGAGACACAAATTGTGTATTGTCAAATTGATTACGAGAATTTGAATTCACAAGCTGGGACTGCCCTGAGTATCTGGTTGACTGATTATCATTATACCCTGAGGTAATCAAAAGGAAAAGAAATGAAGTTATCGAAATGCCAGCTGTAAAAGAAAGGAAAAAGTGGTCCAAAACCTGAAAGTTGTACCAAGAGGCATTATCCTCAAGGGCAAAATATCAACCAAGTCTTTTAAGGGAGAAGTACTTAACTCTAAAATAATAATAGAATAAGATATTTTCAACTAAAATCACAGCAAATTTGCAGTAATTCACGAGGAAATTATTGATTTAGATGACTTATAGGGGCTATTATTGACATTTCTTTACAATATTTTTTAGTCTAGGCATCTTGATAGAAAAGGCATCCATGACAGTAAGAATGTTATATATTTCCTTCAATATGTTTGAGAAACAAATTGTGTCAGATGCAGATAAAATGCAATCACAAAAAAACATGATTTCCAATAACCAAGTTAAGGTACTTCACTATATGATGTTACGCAATACGTTACATCATCTTGTTTACAGCAAGAAACAGATCAACAGGATCTCTATAACTAAAAAGTTTTAATTATAACAAATGTTATCTAGAAGAAAGACATTTTGTCATCAAAAAATTTCCATAGTTCAACCATTTTCAATGACACTATGATGTTGTAGAATATTGCTTTTTGAACTAAAAAGATTAGAAAACCACTTTGCTTCCATTTAAATCTGATCCAACATCTTTCTCTAATTATACTTTGAAACAATCTACAAAGATAAAACCTCCCATTTACAACCCTTGCTTAATGCCAAGATATAAATCTAGAGCATCCTTAAAGACCATGTTGTTGATCCTTGGGACATGGGTGTTCAATGTAGATATGTGTCTAGATGTCTGACTCATCAATTGCCCTAAACTTAGCATAAAACGGTCAAAGGAAGAACACGTGTATGGGACTTGTTTTACATTTTTTATCAGAAATGGTACATTTTACATTTACTTAAGCATTATTTATTTTTAAGTTATATGAATTTTATTTGTTTGAGTTTTAAGGTTTGTTTGAATTCCAGTGATGATAAGACATTACATGCGGTAGCTACTTTGATGCAATTGGGTTACCATAAAGTCAGTCTATTCCGGAAATCTGGAATTTCTGGTTGTATTATACATGAAAATTTTTGAGAAAATCAAGCCCTTTTAAGCAAATTCGGACCATTTTTATTTTTATAGAGGCCACAACTATTAAAGGGTCACGGCCTTTTCATCCAAAGACGCTTTACCCCTTTTCATCCAGAGCCATCCCAGCAATGATAGGTGAAAGTGTTAAAGACCCAACCCAAAAGAAATAAAAAGAGAACAAAACCAAGCAGCTTCCAAACTTTTGCAGGCTTAAGGCTGGAAACCCATGTTAAAATGAAACGTTAATTTTCTTTTCCCCCATCCCCTTTTAAAATGCAGCAAAACAGTTCTCTTCCTCCGCATCACCTCCGGCACCAAGATGATTCTGTCAGCCACTTTCATCTCTTTTTTTCTTCCTTTCACTTTTAGTATTTTTTATTCATTACCTCACTGATATATTTATTTCTCTATGCTTCACTCTTCTCCCTTCTTACTATGATAACACCACCTATCTAAAGATATCCTTGCTGCCGAGTAGGTTATGTCATGCCATGAAAGAAAAGTCCAAAATTTTTTTTTTGCAGTGTCAGACAGATCCAGAGTTGTCCAGGATCGTATTGAACAAACTTTAACATGTCCAAGCAACATAACCAAAAGGTTACAAAGAAGCCAAAGAAATTTACCCAAAAAAACTCAGCCAAAGAAAATTGTACTACGGTATTGCCAGAAAAAACAGAGGTATAAATTACTTTTAGAATGTGGTTATTTTAGGTGGTTCCATCTTTTTATTTCTTTAGCTCACTTCATTGCGAGCTTTCATTCTTCGGAATGACCATTTCCGCGTACCATGTTAAGTTTCTGCCTTGTACTAAGGAAAAGGGGAAGTAAGCAGGCAGGCAGAAAAATGATGTTTATGAGCATAGCTCCAGGAAGATTAAATTTAGCTAT